GGGGGCGTGACTCGAAAGCGCCAGTTTTGGGAGAACGCGACTCGAAAGCACCAGTTTTAGGAGGAGGTAGCTCCAAAGCACTGGTTTTAGGGGGGCGTGACTCGAAAGCGCCAGTTTTGGGAGAACGCGACTCGAAAGCACCAGTTTTAGGAGGAGGTAGCTCGAAAGCACCGGTTTTAGGGGGGCGTGACTCGAAAGCGCCAGTTTTGAGAGAACGCGACTCGAAAGCACCAGTTTTAGGAGGAGGTAGCTCGAAAGCACCGGTTTTAGGGGGGCGTGACTCGAAAGCGCCAGTTTTGGGAGAACGCGACTCGAAAGCGCCAGTTTTAGGAGGAGGTAGCTCGAAAGCACCGGTTTTAGGGGGGCGTGACTCGAAAGCACCAGTTTTGGGAAAACGCGACTCGAAAGCGCCAGTTTTAGGAGGAGGTAGCTCGAAAGCATCAGCTTTAGGAGAAGCTAGCTCGAAAGCACCAGTTTTGAGGGGACGTGACTCGGAAGCGCCGGTTTTAGCTTTAGGGGGGCGTGACTCGAAAGCACCATTAGATTTAAAAGGAGGTAGCTCGAAAGCACCGGTTTTAGGGGGACGTGACTCACCGGAACCTGTCGCGAAATGGCTTCAGTCCGCTTCTGTTGGGAAGAAACCCAAACAAGGAGAATTAAACGACAAAGGAACAGCATCAGCTACTTGTAACGGCAATAGAGATGCCGGAGGCGACAAGGGAAAAGCATCAGCACCTACGACTGATAAAGGCAAGGAGAGTGGCGGTGAGAAGGAAAAGGCCTCTACAATTGATAAAGGCAAGGAGGGCTGCGGCGACAAGGAAAACGCATCAGAATCTACTGCAAATAAAGGCAAGGAGGAACGCGGAGACAATGCAAATATAGCACCTTTCTCGGAGGGCAACGCAATATATCCTGCTGTAGATCTAGCACTTCCAAACCGGAGTATTAAGACAACATCCTCCCCATCAAGAACAGGGGGCAAGAAGGGCGTTACACAACATCAGGAAGAGGGGGCAGTAGCATCTAGTCTTACTACTACGAAAAAGAGAAAAAAGACTGCTGAAGAGCGGCATGCGAAGGAGATACGAAGAGCCCAAAAGGCTGCTTGGGCAAGGGGGTATAAGCAAGGGCTGATGGAACCCTATGGTACCCTGAGTTAAGGCAAAGGCTTGCAGTTCCACTGCTAATCTAAATCCGCCTGGACAGTCTTCTTCCAGAGGCCGCGTATGGGTTCTCCTTCTCTAGCTCTGCTAGGATGCAAGTACTTTCTATCTTAAGATGGATTTGGAGTAGGTCGAGCTCTAAACGAAATGGTCTGCAGACGATGAGACCAGGATCACCTTTTCCAGATGCCTTCCCCCACCGCACATGTCTTATGAGCCAGATGGAATGCTTATCGCGGAAATCATCCACACAATCGACGACCTCTTGGAAGACACGACGACTCTTGCGTTTCGGGAACAGGATAAGGAGCGATCTGCCAGAGTACTAGAGGAACACGAGGAAGTGGCTATGAATGCAGAAATTGCGGTCATGGATGCAGAAATTGCGGCCATGAATGCATATGCGGGAATTGCGGACAATGTCAGCTTCACCTCTGCGCCCGCTTCGTCGCGCCGTTGTTCTATCGGAGGAACTGATCTCCTCCAGCTGCACGGTACTTCTTCTACAACAAGTAGTAGTGGACTGGTATTTTTACGCCCAACAACATCTTCCGCATCCAGCACCTGCACTAAGACTAACAATCATGTAGAAGATGTTGCTGAAGCATCATCGTTGTCGAGATGTACAAGCACTAGTACTTCTGGTGCCCTTCTTGATTCTGTGCTCGATGCGGTTGACGGAGTATTGTTGTCCTTATCGAGTACAGCTTTTTCTGGTGCCCTTGACTTTCGTCCCGAAGCTCCGCAGTTCTCTTTATCGAGCAGTGCGCCTTCATCTTGTGCTCACGAAGAAATCGTAAGTGGAGAGCTAGGCGAGGTGCTGGGCACTACTACGAGTAGAACTTCTTTTGGGGTTGTCCGCGATTCTGTCAGTAAAGGTGGAGCAGCTTCTTCATTATTGATGTCGAGTACAACAACAGCTTCTGATTCTGGTGCCCTTGAAGATTCTTCCGGAGCTGGATTTCCATTCCTGTCTTTGTCCTCCTCGAGTACAACTATTCCTACATCTACCTCTACATCATTTTTACCTTCAACTTCCACAACGTGTAATTCATATTCTCCATCGACATCAACTTCAACTGCAACATCTACAACGTGTACTAGTTCTAGTCCTCAAACCTCAACATCTACAACCCGCTCTACCTCTGGTTCTACTTCAACATCTACAAACCGCTCTACCTCTGGTTCTACTTCAACATCTACAACCCGCTCTACCTCTGGCTCTACTTCTACGTCTACAACCCGCTCTACCTCTGGTTCTACTTCTACATCTGCAACCTCTAGCTCACCAGGATTATTCTTCAGTCCAACGCTATTTCCTACAGTTCTTGGACATGCCTCTAAAAAACAAGAGGAATCTGCGGTATCTGCTGATCCTGATGCCGGAGGACGGGTTGTAGAAGAAGATGTGTATGATGCCATTCATTCCCTATCAAGTAGAACATTCTCAATGAGTGGAAGCATTCATGGTCCAGCTACTAGAGATTCAACATCACGACCATTGCTGTCGAAAACAAGATGGTCTGATCTTGCAGGATCTGCATCGCTAACAGGGAGTACAACAAGCACAACCTTCGCATCCGCTGCCGGAGCATCAAGTAGTACAACTACAACCGCAGAAGTGCATGAGCTTCCTGCTGCTCGTGCTCCCGAAGTAGAGCAGGAAGCATCAACATTATTGGCGAAGAAGAAGAAAAAGAAAGACAAGAAAGAGAAAAAAGAAAAGAAAGACAACAAAGAAAAAAAGGAGAGGAAGAGCAAGGATATTCCATCGAACTCGCACACAGAAGACGCGGGACTGTTATCTGTGAAACAAGAACTATTGTCGAACCTTGTAATACCAGAGAACAGCGCAAAATTAAGGGTAGGTTAAAGGTGCTTTTGTTACCGTTTGTTATGGCTCTCTCCCTTAGGTGGGGACAACCATAACAATCGGGACAAACGAACACCAAAAACCTACGTCTTCTAACAAAAACTACCTTGAAAATAAAACAAGAAGAATATAGGAGCAATGCCAGCGATGCCGCGACCGACCAAGATGGAACCACGATGGAAAAAATGCTCGATGGCAAAAAACCAACTTCCGCCGGACCATCATCGAGAGCAGCATCGCGGACTAGTACAAAGAGCTCGTCTAGGAACCCTACCGATATTAAGGCTGGTTTAAAGGTGTTCTTGCTACCGTTCGTTTTGCCTTTCTGAAGCGGAGACGGCATAACGAACGGGGTAAACGAACACCAAAAGCATACCGCTAAAAACAATGTGAAGGTTGAAGAAGGATCGACTACAGGCACAGGCAGTGCTAGTCGTGCAAGGATCAAAACTCGATCTACTTGTACTGCGAACATCAAGGTCGAATCTTCTCCGTCTACAAGTGCAACCGACCCAGCAGAGGACGATGATAAAACTCGACTGGAGGACGCCGCAAAGCGCATCGTCACATTTTCGGAAGAAGAAGTATGGTTGCGCTTTAGTGAGAAGGAGCAAAAAATCATCAAAGATGCTTTCGAAGCAGGCTGTTTTCATTAGAGCATCGCATCTTTAATTTGTGAGTTCGACTCGTTGCTTGCCTCCTGTTGCTAACCTAACAATTCGATCTAGATTCATCTGACGGTCAACACGACAAGAAAAACGTGCACGGGTACTTACGTGTACCCAAGAAATGTAGGACTAGCAAATGAAACCACTTGGGACTGCTCTAAGTGTAGGAAATGAAACGACTTTGGACTGCTCTAGCTCAACATAAAAAATTCTAATTTCCAAAAGATATCGAGAAAAAGTCGCGAGTTCTCAGAGAGATAACGAAAAAGGGAGAGGAGGCACTCGCAGCACTGGAAAAGCAGATTAAAGGCGTGAAAAGGGCAAGCGCCAGAGCGGAGCTTAAGGCTCTAGGCCATATATACTCTACCTAGAAATCTGATGATGACATCAAGTGTTTGAAGTCGAGAGGTTATTGCTCGGATGTTACGGGAACAATAGTCTTATGGGAACAATAGTGTTTGAAGTCTTATACGGGAACAATATCCATTTACTTTTGAAGCAGGTAAAGAAATAGACATGAATGATGGAGTTGTTGAGCCCTGAAATGAACTCTAAGGAATGGCGTAACAAAATGAATTCAAGTGCTCGTGAAGAAGCTGAAGATCGTACAGAGCTGGACGAGAACATCGAAGATTGCAAGATGAAGATAAAGAAGGAGAACAACGACCCACAGCCACACTAGCTCAACAAGACGACCTTCCCGAAAAGAGCATAGTTAGAGCATGATATTGGTAAGAAAAGGGACAGAACTAGTTTGAAACTAGAGATAGAAAGAGAGTGGGACAGATGAAGACAGAGTTGTACGAGTAGAACAACTAGAGTGGGCTAAGTTTTGGGCGCAACATGAATACTTACAATTGTCCAGCGCAACAGTATTGATGAACTCTAGTCAGTTCTTCGATACGTTCTTCCCCGTTCCCATTATTATTGTTCTTCACGTGATGAATGAATGAAAAAGGAAAATGAAAGACCACTTAATTTAGCTTTACCCACAAGAAGCTTGTAATACTAGAAAGATTCCCCATGCGTGGAGGCACACGCACACTATCACGATGTCATGACCACACCTATCACAATGTCCTCATATTACTTTGCGCCTCTATTTTCCCTTAGCACTAATCAATTGGACTATTATCTACTTTCCTTGGCAGGCACTAGTTTCTATTTTTCTGAGCACTGATTTTTTAGATTTGATCATATTATTCTTAGCACCCACCCACGAGTACACACCATGATGAATTTCTGTGGTCTCAATACTTTATGATTTCGAAGTCGTACTAAAGGATGAAATCAACTGCCGCACCACTTCTGTAGTAGTAAATTCGGGTTTTATCCTTTCTTCAGACGAGATCAAAGAACAAACTCCATTCAAGAGGTCTTTCCACTTGACTTCTTAATATGGTTATATCTTATGAAGATAATCTTGATGATCTATTTTCATTTATTCATCAAGCGATCTATTTTCATGTGCCATGTCGTCTACGTAAACGTATTCATCCACTTATTTCACATCAGAAGTGTTCATCGGAGCCTCAGATGAATCTTCCGGGATGAGCTGCTTCCTATCTTAGGACATTTCGCATCGGTCGATACGGAAATGATCACACCGAAAAGGGATCTTTGCTGGTCGCATTGTTCATGGTCCATGAACAGTATCCTGCTGGGTGAAGTAGATCTATCACTCTCGTTTGATGTTGAAATTCATGACGAAGATTCTAATTGTTGTTCTTGTGTTAATCTTAGATAATATTTTTTGATCACGGTGAGTCTGAAGAGTCCGTCTGCGTGTTGGTGTTACTATGCTATCTTCTAGTACTAGTTTCGTTCCTTTGAAAAGCCTTCTTGACTCGAAAACGGTACCACCACAGCATCAACCATCCTCCACCGAGATCAGAAAAGATGCCTTCGTCCTCCAAGAGCAGTGGCAGTCAGAGGTTTGAACTGAATTTCAAACGTCGGCGATCTACCTCTCGTCGGAAGCGACGATACAGGAGCTCCTCTAGTTAAGAGCGACGCCTATCTATCTCCAAGAAGCATCCTGAAGAGACTTTTGCAGAGTAAAAACCTAAGTACCACGTAGAATTTTTACCAGAGGAGGTGGTACTTAGAAGCATCCTGCTCACCAAGTAGGACGCTTCTAAGAGCTCAAAAACAAAATGGGATATTGGGTTTGGGAAGAGCTCTAATCTACTTCCTCCTCCGACGGCAGCTATTACCGAGACTGTTCACCTCCGGCCAAACGACACAGATTTATGCTCTTCTTGCTTGTTTGACTTTGATCCTCGTTCTGTACTGAGTCTAAAGTTTTTTCCACCAAGTAAGTGGAATAAAGTATGAGTAAGTTCTTCACATTGATTCTTCCACAAGATTCACCCATTTGATTTCTGATTTTCCTAGTTTCTAGGGGTCTATTGGAGTACTTATTCAAGAACGTCTTGAGTGGTATCCATAAGTATACGCATCACTCTTGCTCTTCTTCTAAATTTCCCCGCCGTGACGAGAAGAACGATCGACGTCGTGACGATAGTTATTACGACCGCTACTACGATTACGACACTCCAAGGAAAAGGACGAAAAAGAAGGAGAGAAAACGCTACAAAGATGATTATGCAGTCCCGGTTTATCGATCATGTTGAAACTACAACTACCTTCAGGAAGAGAAAGAGTTTTCTTCACCAGGCATGTGTCAGTCTCGAATTAGCTGTTTCATCTTCCATAGTGTATCCGTGTCTCAGTTGGAGTTTCATCTTCTTGAGAAATAGGTGTCTGGGGAAACAACGTGAATATGACACCTATGACCTCTAACACATGAGTCCGAAGACCCGGCGCCACAGTCACAAAAATCATAAGAACAAAGAAGACCTTCCTCCGTCGTTTTTTGTGACCCTTATGGCTTCAGACGAGAATGATATCAGCGAGAGCTGGATTATCTTAGAACTGAGAATCGAATTGCAATTGCGTGTCAGCTTGATGATAGAGGAATGTTCATGATGTTGTAGTTACTACATTCATATGGGAACGGGAAGTCATTTCACAGGATAGAAATAGAATGTTGTAGTTGGCATCTTCTAACCACTGAGAGGTTTCTTTATTTCACAGGATAGAAATAAAATGTTGTAGTTGGCATCTTCTAACCACTGAGAGGTTTCTTTCACCTTGGTAAATTGTTGTAGTTGGCATCTTCTAATGACTGAGAGGTTTCTTTCACCTTGGTGAATTGGCTCCGATATATGATGCGGGAACGATATCCTCAGAACAAGTCCAATTGGGTGCCGTGGGCCGTTTTGCCAGGTATGTTACCACAACATGTATCATACACTTTGATCCCATCATGGACGAAAGCTAGGGAATAATTACCACTGGGCAGGAGGCAGGTGGGTACTAGGTATGCGTAGGTACTAGGTAAGTAGGCCGCAATGGTAAGGTAAGTATTCTAGACCTCCTAAAAATAAAAAAAAAAGTACTAGTACTACTTGTACTTGTTCAGAGTAATGCTATGTATTTCCTCCAGGTCCGGACCGATACACCGAGCAACACATTGAGGACGTAGCTGCAGATCACAACCGCCATTTAGAAGTCTGGCGAGACGAGGACACCAAGATGCTCTATGTACTTATGATTCACCTCTCTGTCGCGAAGCGAGTGTCAGTTTTCCTTTTTCTTTTCCATCCTTTTCTCTTCTCTCTCTGGAAATCCGTACGCAGCAACACGACTAGTCGGCGATCATCATCATCGTCATCATCATCATCATCATCATCATCATCATCGTTGTAGTTCATTGCTCGTCCCCATTGTATTTCATCTTGATGTGTACAAGTGACTCCGCCCTCACTCTCTAGTTCCCAGCTATTGTCATACTTCCTGAATACGAGCAGTACTCGTACTTCACACTCTCTAATCTTCGATCGAAACGGAAGAACAAGATCGAGTCTGAAGGCAACGATATCTCTTTTTGGAATGGTAAAGATCTGAGTGATGAAAAAGAACTGGCAAATAGGGATGTTGCCGAAAGAAAAGCTCAACGGGACAGCCAACGAGCCGCAAAGAGATTCCGTTCCCGTTCTTATGCTCTTGTTGTCTGTGATGAAGAAGTAGATTTAATAGCAGACTCTTCTGCAATAAAAGATACAATGTAGCAGAGTAGTTTATAGCACGCATGGTGCATGGAGTAGCATGGAGTGCATGGAGCGCAGAGCTTTAAGGGGCGCAAGAAGCTCCCCCTTTAGCTCCATGCTACTCCATGTGATCCATGCACTCCATGCCATGCGAGCTGTGAAACCTTAGAAATTGCTCCGCTTATAGTAGTTTTCTAACTTTTAGGGAGAATAAGTTTCTTGAATTCTAAGGGGAATGAGATCATTTTCTAGTAGGTCAACCGTTTTGCAATCAGTAGATGGTAAGTAAGAAGTTACCATTTTTTGTTCACTTATGTCTACGTAGACTCTTCTCTAACACAACCAACGCCGTACAACGCCTTCCAGAATCCCTGGTGGAATTTTGAAATATCCGCGTGAAGACGACTATTCGGATATGGAAATCGACTCTGATGTTACCGGAGGACCTCCGAATGTGGTACTTGTGATGATAAGTACTCTATAGGCAGCTGTAAGAAGATTTATTCGATGCTGTTCCTTGTACTTCTACCGTAGGCTAAGCACATTTTAGAAATGCTTTTCATCTTTGGCAGAACAGTTGAACTAGAAACAGCTGCATTTTTCAAATCGACACTCACCATCAGAACGAAAAACTGAATTGTTCCTTGGAGGACCTGATTACTGCGAACACGAAAGAGCAGCGCTACCGAGAATGATAAGCTGCATCATGTGTGCAGGATGGTGGAACAGAAACCAAGATGTAGATTGTTATTGTTTTGAAGTCGTTATTTTTTTGATGGAATTGACATTGTTCGAAAGAATGAAAACCTCCTATGCAGCGCTTTCCACAAGTAGGAAAAACTATTAACCGCGTACAGATGGATTATCTGCGTTTCGATAAGGAGAAAAATTATGAGCCTTATTTGAAGAATATCATGGGTCAAACACAAATGAGTACGTGTACGTCTAGTTCTTTGTTAACGCTGAAGCACCACAACTAGAAGAGCAGCACGAATACTCAACCCGCCATGGTTATGTTTAACTATTTTTCATTATACCCAATCAAGCACGTCATTAGTGGTCATTGTCATTAGTCGTCGAGCATGTCGTGTTTCATGTGGTTTCTTCAAAAGCGAATCCATCTCAATCCGAAAACATATCCTAAATTCTAGACACCTTATCTACAGTCAATGTCATCAGTGGGAAATGAACATGGAAGACATCAAACTTCCTATTAGGTCTTAATCTTGTGTGTTTGTATTGATGCGCTCCGGGCAACGCGTCCGATCTCGCCGGATTTTTTTTTTGGTTTCGTGTGTTTTGTGCTATGGTCGCCTTATATCTTATAACGCTTTCTCGTATTTTCTAAGAACGAACTCGAAATCTCACGCTTACCCCATTCGAATGAATGCTCACCCAAACCTTAAGCGGACTTATACTCAGCTACAAACAATAAAGATGAAAAAGGCACGACTCATGAATAATGATGACAGTCTCAGTCTACAAACTACAATCGCTACGGTGACTGTTTGGAAGATCACAACAAGGACACGCGAATGAATGTTGGACAAGATGATGTCTTAAGTACGCTTTGTCCGCCCCTTAGAAAACTAACGAATCCCAGCTGCTGAGGCTGAGCAGGTACAAACTATTTTTCGTTTTCTCGCTCTCTATGTTCTCATGTTCTCTGTAGGTTTGGGCATGAAAGATAGTATTCGCAAAAGACGAAAGATGAAAATACCTTCTTGTACCAAGCGTGATTACTTAGATGAGTGCCGAGAGCTACAGCATACGAGAGAAGATAGAGTAAGTTGTTCCGAAGATGAAGCCTGATAGAGTTGCTAGTTGCTTTTGTTCTCTCGGTGGAAGAGGAAGCCGGAAGATGACTGTGCCGATGGACAGGTGAGCACAGTTGCCAATCACGCGCCTGAGCAGGTACCTCACGTAGAGTCAGTGTCTATCGAATACTTAGCGTGGACACCTAAGCACAGTCAGCCTCATGTGTGCAGCCGCTACAGCGTCTGGCGTATAGTGCGGACTGCGGAAAGAACGGTTCCATCTTCTTATTCCTTTGTCCAGTATGGTCGACGATACATCAACCTGATAGCAGCTGCACAGAGAAGTGAGTCTCACGCTTGTATTTGCAGGAGAGATTTCACGGTACTGGAGGAAAAGACAGCAAAATCGTTCACGTCCCGGGAAGCGGAAGCTTGCAGAATGGTACAAGCTCAGCGTCAATTGCTCCGGTCGTTGAGGAGGAGATGGATGATGAGATTAAAAGGACGAGCTCCAGGAGGAGCAGGAGTACACCTGCTATCAGGGACGAGTGTCCAGTCATTACCCGTACTATGTTTGGCTACCAGAGGTCGGCGACATCTCTCTGCTGGAGCAGCGACACAGCTGAAGACCGAAAGGACATCAAGCGATCATGACGGGAGCACCGGTCTAGTTGTACCTTCTAGTGTAGAAAAACAACAACATGGTGAAACAAGTACAACAACACTTGAAGATGACCATGATATGCCTTATGACCATGATATGCCTTCACTCCAGGATGGGCAAAACAAAGAAAGATCAATCTTTTCTTCCGGTGGGAGTCCTTTTTTAGGAGTACAGAGCACGCACGAAGCAACAGACGATGCACCAGATGAGAGTCCAAGTTGTACGCTCACAGCCCTCCTCATGGCATCCCACGAAGAACGAGTGACTCAAGCGCATGCTGCTCGACTGAGAAGGGCAAACTGCGAAAAAGAGGAGTCTGAGACGCAAATGCGTGCTTGCAAATTGAAGGAAAGACTCTGGAATTTCTGTGCCAGAGGAACGTCGATGAAACTCCACGTGCGTTTCATCCGAGTCAGAGAGGAGGAGAACACCAATCAGAAGTTCAGTTGAGGCTACAATTTGGCTACTTCAAGCAGTATGAATAAGAATATTATATGAAAGCAGGATAATTATACATCTTGTTACCGAATATCTTCTTGATCTTCCTTGGCACCCTTTGTTCTTAAGGGAAAAGGTGCACCAAGAACAAGATGCTCAATGAGATGGATTTTTGCAGCACGCTCTAATTCAGATGCACAGTAAATTTGGGCCACCAACAAGCTGACGGAGTACACATTGATCGCCTGCAAGCCTTTATAACGGCTGCTGAAAGATTATTGGTGATACAGACGACTCGAAAAGCGCCAACGGACGAAGAACGCGCCTTGGCTCACAGTGCTAGTGGGCCAGAAGCTCTACAGACAATAAGACCAGGTCTGTGGGAGCTTTTTTTGCCTAGAATTTGGAAGGAAAACTTAAGGCTACCGTTGAAGCATCCCCTCCGACTCAGATCGTGACTCTTGGCCTCGTTTTCAAGGGGAAAAACAAAGGCGCAGGAACATCATCTCTTTCCTTGGCCTCTACTCTACTTTCAAGGGAAAGAGAAACTTCTTCCAAGGATATAACTGACTGCTCCCAAGGATATGACTACAAGGAAGGTGCGACACGACCGTAGCTCTAAAACACGCAGCTGGCTGTCTACCATATCTCTTCACAAATTCCTTGTCGACCTCGACAAGTAGTTTGGAAGATGGAGCATCGACCGGTGCGGGAAAGCAACTGTCTGTGGAGTTATGGGAAAAACTTATCGAAGACCATGCTGTTCGTGGCGCAACGGAGAGGATCAACGCTTCGCCTTATCTCTACAAAAAGCCTCAAATTAAGGCTTCCACAGAATTGAAATTCATCTTCAAGAAAGGGAAATTAAGGCTTCCACAGAATTGAAGTTCATCTTCAAGAAAGGGGGCACGACCGATCCTTGGTATTCTTATTTCACATTCATAGACATCCACATCGATCTTTGATATTTGTCTTTCTTGCAACATCAAGTAGGGGAAAAAGTCAAGAATGCACTGGAAGACTGGAGTTGATAAGTCTAATCAGAGAAGGCCGATGCATGACAGGGCGGCCGCACTCCACAGGCGACTGTGTTTGTATCCCTCTGAGAGCAATGGTCCGTCATGTCTGGAGCGAGCCTTTTGTTTTGAAGGTGGCGCGGAATATTTTCGCAAGTGGAGAGGGTTGCTTGGTATGGAGCAGCGATGTGACTTTGAAACGGTCTTCACCGAGTCACAGTCTGATCATCAACACAACTACAACAAATATGGCGACGCGTCAAGGTCAATAATGGATATCGGCCAAGTGCGTATCATAAGCAAGCGCTATCCGGAGGTTCTATATAACTGGCCAGTGATACACGTACAAGCGACTGCTTACAGGCAGTTCGACGACGTACGCAATGGCGACCTGTGGATCCTCAACGGGCGACCGTGCAAGCTACTGAAGCAAGGCCTGAGAGGCACCCAGACTGCAAATGACGATGCTTATTGTGCATTATTGGACGGTGAAGAAGCTGACTTGCATCTGCTCCAACTTAAGGATGGTACCGCTCGAGCATCGTCAGCACCATGATCCGTGGCTCTAACATAATCCATAATGTCTTAGAGCATTTCCTAAGATGGATGATGGCTTGCAATGCATTGCATGGATGGCAGGGCCAGGAGGAGCGAAGGCGTGACCTTTTTAAAAGACTACTAACTTGGAACCATGCGGACGCGGTAGCAGGGGTCGTAGCTCTAATCAATGCGGAGGCACTACTGCAGACGTCGTCAAATTTGGGAGTGCAGTGCCGATGGAACGAATGGTTCGCGCGCTAAAACATTTTTCAGGTTACATGCTGCCTGCAAGTACCAGCACGGGTCCTTTTGACGTGTCTCCGTGGTTACAGCGAGTATTGCTCTTGGATCAGAGAGAAAATGAGAAAATCGCGGAAGCTGTTCCGCCACTGCCTTCGATTCCTTTCACACAGACACAAAGAGCAGCCCTAGAGGCCGCTACGAGTATTAAGGGTAGCTTATCACTATCCCATGTGGACTGTACTGAGTGAAGTCCCCCCTCCTGTACTGAGTGAAGGCCCACAGGGAGGAGCATCAAAAGAGTTTTGAACAAGATCATCCGAAGGGGAAAATATAGGCGGAAAAGGGCATCTCATTCGACCAGGGATAGTGAAAAACTACCTCGAAGAGTAGGCGGATAACTCTTATCCAAGGTCCTCCTGGAACCGGAAAGACGCACTGTGGAGCAGCCATCGTTGCTTCCTACCTTGCCAAATATCCCAGTGCCCGTATCCTAGTCTGTGCAGACAGCAACATCGCCACAGACAATATCTGCTACAGTTACGGGCTTACTTAATCTGGCAGCTGTCGCTTTGCATTACTTACTTATCATCTTCTGGCAGCTCTTGCTTTGCATAAATACATCTTATCCTGATATTCGTTCCCTATTTTGAAAGACCACAGACGACCACTTATATGCAATCCGTCTTTTGGATTTAGCCCATCTATGAGCAGCTGTTTTCAAGAACTTAGAACTATGGAAGGAGATTATGAAAAACGTGGTGGTTCAGGTTCTAACAGAGGATAAGTAAGGAAGGAGATTAGGAAAAACATGCTAGTTCAGGTTCTAACAGAAGATACGAGAATATGCAGCACAAGCGAGAATGATTCGCTCTGGTGACGGCGGCTGCGAGGAGCTGATGAATTTAGTCTTGCTCTTAGATGGCCAGTCTCATGACGAGATCGACCGCATGGGGCCCTACGAACTGAGGCAGGCGCGCAGAACTGCAATGGATCGACAGCTCTCCAGAGCCCAGGTGCTAGCATGTACTTGCGTTGGTGCGGGGGCAGGACATCTCGATGGACCCGGCTACGATCTTGTTTTCATCGACGAAGCAAGTTAAGGCTTTTCCTAATCCATCTCTGTAGAGAGCCCGCAAGCGTAGGCATCCGAATACAAGGGAGCAGATAGCTAGCAGGCACATTTTTGCAGGATCCCTACAGATGCTACGAAGTGGGAGATGCTCTAAGCAAGTCAGGTGACGGAGCCCTCGGCGCTCGTCGCACTGCAGAGAGCAGGCAAAGACGTTAAGCAGGTAGTTATGCTGGGAGATCATAAGCAATTGCCACCTACAGTTTTCTGCGATGAGGAGGCGCTTAGCGTTAGTCTCTTTGAGCGACTGATAGACGAGGGAGTGGAGCCGGTCACGCTAGTGGAGCAATGGCGCATGCATTCTCAGATTGCAAAGTTTCCGAGCCAAGCCTTTTATCATGGATGGCTTCTGAACGCTACAGACGACAATAAATTGCAATCGATTGGAGCGACCAAGAGTAACGTAGAATTGGTCCACGTTGCACCCTTACAGCAGCAAGGAAACGAGACAAAACGAGGCCCCTCAGCCTGCAACGAGCAAGAAGCGGCTCGTTTAGTGGAATACTTGAGTTAAGGCTCCTCTGGATATTTCATGATCTTGTTGATCTCTAAGACGTATTAGCATTCGCCTCGGTTTCCCTTTTGGAGCCCTTTGAGACTATGAGGGAGTTCAACAAAACAAGATGAATTAAGTACGACCTTCAGCGCTAATTTTGGAATCTGGAAGTGGCCTCGCCCAAAAATGCCTACGCTGAGACACCAGCCTCGATTGGAATTTTAACGCCTTATCTAGCGCAAAAGCAGGAGATTGAAGACTTGCTTCGCCGAGACAGGTCGCTTAGCCGCTTGAACTTACGGCTACTACTTACAGATAATTCATCTTTGACAGGGTCAACAACAACAGCATCTTTGAAAAGTATTACAGTAGTAAATGGTCTATTCCCCTGATAGATATAGTACTGCAGAAAGTCAAAGTGTAGAAATCAACATCTACACCAGTGAAACCCTAGAGGGACAATCCCATGAAACCCTAGAGGAGCAATCACTGAATGGCGAACCCGGACAGCTGCTCTAATGAATATCGAAGTCGACACGATTGATGGTTTCCAAGGGATGGAGAAAGACTTGATCCTTTTTTCGGCCACTAGATCCAACCCCCATGGAAGCGTGGGCTTTTTAGCAGATCCGAGGCGAATGAATGTAATGCTGACACGTGCGAAAAAATCCCTCGTGATTTTCGCTGATGGTACAACCCTGGAAAAATCGGGGTCGCCCTATTGGGAAGCCTGGCTGAAGTGGGCTCGCCAGAACGCTGCAATTACCGGGGACGACTTTCCGGAGAGTAGAAGAAGCGAGCAGAACAAGGATTTTGAAGATACAGGAACTAGTGGAGGCTCAACATGGCGAAGGCGCGTGGATTCTAGTAATCAGTCGCAGAAGCGCTTGGCTCAGGATTCTAGTGGCGTGCACCCTCACCCCCGGAGTTCCTACAAATATCTGCGTAAAGATAAAGGGCATTTAGAGGCGCGCAACTATTTGTAGCTTGTAAAGACTACAACGTGTTCTGCAGAAGTTGGTCTTCCATAGTCTACTTCTACATTCATACATGAAGAAATGAAGAATATCGATATTTATATATAGCGATACGTAGAGGCGGAGGACATGATGTTGATTTCCGTTGGTTGTCTTTGTTGGTGATACAGTTGCAACAGAACAGATATAGATAGCGAAGATATACCTAATGATAGCGCGACAAAAGACACTGAGTGGCGATTTGGACACTCACAACAATGGAGAGAACAAGCGAAGAATGAATGCTGTTGAACACGAGGATGTTTCTAAGTAACTGCGCACCGTTTGTTTCCCACGCAAAATAACGAATTGGATGGTGTAAGTAATTTTCACTGGTTATTGCTTGCTCCTTTGAGGATGTGATAATGCTGTATGCTCATGTTTCTCGGCATGCAAGCATCGGCATGCATTTGAATTATCGATGTGTATTATGGACCTTCAGTGACAGTGTCCGTTTGGAATGACGGAGAAAAATGAATCAGTGATTCGAAGATCGATCTCGTCGTACGATGAGAATGTATTGGCAGACTGAGTTGTGCATCATGAGTTCATCTGTATATCGTATTTGTTTGTAGTTGTCTACGAGAACGAGAGGGACAGAATTTGGCGCCATGTCTTGTTTATGGCGAACGAATACGTGGCTTTGTGAAATGACGAGAAGAAAGTGGCATTACTTCTCATGAAATGCCGTCTCTTTTCATGATGTCGAATCTTGAGATTACTTTGGTAGATCTGCGCAGATTTGTTGTGGTCACAACATCATCAACATCCGCATCGCCATAGAATTCTAGCTGCAGGCATCCACAAACTCAAACAGAAACTATGGAGCTAATTTTTCCTCCCGAAGGGGCGCCTTCCTCTGCGAAGCAAGCGAAGACGGTCAGATCTGAAACGAATCAGAAAGCAAGCAGCTCGGACCCTCCTGCCAGGTTCCGGAGGCAAGATTGGGAGTGCCGGAGCCGGGATTGCTGGAGCTAGTGCTTCCACAGCAAAGTGCGGCAGTAGTAGCAGCGCAAGTAGTAGCAGCACTAGCAGTAGTGTTGCGAAAGCAACGGGCGGCAATTCTGCGATGGCGCTGAGCGCCGCTGACCGGCAGGGTGCCCTTCACTATCTTGATATGTCCATCATGTGCTCTGGACTACGCGAACAGCCAAATGAGCGCGATCTCCGCGTGCTTCACCAGGGAACGACACAGACAGACTATGAAGATACTGCTATACATGGGGTTTGATGCGGGTCTATGACTACGCCAACATTGGGAATCTCCACACGCCTACTTTAGAGGATACCACTTTTTGCGACGAAAAGGCAAATAAGATCCACCATCTCAGAGGAGGTTGTGGTCGAATTCAAAGTCGGCCTGTGACATGTCGTGAATGCTGCTCGGCGCAGATCTTTATCACTTGGATTGGAGTTCGTAGTGAATAAAGAACTCTTTCAACAACATCGTGGCTCCATCTGCATAATCTTCAACAATCCTGTCATGCCCTAGCATTTTGGTTTGTGCGGTCCTCCGTTCTATCTTTCAGGCAGCTCCTGCCAAGACCATAGAATTTAAAGATAAGCTTGCCTCGTGTGCGGAGCAGGCGTTCTCGTCTATTTCTTACAACAGCTGCAATATCCGAATGATTCAGCTCATCAATCTATCTTATCTCCTGTTATTCCATCATGCGGTTGCGGACGCCGTAGCGCGAATCTTGATGAAAAAGCATGGCGTTAGTAAGGTGGGTTGCGATGGTGAGAAGAAGGAAACTCTCGTCACTGTCAGTAAACTCGCCGTTTCCATAATGCACGAAAAGTTCCAGAAATGATGGGGAGAAGGCACACGGAAAATCATCGATGATCATGTAGAGAATGCGGATGGCTTTTCGACGCCTTAACAGGGTCGTGAACAAACTGTGAAAGTGAGACATCGCAAGATGAACACGCAAAATAAATAAATGACCTGGTCTTTTTCGAAAGACTATGTCTTCATCAATCATCCGCAGCCGTGTTTTGATTAGAAATAACTCGGCCACAGTCCTGAGGTACGCGGCAGTCATTGACTCAGGTGTTCCTCATCTCTAACAACGGTTCATGTAGGCAGATGACATGGCTGTGCGACAGTAATATGTAGTGTGGTACTAGAGCGAGGACGGGCTGAGTGATGCTATACCGTTGTGAAGATATGATGGAGAGATTGAAATACTGAAACTGATCAGAATCGCCTCCAGTATAATCTTCACCAGTTTGTTGGAAGAGTGCCTTCTTTCCTATTGAGAGGCAAAAAGGTGAATTAACTACACAAGATGTCTGCGTCTAGCTGCAGGTCCAAGTGTGCTCGCCCGGCCGTTCTTGCCGGATGTGTAGGCACTCCGTTGGTTGGTGGATTTGAAAACAAGCAGCACAAAACGACGATGGAGATCAAACCAAATGCGGACTTTTTAGAAGTAGACGAGCCATATTTTAGCGAGGAGGTGGCCACAGATTAAGGGTTGGAAGTTGACATCTCTATGCACATCTTTACGGCTTCTTCAAGTAGGAAAGCCATAGATATGCGAGCTAGAGACGACAACTCTCAACCCCTAAGCAGATGCCAGTCGAGACGTTGCAGGCGGGGCAGGGGCAGCGAGTATGCCAGAAGGTGCAGAGAGCATGCTCGAGCATACCAAGACGCTAGCAGATAACTCACAAAAAGAACCACCACAGGACGCCGCAAGCGCAGCAGTGACGGAATTAAAACAAAAACTCGCGGAGTTTTCATTACAAGACCCCATGGATTTACAAAAAGAACTCGAGAGCTTACAAGAGGTAATGCGTGCCTTGCAAACCGCGAGGGCTGCCCATGAAGCGGCAAGTACTACTTGGTTACGATTTGTCGAGTAATGGGCTTCAATCTGAAACATCGGCATCACTCTCAGCAAGTTTTTTCTTTCCAAAAACATCTTCACTCATCTGCAGGTGAGAAGGACACGCTGACGATTTCCAACGAGAGACTCACGAATTTAGAAGAGAAACTCAAGAAGTTAAAATACCAGCTCGGCCTGCGGACGTCGATCCCCGAATTATGAATCATCTTAAGCATGAGCATGAGGACCATCCCACCAGTACGGAAGTCAACAACTGAAAGACTTGCGAGCATCATGATCAAGGAAACAACAGGAACAAGATAATCACAACGACAGCAGCACGAAGATCAACAGCATCAAGATCATCAGCATCATCATCAACAACAAGGAGACCAAAGTCGTAAGGTCTTAAGCGTGTGCAGTAAGCAGCAAGCTGATGAGTAAGGAGATAGTTGCTCCGGATCTAGTTAGCTTAGGCAGATGAAAGGCACTAAGCCCCAGGGATCTTCGTACTTACAACAACAACAAAGCCAGACACTTTGTCTTCTCAAATTTATCCTGTGCTTGTGCAGATTAGCACTAGTCACAGGACAGGGGCGACATCGCTGAGGATAATGGAGAGCATCACCCAAAACCGTAGCCATTGGGCTACCTTGAGGCGAGTCTAATTCTGGTGCTCTCCTGGCCGCAGCATTCTAGTGCTAACCTTGAGCTTTTCTAGTTGTTTCCTCATACTGAAAGCCTTAGGACTCTTGTGGTTATAGATAGTTGAACTTTATACGAAGCAGAGTCTTTAAATCTGTTACGTGTAAGAATTTCGCTCCCTTCTCCGTTGTGTTGTAGTGCTGATTGGCGTAAGTCTTGAGTGAGAGAATAAAACTGACCGACTACGAAACGCGAACAGCAAACAGCTCGAGAAGTTTACGGCTGAGAGCTAAGCAATCTGCTGCATGACGAGAAACCTACGAGGATGCCAGGCATCACGATCACGAGAGTAATACGATGCGGCTACTCTGTTCGAGTCTTCTGGTGAGATCTGAAAGCACGACGAGGAGCACGAGGGCGAGCACGGTAGTAAAATTTTGATTGATTTAATTCGTACAAAATTGACCAGCGAACTCGTAGCCATATGCTGCTACAAAAACCCCACAGGGAAAGCCTTAAGGTGGCCCATTTTCTCAACTTTCTAGGGGCATAAAATTCCAGGCAATAAACAAAGCAATCAGTCACGCAGTTACTCAATAAACAAAGCAAGAAGTAACTAACTAACTCAGTCAGTCAATGAAGACGCCAGTCAGTCAATCAGTCAACCAACTAAGGAAGTCAGAAAATTCTTAGTGGGTTAAACAGTCAAGACCTTCACAAAAGTAGCCCCATCCTTACACGAGCAAACCGACGAAATTCGGCGCACCTTTCTGGCTGGCGCGATAGGGATACGGTTGCGCAAGCTGTTGGAAGTTACTCCCTTCACGGTTTTCAAAGTGGCAAAGGGAGCCAAGCAAGAAAATCCTGAACGGCAAGAGTCTAGTGGTGTAGAAAAATTCCGAGTGGGTATCTAGTGGCATTACTAAGCTGAAAGTTTAGAAAATTCTTGGTGGACGTTAAAGCAAAGGGCCCAGCTGTTTGGCAGTTTACCTGGCTGGTGTACTGGACTGAAGCCAGAGCAAAAAGCGAAAATGCCGCCTCCGGTAGTGCAATGCCAAGGCCTCCTCGATCGTGGGGTAGCGGCTACCCTCCTGGTGCGAGGAGTACCCTCGGGGAGCCTATATGACGGGGGAGGAAATACCAAGTCGCGCCCCGACATGTATCAGGCAGCAATCCAGAATAACTACCATCGTACCCCGCTGACAGCGGTGACGTCCACGCTAACTGTGCCGGAGGTCAGTCAGTTGCTCAGTACGTATTTCCTGGACACCACTGGCACGAAAGCAGGAAAGCTTCTACGCTTCAGGGACTTTATGAATGGTCATCAGTTTGCACCACAGCAACAGCCTCCAGCAGCAGGAGGAGGAGCAGCGCAAAGCAGCGCCCCACAACCGCGAAAGCCTGTCAAGTTTACGCATACGGACAGGAGACAGCTTGGGACTTTCATCGATGAGCTTTCTGATACCTGCAAGGTATTACGCATCCGCGATCAGTTTCAAGCCCGCGACAGACCTCAAGCGGGATTAGTTCTGCCAGGGTTATCGGAACAGGGAGCGGCATCGTTCGCGGTTTTGACCAAGGCGATCAAGGACTCTTTATCCGCCGGCATTCGCGTCGCGGTGCTCGAAGAGATTCGTCGGCCGCGCATGACTGGCACGGCCTGGGATGTCGTGCAATATATCCCGAAGCAAGTGAACAGTTTGGGCGCAGCGCAAGAAGGTGCTGAGCCTGAGGAGTATAACCGATCCAACTGGAAGCAGTGCGGTGGTCCGCTACGCGATTACGCTGCAGAACTGAAGCGCGCGCTCGGTCAGTTGTCTACTCGGTTTCCCGCGGAGCCGCCGTTCGAAATGGAGCTTCGGCGCAAGATCATCAAGCACGTCGATACTTCGCAAACCGAGACCAGATTGCTTGTGGATCAAGTTCAAAGTCGTGCAGTCGCGCACGCTGAAGGTTCCGCTGGGTTCTTCATCGCCGAGCTTGCCCGCCGTATGGTGTGCACTGCTGGAGATTCGGAAAAACACTGCGAAACTTGCGCTGCTCTCGACGATGAGCAGAAGCAGCAGCAAGCCGTCCAGCAGGCTTTTGTCACTGGCAAATCGTTCGGAAAAGGAAAAAGCATGGGGCAGGGCGGCGCGCCCAGTTCCAAGGGGGAGCAAAGGTGGCCACAAGCAGCAGCAAGAGAGAAAGTTCTGCAAGAAGTGTCTTGATCACTACAAGTCAATCGGCAAACAGCACGAGAAAGCTGCAGCTATCCGCTCGCACAATGTGAAAGGTTGCAGTCAACCTTGGAAGACGCCGACGAAGGTCGCCAACCACAAGGGAAAGAACAAGCTAAGCAAGAAGGGTGGAAAGCGCGACAAAGGAAAAGGCGCGAGGAAGTCTGTTCTTAAGTACAAGCAGAGCCAGTGACTAACTTCTTCCAATGATAGCAATTGACAACTCTAGTGGTGAAAGAGAAGAAGTGGCGACGGATATAGCAAAGAAAGTAAGTTGGCGGCCGAACTGCATTCCGTCTTGGGTAAGTGACAGCACCTGGGGAGTTATAAAAGCTGTCATCAAACGGGAGCAACAACGCAAGCAAAGGATGAAGAAGATGAGGACGAAAATGAAAACGAGGATGGGCCTGAAGCCAGCACTTGAAGAGGTTGGGCATGGGCTTGAAGTGTTTTTACAAGGTCAGTCTTCCAGTGGGGCGATCATCGACTCCGGGCCAAAGTTTCACATCTCTCGAATCGAGTCGGACTTCGACACACTCGCGGCAGAATCCAGAGCCAAGATCCAAGGCGCTGGCGGTATTGTTCTGGGTCGGTTCGGCACTCTCAGGCCGAACGTGCTCGGCAGTCACTTAAGAGCGACACTCGCCAAGGATTTACCCGGAGGCCGACTGATAAGCGTTGGCGGTCTGAACTCAGCCGGATGGAGAGCAGTACTCGGAGCGGTTCCGCAAGGTTCTCACTTAGAGCACAAGCGTCTTCGTCTGCCCCGGGTGAACTTGCAGAAATCCGCCGGAGGTTTGCCATATTTGCAAGATTTGCGCAAGGAGCTCGGTTGTAGTCGGCGAGTGCTATTCTGAGGATGCGCCTGTCTGTCCAGAAGTGGAGAGGGGGCGACAGATTGTGCCATCAATCGGCTTCCCAATCCCATCGAGGCACTCTTAACGCGAAAAATGTCTGAGCGCGCGCGGTATCTCGAGCACCTTAGCAGTTGCCATCCGTATGGCGAGAGGCTCGGCAAGGTCGACTGTCTGCGTTGCTCTATGCAAAAGGCGAAAGCTGTGAGTCTGTCACAAGAAGGAACGACCTGACTGAGGAACTCCATAGTCCACCACTTTTGGCAACAGCGTGTGACTTCTTACGTCGGTCCAGTAGGACCAACTTCCATCAGAGGAGCGCGGTTAGCTTTGACATTTGTTGGCGACGCATCCAAGTTAGTACGCAGCTGGCCGAGGAATTTCCTCGAAGGATTTGGCTCCGAAAGTTCTGAAGGAGATCATAGAGAGCCTTCGGGTGAAGTTTGGCGTGAAAGGCACGAACATGACTCCAAGTGGGAAGATCATCGCTGCAGGTATCAGGTCGGACAACGTAGACGCACTCCGTTCCACCGAGTAGCGATCGACAGCAAGCAGACGAGACTACCGCTACAGCTGAGCGAGCTCCATAGGGTTCGTTATAAAATAAGCCACAAGGCAACTCCGTCGTAGAAACGGTAGGGGGAACGTTAAAGCTGAACTTGCGAGCCAGCATGGCTGGCGTCGGCTTACGACTGTGGTGCTGGTGCTTTGGGTGCCTAGTCATAATTTATAACATGACCCCCAGGGACATGAAGCGAATTCCACAGAAAATTATAACTGAGGGAAGAAAGCAACGCCTGGCGCTTACTGGGGGCGACTCGAAGCCCAACGAGCAAAGCAAGCAACTCAGGGCGTCGGCGCGCGGTAAAAGCTAGTCCTCTGGAGATCCTCACGAATTTTGTCAGAGGACCCAATCACGGCGATGAGATCTGCAGCAGGAAAACGCAAATACCGGCGCCGCTTCGGTTGTCTCGTGTTCTTCAAAGTCCGCCCAACTTTCAAAGTCTTTGCAGACCGGCGCACGCCAGGGGTGTTTTTGGGTTTCAGTTCGGTCGGCTCCGCCTGGATAGTGGGCGGGGTTGTCTCTGATGGCAGGACCAAGACGGGACTTAAGTTCAGCGCCTATGAAACGATCGGCGTACAACTCCCACGAGGATAAGTTGGTCCGTCGCTACGGTCGAGGGCTTGCTCCAGGTTCTGGGGATTACTATGTTGGAAGACGATTCGTCCGCTCGCGTGCCGGAGTATGATAGATCCTGCTCGATTCTTGTCGCAGACGGGCGCGCTTGGAGAAAAGCATGGCAGCTTGGAGGGTTCTAAGTGCGCGGGGGGGTAGTCACCTGGGAGCCTGAAACTAAAGGCCAGGAGGCAGGAGCTTGCTACCGCGGGACAGGTCGAGGCATGGGATCCTGCTAAGATTAAGAAGGAGCCCGCCCGAATTGGACGAACTAAGTCAACCACGACCGAGGAAGAAGCTCAAAATAAGCTCAGGAAAGTAGTGACATCTGCACCGCATGAGTCTAGTAGAGAGAAGTCCTCCGCCAGTAAAGACGCTCCGCAGTACATCCTTCCAGAGCCTTCTCTAGCATCTAGTAGCGCGCAGGAGAGGAGTCAGCTCTGCTAGAACGCTGCGACGCATACCAGACGACGCCGATCGCTATCTTATGCCGCAGCACAGGGCTAAGAAACCTCGACGGAGACGAGAAAGAGCAAGAGCGCTCCCGCTGAGTTAGCTACTTCTGTTTTCATTCTGGACCCGCGACAATTCGCAGCGTCGTATGTGGCTACGCAGGGAGGGAGTTTGTCGTCAGCTAGAAAAAGAAGAGGAAGAAGAGCGCGCGTCTCTTGGTGCTGAGATCTTGCGAGCGGCACAGGGTGGAGATGGTTTTGCGGGATCGGCTCCACCTAAGGCCGCCACGAATCCACAAAGCCCCAGCCACCTGAAGTGGGTAGAGGCGGATGACTTGGAAAGGGCTTCCAGTGGAAGCGTGTCGCCGTTGGGGGAAGCTAAGTGAGGACGAGGAAAGAGACTGGATGGAAGGACACCGCAAGGCAACCCTGCCGGCGATTCTGTATAACCACAAGTGGGGCGGTAGATTCAAAGCTCGGCGATTCGTTCTAGGTGACTGGTGGGATCCTGGTGGCTATCAAGAGTTAGACAGTCTTACTCTTACGGCTTCGCAAGTTGGTAGTCGCCTAGTTCTTATCGAAGCAGCACGTAGAGGATGGGGCGCCATTCCGTAGGACGTCGGAAGTGCGTTTATTCGAGCTTCTACAGATCGCACAGCCCTAAAACCTCTGCCGAAGCAGTGGCGCGATGGACAGGAAGACGGACCATGGCGCTAGGGGTTTACTTCGGGCGCTTTATGGGTTACCGATGTCGCCTCGCTTATGGCAGAAACAGCACGCCAAGGACCTACAGGAGATGGGCCTCGAGGGCGGAGGGCTTACACAGTCCCGGCATTTGGACTGCGCGAGATTCTTCTGGTGAACTCATTGCGATGCTGAGTGCTTACGTGGGTGGTTGCGCTCTAGGCTAGCCGCGAAGGACAAGGAGCTTAGCACCGGCTTGATCGATAAGCCCCGTGCCCTACTCCCGTTATCCACGACTAAAGTGGATGAAGTGGCCGACAATGATGGCACTTGGCTTCACTTCGACATGCTTGGGGCAGGCGTTTTCTACAATGCTCAAGAGAAGTCGGCGAAGATCACGATGGCGACCTACCTCAAGAAGATGCCCAAGACGTTCGGCATGGAGAACCGCAGCAGCTTACCAACTCCGGCCTTCGGCGAGGCACTTCTTTACCAGGATTCGCCTCAGATCGAGCTCAACACTCGGCAGGTAGCCGGCTCCTTACAGTGGGCGGCAGCTACGGTGGCCAGGCCCGACTTAGCTCAAGTGACGGATTGTCAGGCGCGTGCGGCAAACCGTCCGCCAAACAAAGCAATCGCTGCAGCGTGTAAACGTGTACTAGCTACGATACGCCCAGGGGTCGACCTTTGGGCGAAGGCAGAACTTATAGTCCCCAACAAGAGCAGGAGTCCCAGAACTTATTCGGGGACCTTTATCACCATCTGGAGAGTATTCAGATCAATGAAATGGCTATTGACTGAACAAGAGAAGAAGTTCGGGCTGGAGTTCTTTCATCCCCTCCAGAGTTTCGGTGATGCAAGTGAAGTTTCGCTTCTACGCTCGAACCCAAGTCGGCTGCTGGAGTAGTCGTATACTACTACGGCTGTCCAGCTCCAGCTGTGTGGAAGTCCACGGCCCAGACGGTCCGACGTGGATCGCAGTGCGAGTCTGAAACTGTGGCCCCGCCGGACCTTCTCAAAGTCTCGGAAGACATCCACGCAATTCGCCGCTTTCTTCGAGGTGTGCCAGAAACAGGCGAAAGAGACAAAGATAAAGGGCCTTTGTGGTTGTACTGTGATAGTCGTAGTGCTATAATTAGCTTAACGAAAGCCAACCTTAGCGACGTACTGAAAAAGAGTAGACGCGTAGCCCTGCGCTACATGCAAGTGCGGGACGACGCGCAGCGTCTTTGTTTTTGTTATGTTCCAACGGGCGCGCAGAGGAGTGGCGGTCTGGCTAAGACTTCGGCCAGTGGCTTACTTTACCCAAACGTCTTCCATGTTCAAAGCATGAAAATAGGCGCTGGCTTTCCTACTTAGTGCGTTCTGGCCTTTGCAGTTCCATACTAGGAAGGCATGCCTTACATCTTCGAAGTCATTCAAATCGCACGCAACAGACTCCATCTTTTGCCAGGTTTAACATCTTCAGCAACATCGTCCGCGCTTGTATTGCATCGCTTTCCACTTTCTCAAGGGTTAAGTTTTGCTATTGCAATTTTCTTGGCTTAGTCCGTATTAGCTATCAACAAGAAGCACACAGCATGAGAAGCCAAAAATGATTAGTGAAGAAACAACTAAACAGCTAAAGCAATAAATTAAAAGCAAGAGAGTACCACCGAAAAGCAAAGAAGTGAAACCACATAAGTGAACTACTTAGGCTTTACCTTAAGTCACTGGCTAAGTTTACTCACTGACCCGACAAAGTAGAAAGCTTGGAGTGTCTAGCCATTGTGGGGCTGTTCTTCTTTCTTTCGTTTTCTGCTCGGTCGCTTCAGTTTGGTGGAGGGCGTTACCTCTGACGACCTGTTGCGCGTCGTTCAGTTTGTGTGTGAAGGGGGGAGCGTCGATCTCCAAACTGTGAATCATCTCAAGCATGAGCATGGGGACCATCTTACCAGTACGGAAGTCAACAGCTTAAAGACTTGCGAGCATCATGATCAAGGAAACAACAGGAGCAAGATAATCACAACGACAGCAGCACGAAGACCAACACCATCAAGATCATCAGCATCATCATCAACAGCAAGAAGATCAAAGTCTTAAGGCCTTAAGCGTGTGCAGTAAGTAACAAGCTGATGAGTAAAATAGTTGGCCCGGATCTAGTTAGCTTAGGCAGATGAAAGGCACTAAGCCCCAAGGATCTCCGTACTTAACAACAACAACAACAAAAACGAAACCAAGCAATGCCTTCTCATCTCTTCTCAAATTTATCCTGTGCTTGTGCAGATTAGCACTAGTCACAGGACAGGGGCGACATCGCTGAGGATGATGAAGAGCATCATCCAAAACCGTAGCCATGCCATTGGGCTACCTTAAGGCCAGTCTAATTTTGAAGCTCTCCAAGCCGCATCAGCGGAACGAAAAGGAACAGAGTCTGACCTTTGTCACGGACGCATATAGCTGTTATGTCTGACTGAAAGATCCAGCCATGGGTAAGGAGCGCAATCGCCAGAGGCCTCAATACTAGCCAATGGCCTGAACTCAATTAAGGTCGAACGTGGACAAGTTTGGCCGACTGTGCCCTCCCTTGTCGAGTTCCAGATAGATACTCTCAAAGCTCAGGCGAGTCCCTCCTGCCTCGCTGTTTTATATGGCTGCTAGTTTTTCAGGAGGTCACATCCTCGCCCGTTTTCTGTGGCAGATCTCCAGCGAGTGCCTGGCTCGCCACAGATTTTCCTAAAAGTTCGGGGCCTAGCCCAGTCAGGTCGGCTCGCTAGAAGCGTGCGGGCGCAAGAACCTTAGTCCGCTGCTGCAGCATGTGAGTCCTTTGCTTTTTCCTCGATGTCATGCCATCGCGAAGGCGCTGCTCATGTGTGGTGGTGCTACGCAATCGCGACCGCAGCGTCTCTCGCTTATAGAGAACTGGACTGCGAGCAGAGCTACTTACCACGCGTCGCCGCTGAAACACTGCAAGCGTATCAGCCATGCTTCAAACTTTTGGCCAAGACCAGGGAAGCTGTGGGCCAGGAGCTTGGCCTCAGACTCTCCCAGCCCACATGACTGCCCTCATTTCCGCTCCCGAAGCAAACGCGCGCCGCCTCCAGGGTTGGCCTTGATGCCGCAGAAGTGTCGACCCCCGAGCACATGGGACACATACTTATCATCGTGCTGGTTCCTCTTTTTGCGTCTTGACGACTCCAAGGGGACCATCAGCGCAATGGCTATCGGTGCCGCCTGGGCTGGGTATACAATTCCAGAAGCTAAGAACGCACAGGGCTGCACTTTATCGCAAGCAAAACCCGCGCAGGGTCTTGGCTGCTGTTGCGAGGCCTCTGCTTTGGTCGGCCCAGCGAAGGCACTGCTCTGCCCCGTGCACGCCTCCAAGCCGCACGCCTTCGACAAGAAACGCCGCTGATCTAAAAAAAATGTCGCATAGTAGTGCCCTAAGTGCCATCAGAATCACGCGCGTCGCAGGCTGAGGCAGGTCGTATGGACAAACATGCGTGGCGCCTCTTCGGAGCGCCAAGGAGAGCGCCTCGGGCCTTATTCTATTAGGGTACGCGGTGCCTGCGCCGCTTGGGGTGGCGGTATGCCAATGAGCAGGATAAGGCAGACGGCGGCAAGCAAATACTGCAGAGCATTACTCTGAGCAGGCTGCTGCCATGCGGGGCCTTATGTCCATCGGGTGGCTTATAAAAAGGCCAGACTCGCGCTGCAGGTGCAGGCGTCGCGCGAAGAAGAGCAATCTTGTAACATAGTGATGCCCTAGGCTTGCTACCACCGAAGCAGCTTTTCGCAACCAAGAAAGTCACGCAAGCGTCTGGCTTGCTTTAAGTCTTTCTTTCGTTAGGTTTTCTTCTCTGTCCTCACAACTTGCTTCTTCAACATCTTTGGGCCGTCTGCTTCTTTCAGACCAGAACTGCTCGCGCGTTTATTGCTCAGCTTCGTGCTGGCTTGGCAAGGCTGCATCTTTTCCCCGGGCTATTGTGGCAGCTTGATGACGTGCCCCAACAAGTCTGGGGGGCTTAACAGTGCTCCAGGCGCGTCTTTTGTTCTTCTGTGGTGCAGCTTGTTTGGCGTGCTGTCTCCTCGCTGCCTACAGGCTAGAGGGCGGGGACGATTATATAGAGCTTCTGGCCATGCGTTTTCTTTCTGGCGAGTTGCGTGCGAGAGTCGTGAGAGGGCCAAAGTTGAAAAATAGAACATACTGCCGAGCGTCTGCGTTCAGTTGAGGGCAAGCAGATGGATCTACTCTACATCAACGAGGGGGAGTGGCAGTGGCCTAGAAAAAGTCGAAAGTTTGACAAGCCAACTCCTTGCCCACCTCCCAGCAAAAACAGGGAAAGCGCGCGTGTCTTCCCCACCTGCCCTAGAGGACTGCTATAAACCCAGGGCAGGGCCTACCGCTATCCGTGGCGAACGTAAATCACTCTGCGAGCTTCCAATATTCTTTGTGCAATCACGCTGGCAACTATATACAAGCCAGCACTTGGCGACGTTTCTACTTGGTCAAAGCAGGCTCTTCGCGTGACAGTTTTTGGCTTCGACTCCTTTCTGTCTCCAGTAATTTCTTCGCTTGCCGTCGGTACTGGATAGCCCCACCTCCAGCCCACAATGGATCCGCCAGGCTTAGGGCGGGCAGGCTTTGCTGGAGCAGGTGGAGACGCAGCCGCAGAAACTCCCGGACAAGCTGCACAAGCGCAACAGCAAGTGATTGCGCAAGCTGCTGCTCAAGCTGCCCTGGCGGCACAAGTAAAAGCGCCTGCCCCTGGCGTCGAGGTGTTGCAGCACCACCAGCAAGCTGCGGACGGAGCTGGTTTGGGTGGTCTGACAACAGACCAAACCCCTGCGATGAGCGCGGACCAACTTGGGCGGCATCTCCTACAAATGCACGCCTAGCCAGTGTCTGCTGTTCATGCGGTGCCTCAAGCTCAACCAAGACAGAGAGAATCTGGGACGCCTTGAGGCTCCCGGCTTCGGTGGCTTGGACGCCATTCACGTTGATAATTGCCGCTGCTTGTGCTGCTGACTACGACTAGACTGCGCTACCGCAGTGCAAGCGCATGCGCAACGGCTTCAAGACATGACCGCCCGTCTTCAGTTGCCTCCACAAGTCGTGGCCACCGCTAGAGCGCTCACGAAAGCAGAAGAGCCGCATGCCAAGGCAATCGTGTGCGCGGCCTTTTTCGATGTTGCTGCGACGTGTATGGAAAGCGCCAACCTGCTGGAAGTTGCCGAAGTGCTTGCCATTGACCGCAACCAAGGCATGGGCAGCGCCATCTTTGCAGTTAGCATTCGGGCCATGTTTTCGCAGCAAATCAGCTCGGAAAGATCTACGCCGGCCCAGTTGGCCAGCGTCGCAAAATCGACGGCGGCACAACTATCGACTGCCACGGCGAAAATGAAGAGGGCAGGCAACCAGCTGGACAAGGATGACAACAACAAGAGACGCGACCACCCAACCAGCAGCAGAAGCGAGTGCCTGGCTCGCCATAGCTTTGGCTAAGGCTTCTGGGCTTAGTCTTAGCCCAGTCAGGTCGGGCCTTGTTTAAAGGAACGCATCTACCAGCTAGGCGCTGTCCTCTAAGTCCCTGCTGGGCTTTTGCGGTTTTGGTAAGGCCTTTTATCTAGATTTGAATTTGATTGCTGAGGCCAGCTTAGTCGATTTGTCGCTAAGCAGACCAAAGCTTACAGGCCTTTGGCCTTCTACATCAGAATCTGCGAGCGTAGCATCTAGATGGCCGCGAGTTCTTGGATTTTCTTTGTCGGTCTGGCGTAGTGCTTTATCCATGGCTGGGAACGTTTGGGGATAAAGACTGACAAAGTCTGAGTTGATGGTGACGAATTTAGCACAGGAGCTCGAGCATTTTTTAGGACAGAGCCCCAAGAATTTAGAACAGGAACTCACGAATTTCACACGGGTAGAGACTGCCTTGAACGCTGCGAAAACTGCCTATAATTATGCGGCAGGTACTAACTGGTCAGGGTTTGTCGAATAATGAGTTTCAATTTGAGACATCGTTATCCTTCTCAGCGATTTTTATCTTTGTATGCGATCACCTTTAAGGATTTCTTCTAGTTGGGGCTCCACCTGTCTGTACACGTGATCGTTAAAATATTTTATGGATACTACTTTACAACAACGACTACCTCCTGTTGTTTCCATTTCCAAGACATCTAAAACAAAGTAGACACACAGGAGGACCTTACTTTTTTTATTCTTTCCGAAAACATCTTCACTCATCTGCAGGTAAAATGTCGAGCACGCCAACCAACAACATCTTGCTGGCGACTCAAAAACCGCAACTCAAAAAATGTGAAGACGGGCTCACGAACTTCGAACAGACTTTACAGAAGCTCACGACTTTACGAGAGGCAGCGGCTGCGTTCGACGATGCAAAGGCTGCCCGTGAAGCGGCAAGTACCAATTGGTTATGATTTGTCGAATAATAAGCTTCAATTTGAAACATCGTTATCCCTCTCAGCAAGTGGCTTTTTTTTGTATACGATCACCTTTAAGAACTGCTTCTAGTTCGGGCTCCACCTGTCTGTGCACGTGATCGTTAAGATATTTTAGTTATGGATACTCCTTTACAACAGCGACTACCTCTTGTTGTTTCCATTTCCAAGACATCTAAAAGTAGACACACAGAAGGACCTTACTTTTTTTATTCTTTCCAAAGACATCTTCATTCATCTGCAGGACGGGGCGATAGTCCGCAGGAGGTGAACGAAAACAAGACGCTGGAGGACTGGCAACAGAATCTCACGACTTTAAGACAGAAAAAGACTGCATTCGACGACGCAAAGGCTGCCTATGATGTGACAAGTACTAATCGGTTATGGTTTGTGAATAACGAGTTTCAATTTGAAACATCGCTATCCTTCTCAGCATGTTTTTTTTGTATACAATCACAATCACCCTTTGTTAGTGCTCCACCACTATAACACACAGTCGCCTTTTACTTGTCCAAGACATACATAGAACTAGGAAAGTGCAACTTCATCTTTCTTGTAAGGTTCATTCAAGACTGGTGTCGGGAAATATTACGAAGCGAAAAAGAGAAAGTATGAAGTTCTCTCGAGGTTGGGGGTGTTGCAGAGCACGGACAATGAAGCAACACGTTCAATAAAGGACAAAAACGAAAAGTGGATGTTGAAAGAGTTAAGGGTTTGGGAAATTCATCTCCAAGGTTAATAGGTCATCTGAGCGACTGAAACAAGAAAAATAGCCTGGCCAGATGAAGATATCTGAGATGCATTTCCTACCACTCTAAAAATAGCGGAGGATCGGGCCACACAAACACAAAGCGACTTGGATCAAGCAGAGGAAGACTTCATCAGCGCAAGAGATCAAGGTGGTTAATCTTAATTCTCTAAGAAAGTTCAAAGTCGGACTAACTTGTATCTTTCAGTATGTAATGTTGGAGCAAACGATTTCTAGACTTTGTGGTCTTTGTTTCTACCCATGATCTCGAATATATTCGCTTTGCACCACTGAGTGTCACTTGATAGATTCAGCAAGTTATGATTTATCTTCTTAAAAAATACAGAAAAGTGCTTTTCCCTTGTTGTCGTGTACTCAAGAAGTTTACTCCCTTTATGACTCTCATCGAATCCATATGCAGCGGTGAAGAATTTGGGTCTTAACGATTTGTCGAAGTTGGCGACGCACGCAGAAAACTTCAGGAAGCTCAAGCCGCCCAGCCCCAGCGACCTTGACAGCCTCAAAGCAGAAGCTTACTGGGACATGGTACGAACCTGGCACTTTACACGACTACTTTCACAATCATCGGCGCAAACTACACCGCACTAGCTTCCTCATCTTCTGGATAACCTCAGCAGCGCTGTTCTACCGTAGCATCTTTTCTTGGAGTTCTCAGCTTTTCATTTTATCTTTGATTAGATTCACATGTGTATGAAGATGAACGTTTTTTTTTCAAGAAATTCAAACTATATCCCTACTCTATTCACTGTTTACTCACTCACAGGTATCCGGGTTCATGTATGCTGTATCTAATCTTGGTGCAGTATCAGCTACACCTGCAGCCGGTGGAGCGGATTCATCTTCATCAGCTTTGCGAATTTTAATGGAGAGTCGCAGAGAGCTGGTCGGCGTCGCGATCGAGTAAGATTGAAGTCTTCTACTTTCTTACTCACTGTACTGGGGGGTGCGAGTCAGGGGCAATAAACTTGTGAAAACCATTCTTCTTGAAAAAATGAGTATTCGTATTGGATCCTTTCTTATCTTGTTTATCCCCACTCTAGCAATTGATGATCATAGGGCCGCTGCCGTCACACGAATCCCTTTCACCATCCTCATCCTCATCCACATCCTCATCCTCCTCCCCATCCTGATCCTCATCTCCATCCTCATCCCCATCTCCATCCTCATCTTTCTCATTGTTGTCAGCTATTCGGCCTGGTCTGACGCACAAGAAAAAGAAATCTTTAGCGAGACGCTGCCTACAAAGGACCCGCAGGACATCGGTCGCACGGATGCACCTTTTCGGGATTTCGCTTTAACCTTCGCTCTCTTCATGGATACCTTTGAGGCTGATGGTCTGATTGGAGTTCAGCTTCAAGTAGGTGGAAGCAAATATGCGTTTTCTACGGTGGAAGGTTATGGTCAAGGCAGAACTTCTGGCAAACTTCTTCTTACCCTTGACACAGTAGAGGTCGCACTGCTCGTTGCCTTGAATGTCCTTCAAGTTCGTGATCCACCTTTCTGATGATGTGGAATTTACTTAGTTGGTCGCTTCCTTGTGTGACTGCGAAACGGACGAAAAAAGTGTGATTAAGTGATTTGAGGTTTTCTTTAGTGGTGATAATGAGTGTGGAAGCAACAAATTCAAAAAATTTTACAACACAACAAGATCATCGGATCTGAGGGTATCGATTTAGATGTCTTAAAGACCGTCGTGAATGTGGAAAAAATTCGAATATTTTGTTTAGATATTTTCATGCTGTAAAAAGAAGTGCGTTGTCTGTCTCTTCAGAAGTGGGTTGTAAACTGTAAATCATTACTATTTGTACTGGTAAAACTCAAATGTGTGGTCGGTGTCAGTGCTGTCGTATCTACGGATCGATATCATGCGTATGTACTTCTTCTCCTGGTTTGCCTCTTTCAGTGGTTGCGTCGACGAAAGATCTGCGGACGCTATTATCGAATTGAGCCTATTGCCAAAACGAAAACAGTCCAGCATCTCCATGGGCGCTATATGAATTGTCCATTGCTATATATACGCTGTAGCGTTTACTTAATACATTAACCAATCCATTTTCTGAGTGCAATCGATCTTCGTTTGCCATTGCTGTTCTCACATTTTTCACCGTGTTCAGCGTCGAAGCTGTTAGATTGAGTTTTTGCTTTTCAACCTGAACAAGACAGAGAAATTACAAGCGAAGAAATAACAAGAACGCCAGTCGTTGCAGTCCCTTTTGTTTCAAGATTTGTAGAGTTTGTAACTACCATGAAAAAAGTTATCAACTTCATCGTTTCCATTGTTGTGGAAACCGTCTCGCTGATGATAACTATCAGGAGCACTACCACTATGTATAAGAATTACTTGTGCACTTCCCCTAGAATCTAAGAAATAATCATAACAAGTGCTATTAATCACGACGACGATTCACATACATATGACTACCTCGCTTTTCATTGCTATTTTCTCTTTCTTCCTTCGCCACAGTACGCCAACACTCCGGCGTCTCTTGGCACTCGTGGGTTGACTGCTAAATAAGATAAGTAGAAACTAAGTCGGGAGGTTCAAACTGTACACTCACAACCAGAATAACGTGGCACGTGCAGACCGCTGCACACTATTAGCTAGTATTAATTGCTATCAGTCGATTGGGCGTCACCACTTTTGTAGCTTCCTCCAGGAGATATCCAAATCCACAGCAAGATTGGTATAATTTGACTGGCTTTAGACCACACGGCAACGAACTGGAAGCGTGTAACTAGTCCTATGGAAAAAAAAGAAGCCCATCTGCCGAGGGCAGCCGGGGCCGCCATTATATTGAATTGCCAAGAGATACGGATAGTGCCTCATTGTTACGCTCACAGATATTCTTGCATCCTGCCGCTTCTGAGACAACGTGACGAATTTTTTTAGAAACAAACCACCGAGGCCCAGCTCGGTCATCAAGATCAAGCTGCTGCGTTTCGCCTTGACGGATTTTTTTAGAAACACACCACCGAGGCCCAGCTGGGTCATCGAGATCAAGCTGCTGCGTTTCGCCTAGATTTTTTAACTTAAATGAATTATGATGGTCGAAGAGACGCCAGGATTAATTTTTTTAGAAGCAAACAACCGAGACCCAGTTCGGTCACCAAGATCAAGCTGTTGCGTTTCGCCTAGATTTTTTAACTTAACTCAATCCGGACGGTCGATCTACTTCCTTCAGTTGGAGCGTAATCGCGAAAGTGTAGACCCCTCGTCATAATTTTTAGAGATATAAGCCAGGCCACGAAGTATACCATTATTGAAGAAGCTCTTTCCCGAGCGTAGCATCTGAAACGCCCGCTGTCGCGCGCTTCGTCACCGCCGTGACACAACGGTGACCCGAGCAGGGAGCGCCGCGTGGGACTTCTGGGGGACTGGAAAGGTTTCGAGGGGACAAGGAGGCTGTAATAGTTAGGCAGAGAGGGAAGAAACGTAGAGAAAAAGAAAGAGGTCCTCGCTTATGCTTATGCTATCTGCGCTTTCGGTAGCTTGCGCCCGCGGCCGCCGCGTGATATCGCTTGCGCGTCTCTCGCTGGGCCGACGGGAACATCGGGAGGCTGGCGGGGTGCGAGGGTCGGCGGACCCGCGGCAGCTCGAGAGTTGTCGGTCGGTCTAATGCTGCCTGTCCTCTCGCCTTTTCGTGAGCAGGTAAGTCTGCATTGGAACCAGCGGCGCGTAATATGCGTTCGTGGAGAGCAGCGGGAAGGGAGGCGCTCTGCGACGGAAGCGATAGAGATCGAGTAGATAAAAAGTAGCGTGTCGTAACGCGCACTCTTCCCATTAAACCCACTACAGCCACCGGATCTTCAGGAAGGTCCCTTGAGCCCTTACATCAACGTCCTTACAGCGACGGATGGCAAGGGCGCTCGCGGGCGCGTCATGCGTGAGGCGGTAGGGTCGCGCGCGAACATAATAATAATGGTCATAATAATAAAAATAATAATAATAATCATGACTTACTTCATCACGACGACCCACTGCCATTTTTTTTTACACCAACTGATGAACATGATACTGTACAACAACTCAAGACATTGGATGAGGATGATTGCTGATCATGATGAAGCGTCGCGATCTCTTTCATTGACTTACTCACTCAAATTCACTCACTACTTCTACTGAAACTGAAACTGATGGATAGAAAAATCAAGCAAGCTGCAGTCGTCCGTGTGCTGTGGCGCCGCAGAAGATCTGCTGAATGGTATTCGTATTCCGCACGAGCTGCAGAAGGTGTTAGTAGATTTTTAGCCAGTGAGTGGAGCTGGTGCATGGCTGGACGTTTTTGAAATGTCAGCTGGTGAGGGATGATATTCATTGTGTACGATCCCCGAATGCAACACCTCAAGTTCGAACCTGAAACTCTCAGAAGTAGTCTGTTGAACCCCTCTGAGACTAAGATCTGAATTTTACCTCCTCTCTTCCCTTTCTTTAATGATGTCGCGGTGCAAATAGATGAAAACTGATGCTCTTCTGGTTCTAGCCGTATCCTCCTATGTCTTCGATGAAGAATAATTACTGTTTGTTGAGATTGTAGTTTGCACCTTCTTGTATTTCTATGGCCTACTGATCGGCTCACTCGCCTTGTGCGAGTATGTCGCCCTCTAACTAGAGTTGAAGATATCGCCTTGATGATTGAGTAAGTACATAATCTTGGTCAAAAGACCAGAGCCATCATGTTGTGGTCACGACCAACACCTCCATCCGATGAAGTAGAAAAATGCACATTTCTCGCTATCGTGGACATGCAGCTTTGTTGGTGAGACGACCGGAGTCATCTTTGCCGGGGGGTGTTATTGTTACACCCATTGAAGCACCGACAGATCCGTCATTATAAATAAACTCTCGAAGATGACCGTAGACAGCAACTCTTGATCTCATACTCATGCTTATTATCATACTCATACTCATACTCATCGAAGTTACGTTAGGGTAACAAAAAAGCAAGTAAAAACATGCCAGAAGATCCCGGAGGCGTGCGTCCTGGAGGTGCTGACCTTGGTGCAAACAACACCAACAGGGTCGCCTCAAATGGTGGTGATGTTAAGGCTACCGCCAAAGCATCCTCAACGTCATCCTTGGTCCTCTTTCTACTTGGAAGAGAAGCCCGGGATGGCCTGACAGATGCGAAAGCGGTAGCTCTAATGCTGGTGCAAATCCCATCACTACGAGTGCTACGAAGATTGTAGGTGGTCTCAACGTTCCACATCGGTGTATAAGTCAGGATCGAGCAAAGGAGCCAGTGTCAACTGCGACAAACCTTTTGGCAGGAGGTCGTGGAATTTTGGCTGTCGATGAGCCACCTTTCAGGATGGAACAACGACTGGGAGCTGTTGGGGTATTTGGGTTTTCGTTACTTTTTGAATTTGATTTTGAATGAAAGGAATTGAATATTCTACAGTGAGCTGATAGTTGTTATCTATACCTATACCTTTGGGATCATTTTTTGGCGGTCGTTGTAATTGACCTTCTGGTGATGTTTCAAAACCATCCATAATCGATTCCACCGATGACTTCCGACGCTCAATTACACTCACTTCGCAGGTAACCAACACTCCCGAGAACCGACTTGCTTGGAGAGAGACGATGTTTAGAACTCCGGAACTGGGACAGTATATTTCAGGCGTAATCCTACACGAAGAGACATTGTATCAAGAGATAGACGGTCCGCCGATACCGACTTTTCTCCGGGAGAGGGCTTCGATTATAATATGGCAACGTGTTTATCCTTAAAATACGAGGTGTATGCTTGGTATTTATCCTTAAGTTGCAACAAGTTACAACAAGTAGAGGTATTACTTAGTATCTATTAATAGTACATAGGTTCATTTGCACTCGAACAATTCGTATTCGTGTCTAGTGAACTCAATCATCTTGTTTGCTGGTAGTGGTCGCTATGTATCGCACACTTGACAGACAGACCTCTCTCTATACGACCTGTACTTCTACAACGATCACGAATCATACTTCTCTAAACCACTTTCGCTGTTTTCCAGGCTTAGCTAGCTATGCATGCACGACTCTTCCACCACGTACCGTGCAATAATTGTGATCTTCCTGCTCTAATCTGCACAAGCTGCTGGCTTAGTGCCCATTGTCGAACCTGAAGTGATCCCTGATGGCGCGCATTGTTAAGGGTTGAAACATTTCATTTCTAGAAGTCATTTTTCACTGTTTCCACCTTGAGAAAGTGAGAAAATGAAGGCAACAAATGAATTGCCTCAACCTCTAACCTAGCACTGTCTGAAGCGGGGAAGGAGGCACTTTTCATGTAATCCATCTTTTAGCCCGTCTATGAGCAGCTGTTTTCAAGAACTTAGAAGAATGGAAGGAGATTAGGAAAAACGTGGTGGTTCAGGTTCTAACAGAGGATAAGTAAGGAAGGAGATTAGGAAAATAAAACGTGGTGGTTCAGGTTCTAACAGATGATCCGAGAATATGCAGCACAAACGAGAATGATTCGCTCTGGTGACGGCGGCTGCGAGGAGCTGATGAATTTAGTCTTGCTCTTAGATGGCCAGTCTCATGACGAGATCGACCGCATGGGGCCCTACGAACTGAAGCAGGCGCGCAGAACTGCAATGGATCGACAGCTCTCCAGAGCCCAGGTGCTAGCATGTACTTGCGTTGGTGCGGGGGCAGGACATCTCGATGGACCCGGCTACGATCTTGTTTTCATCGACGAAGCAAGTTAAGGCTTTTCCTAATCCATCTCTGTAGAGAGCCCGCAAGCGTAGGCATCCGAATACAAGGGAGCAGATAGCTAGCAGGCACATTTTTGCAGGATCCCTACAGATGCTACGAAGTGGGAGATGCTCTAAGCAAGTCAGGTGACGGAGCCCTCGGCGCTCGTCGCACTGCAGAGAGCAGGCAAAGACGTTAAGCAGGTAGTTATGCTGGGAGATCATAAGCAATTGCCACCTACAGTTTTCTGCGATGAGGAGGCGCTTAGCGTTAGTCTCTTTGAGCGACTGATAGACGAGGGAGTGGAGCCGGTCACGCTAGTGGAGCAATGGCGCATGCATTCTCAGATTGCAAAGTTTCCGAGCCAAGCCTTTTATCATGGATGGCTTCTGAACGCTACAGACGACAATAAATTGCAATCGATTGGAGCGACCAAGAGTAACGTAGAATTGGTCCACGTTGCACCCTTACAGCAGCAAGGAAACGAGACAAAACGAGGCCCCTCAGCCTGCAACGAGCAAGAAGCGGCTCGTTTAGTGGAATACTTGAGTTAAGGCTCCTCTGGATATTTCATGATCTTGTTGATCTCTAAGACGTATTAGCATTCGCCTCGGTTTCCCTTTTGGAGCCCTTTGAGACTATGAGGGAGTTCAACAAAACAAGATGAATTAAGTACGACCTTCAGCGCTAATTTTGGAATCTGGAAGTGGCCTCGCCCAAAAATGCCTACGCTGAGACACCAGCCTCGATTGGAATTTTAACGCCTTATCTAGCGCAAAAGCAGGAGATTGAAGACTTGCTTCGCCGAGACAGGTCGCTTAGCCGCTTGAACTTACGGCTACTACTTACAGATAATTCATCTTTGACAGGGTCAACAACAACAGCATCTTTGAAAAGTATTACAGTAGTAAATGGTCTATTCCCCTGATAGATATAGTACTGCAGAAAGTCAAAGTGTAGAAATCAACATCTACACCAGTGAAACCCTAGAGGGACAATCCCATGAAACCCTAGAGGAGCAATCACTGAATGGCGAACCCGGACAGCTGCTCTAATGAATATCGAAGTCGACACGATTGATGGTTTCCAAGGGATGGAGAAAGACTTGATCCTTTTTTCGGCCACTAGATCCAACCCCCATGGAAGCGTGGGCTTTTTAGCAGATCCGAGGCGAATGAATGTAATGCTGACACGTGCGAAAAAATCCCTCGTGATTTTCGCTGATGGTACAACCCTGGAAAAATCGGGGTCGCCCTATTGGGAAGCCTGGCTGAAGTGGGCTCGCCAGAACGCTGCAATTACCGGGGACGACTTTCCGGAGAGTAGAAGAAGCGAGCAGAACAAGGATTTTGAAGATACAGGAACTAGTGGAGGCTCAACATGGCGAAGGCGCGTGGATTCTAGTAATCAGTCGCAGAAGCGCTTGGCTCAGGATTCTAGTGGCGTGCACCCTCACCCCCGGAGTTCCTACAAATATCTGCGTAAAGATAAAGGGCATTTAGAGGCGCGCAACTATTTGTAGCTTGTAAAGACTACAACGTGTTCTGCAGAAGTTGGTCTTCCATAGTCTACTTCTACATTCATACATGAAGAAATGAAGAATATCGATATTTATATATAGCGATACGTAGAGGCGGAGGACATGATGTTGATTTCCGTTGGTTGTCTTTGTTGGTGATACAGTTGCAACAGAACAGATATAGATAGCGAAGATATACCTAATGATAGCGCGACAAAAGACACTGAGTGGCGATTTGGACACTCACAACAATGGAGAGAACAAGCGAAGAATGAATGCTGTTGAACACGAGGATGTTTCTAAGTAACTGCGCACCGTTTGTTTCCCACGCAAAATAACGAATTGGATGGTGTAAGTAATTTTCACTGGTTATTGCTTGCTCCTTTGAGGATGTGATAATGCTGTATGCTCATGTTTCTCGGCATGCAAGCATCGGCATGCATTTGAATTATCGATGTGTATTATGGACCTTCAGTGACAGTGTCCGTTTGGAATGACGGAGAAAAATGAATCAGTGATTCGAAGATCGATCTCGTCGTACGATGAGAATGTATTGGCAGACTGAGTTGTGCATCATGAGTTCATCTGTATATCGTATTTGTTTGTAGTTGTCTACGAGAACGAGAGGGACAGAATTTGGCGCCATGTCTTGTTTATGGCGAACGAATACGTGGCTTTGTGAAATGACGAGAAGAAAGTGGCATTACTTCTCATGAAATGCCGTCTCTTTTCATGATGTCGAATCTTGAGATTACTTTGGTAGATCTGCGCAGATTTGTTGTGGTCACAACATCATCAACATCCGCATCGCCATAGAATTCTAGCTGCAGGCATCCACAAACTCAAACAGAAACTATGGAGCTAATTTTTCCTCCCGAAGGGGCGCCTTCCTCTGCGAAGCAAGCGAAGACGGTCAGATCTGAAACGAATCAGAAAGCAAGCAGCTCGGACCCTCCTGCCAGGCTCCGGAGGCAAGATTGGGAGTGCCGGGGCCGGGCTTGCCGGAGCTAGTGCTTCCACAGCAAAGTGCAGCAGTAGTAGCTGCAGCATAACCAAGTAGTAGCAGCACGAGCAGTAGTGTTGCGAGAGCAACGGGCGGCAATTCTGCGATGGCGCTGAGCGCCGCTGATCGACATTGTCCCCCTCACTATCTTGATATGCCCATCATGTGCTCTGGACTACGCGGACCTCCAAATAAGCGCGATCTCCTCGTGCTCCACCAGGGGATACCACTTTTTGCGACGAAAAGGCAAATACGATCCATCTCAGAGGAGATTGTGGTCGAATTCAAAGTCGGCCTGTGACATGTCGTGAATGCTGCTCGGCGCAGATCTTTATAACTTTGATTGGAGTTCGTAATAAAAAAAAAAGATAAGGATTCTTTCATCGTCGTGGTTGCTGCATCTCCTGTATGATCTTCAACATCAATGCCGTAATCCTCCTCTTGTTTGGTTTGCACTTTCTTTACGGTCCTGCGTATCATATCAGGTAGTTGCCAAGACCCCAAAGATCAACTTGCCTCCGTTACGGAACAGGTATTCTCGTCCACTTCTTACAACATCAACTGCAATATCCGAATGATTCAACTTATCAATCTATCTTATTTCCTGTTCTTCCATCATGCGGGCGCCGTAGCGCGAATATTGATAAAAATAGATCGTGCCTGCTAGTCAGGTGGATTGCGATAGTGAGAAAAAGAAAAGGAAACTCTCGGCACTGTCAGCCATCTTAACCCTTCGATAATGCTCGAAAAGTTCCAGAAACAATGGTGTACAGCAGCAGAGAAATCTGTAGAACTGGTTGGGAAGAACTAGATCATGGCAGGGATTGCATGGAGGGAGGGGACGATGCTCGAGCTACTATAACTTCTCTCGAACAGCTGGGTGTAGTTAAGTAATCATTATGCTAGCAATGCACATGAAAACTCAAGATGATCATGTAGAGGATGCGGATGGCTTTTCGACGTCTCAACAGGAGGGTCGTGGCCAAATTGTGAAAGTGAGACATCGCAAAAAAGGTCATCAACCTTGTTCGGACAAGTACATTATCAAAATGACTGTCACGACGCAAATAAACCAGCACGCAAAATAAATATATGACGGTCATTGACCTGGTCTTTTGTGAAAGACTATGTTGTCTTCAATCTTTCGCAGTCGTATTTTGTTTGGACATATTTTTTGGGCAACAAGAATCCTGAAGTACGCGGCAGTCATTGACTCAGGCGTTTCTCTTTTCTAACGACGGTTCATGTAGACAGACAACATGGCTGTGCGACTGTAAAAATATGTAGTGTGGTACTAGAGCAAGGACAAGCTGAGTGATACTATACCCTTATGAAGATATGACGGACGAGGAGAGATTGAAATACTGAAACTGATCAGCATCGCCTCTAGTGTCTTCACTAGGTTGTTGGACGAGTGTCTTCTACTTTCCTATTCAGAGGCAAAAGAGTGAATTAGCTACACAAGATGTCTGCGTCTGGCTGCAGGTCCAAGTGTGCTCGCCCAGCCGTTCTTGCCGGATGCGTAGGCACTCCTTTGGTTGGTGGATTTGAAAAGAAGCAGCACAAAACGACGATGGAGGTCAAACCAAATGCGGAGTTTCTACAAGTAGACGAGCCATATTTTAGCGAGGAGGTGGTCACAGATGCAGCCGGTCGAGATGGGGCAGGAGCAATGAGTATGCCCGAAGGTGCAGAGAGCATGCTCGAGCATACCAAGATGCTACTAACTCCTGCAGCAGGACAGAAGGCAACGGAGAAGGCACGCAGGGCAATGGAGAGGGCAACGGAGAAGGCAAGCAGGGCGGTGAAGAAGGCGCGCAGGGCAATGGACACGGCAAACCAGGCAATGCAGGATGCAATCGGGGAAATGGAGCAGACAATCAAGGATATAAAGGAGAGAAACGAGGCAAGCAATGAGTTAGCTTGGACGGTGTCCCAAGTCGCTACAGCTCCACCACAATCAGCTGCGCCAGATGAGGGCCAAGAACACGGCGGTAGCTGATATAGATATATTTCATCTTAAGGACCTTATCGCGAAGCGAGTATCAGTTTTCCTTTTTTTATTTCATCCTTTTCTTCTCTCTCTCTCCTCTGGAAACCCGTACGAAGCCACACTATTTGGCGACCATCATCATCACCATCACCAAGTTGAACAGGCGCCACCTCCTTCTTCCACCATTTTACTCCCATGCCTTATGCATGGATGGCGGAACTCTGTTCGTTGATTTTTAGCAGTCCTGAGAGCTGCGCGCGGCCGGTTCATCTTCACCCTGGGCCTTCTTGCTTTTGGTTTTGTTGTTGTTGTTGTTGTTGTTGCTGTCGAAAGCTATCAGCCTACCGGGAGCTTCTTTGAGCGCTGAAACTGCTAGCTGTTGCGCTTGTTGACTTAGCGCAACAGGATCAGCCATCCAATTAGCCGACCAGTTTCCCTCCACCACTACTAAGCTACAACAAACACGCGATCGACTTCAGGCGTGGGATTGAAATTAAATGAAGTAAGTGCCATGCTGGTTATGTACGTGTTGCTTAATGCTTGTTTATTTTATGTAGTGCGCTCTTCGTGATCTTCGTCGCGTCTCATTGCTTTGGTGCTTCTCCTCCATCGCGACAAGGCTGCAACACTGAGCAGAAAGGTCATATTTTCACTTTATGCGTTGCTTTGTATAAAATTCATAATCAGTTGTTAAGATGAGTAAAGGTCTAGGCACTTCGTGGGAAGATCGGTCTGATTCTTGTAAGTCGGTATGGATTCTTAAATGATAGCACGCTGGAAGGCTGGCAACTGAAAATAAATGGCGCAAAGGTCGCGAGTCGGTCATACTGAACTGAGAGCGAATGGCAAGACGATACATCTGCGTCGGTTGTAGTGAGGAAAGTGCACAGCTGTGCCTGAATGTCACGGGCCGGCTTGTGATGTGTTAGCTTCCAGACAGATCGGCGCGCATGTGTGTAGGAGTGTGGTTTCGTCTTCAGTTAGAAGCGAAGACGAGCGGACTCTTTGACGAAAGAAGTAGGCGCAGACTACAGGTTTTGACATCTAAAGAGTCTGGGACCAGTAGCCTGCCCCCCCTTTTTTGAAACATACAATCACCAAAAAACTTACCTTACTTTCCTCACAAGTTACTTACGCACAAGACAGCCGCCAACTAGTCTTGAAGTTAACTTAAATTGACTGCGCGTAAGTTGCGCTTTCTTTTATTTTCTTTCTTTTTTCCTCTCTTTCTTTTCGGAAGCAGAACCTTTTTGCTGTCCAAAGAACTAAGCTTTTTGCTCTTCTTTAATAAAGTCTATGTGAAACTGAACCTCCTTTATTGAATAAAGGAGGTTCAGTCTCACATAGACTTTACGACTACACTTTATAACTTATGATTACACTTCGCAGATTCTGCACAGTTCAACTAAGGGAAAGCATGGCTTTTCAGTTCTTAGACAATTGGGCACCAGGCCAAGCCGCGTCATGCTGGGACGAAAGTAGTGCGATGATCGAGCTATGCAATGTTGGAGGCTTCAGCATGCTTGACGGTCTTGAGTGCAGAGACAATCTAGATAGAGATAGCTGCTTCAGGGTGATGAGTTACTTGCCTGCCCCACAAGCTTGGAAGATGTTCCTTTTTTCAAAACAGTTCCCATCGTTCAACATTTTTACTTCTTGCAATACAAATACTCGCGCTCTGACGTCATTCGAACGACAGGGACGACTCGCAGCGAAACCTAACGCCAACGAATTCCCTTACCTACGACAATAGAGAAGCCATCGGGCCTGTGTGTTCAGATATCAACGCTCGAGGCTACTGTGTGAATAGAGACGCAAAAGAATGGAAGTGCGTAAGTAACAAATTGCGCAAGACCTTACTCAAGTGCAGAGCGGGGCGCCACACTACGACGACTGAGGGCTATTGTTTTATCTACAAACTTAGCCGCAGCTGTGGACAGCACTACATCGGTGCTGCGCATCTACCAAGGCGAGAAACATACACTAAAGCGACTGCAAATTAATAAGAGCAGTAAGCTAGTCAGCAAAAGAATAGTAGCAGACGCTGACGGGAAGTCTCGCGAAACTCCCCTGAGTGGACGACTTGCGGGCCACGCCTCGTCTATCGAAACACTACAGGGTAGGCAAGCGGAGCCTTGCACTCATCTGAAAACTTATCAGACGCATTCTGTTGCAATAGGACCCATTTAGATTTTTAAGACGAAAGAAGCGCGAGCCAATCTTTGGAAAGTTAGCCCTTACAACAGCTCGCAAATTTTAGAAAGTTTCAGCATTATCTGTCTTCGCTCTTACTGGCCATTCGGACATAGCATGGAGCTTCTCGATGTTGCCGGTGGTTCGGGGAACAAGATAAGACCAAAAGAGCACCTAGATAGCTGCCCTTATAGGGTACCGAACGAAAACGCTGACGACTGTAGGAATGAACAAGCAAGGAAAGCAAGAGCAGAGCTTTTTAAACGCAAGGCAAGCCAGTCGCCATTCTTCGACTGTGCCAAGCTGGATGGCCAGCGAGTTGGTTTAACCTTCAGAGATAGCTTACGAGCCACGAGCAAGATGCGCAATAGCATAGCCTTTGCATATTTACAATTACACTGCGGCACGCACCTAAAAGCCAACGCGCTAGCTTGGTCCCTGAAAGAAGTGAAACGTGAGAGCATTAAAGTAGAAGCCCTACGCGAACACTTCCAGCAGAGCGCTGGCGCCCTAGAAACAGAGGCCGAAGACGGTAGCCGAGCCAAGCAGTTGAGTCAAAGAGCTTTTTTCTCAAAGAGAACTAGTCTGCGAGCAGTAAGAGCTAATAACAATCAGAGTGAGTCTGAGGTGGAGGCTAAGTATACAGCCGAAGACCTCGCTGACATTTTGCGCATGGCCTTTCATGCCTTGCCAACCCTTGAAGAAGTGCGCTGGTATTATCCGAAAGAGTGGGCATATGGCCGCGCTATGCTCTCTTGCATGGACTGGCTAAGTAACCTAGTCAACGCTGTAGAGAAGAAATGCTTAAAAGTGATTGCAGATAGAGCGACCACTTGCCAGCCCATGCGCACTCATGGCAAGCGTCTGCTCCTTGAGCTCTGCTCCTAGAAATAAGACTACGAACTAAAACCAGCACAGGCCTAGTTAGAAAGAAAAACAGAAGCGGCACGGTGCTAGACTTTCACTTTTCCACTGTTAGACTACTTGACTTACGTTCCTGCTTTAAGATACTTAGAGAGAGTTACCGCCTTACTTTTAAGTACGGCGCGCCTTCGCGGATGTCGGTTTATAGCCACACAGTTAACTTAAGCAGCTTCTTGCCAAGGCCACAGACTTAGAGTGTAGGCGTAGGCACTATTGGGGGATCCTGCCAGAGGCTTGCTGTCAAGCCGGACGCCTAGTCCTACCAGCCAACGCGAGCAACATTAGCAAACTTCTGAGCCCCGAACTTCGACACTTAGCCTCTAGCGAGTTGCTACACCTGCTTAGGCCTAGCTCCCGCATTGGGCATGCCTTCGACCTCAAGCGCCTGCTTAGTCTGATGGCATACAGTGAAGCAAATGCTATCGATGTAGAAATGTTTCGCATCGACGTCAGAGACCTAACAGCTGCACTACGCGAGCGCTGGCTAGCCGAAGCAACTAGGGACAAGCACAGCCCTCAGCTCGTAACGGAAGCGGAACAGCCTAGACAATCTAAGTTAAGGCATCTCCAGGAATGCGAACGAAAGAAAGCGGAACCGACTAGAAAACCCAACTACGTCGATGTCTATGGGCCTGCGCTTGAAGTCGTGGCAAAGTTACGCTACGGAGGACACCATCGCGCATATATGCAGATATGGCCGCCTGTCTGTCTGTATATATGTGCAGTAGTTTGAGTTCCGTACTAGTGCCAGAAGACTTGGGGCTACTTAAGTTCTTACCTGTAGAAAAACACAATTTACAAGAAGGACTCAAGAAAGCGGCAGTAAGTGCGCGCACTGCCGAGAGTTCTGCAGTGGAAATTAGACCACACGCAGCCAAAACTAACGCCAACGCTAGCGCGGCCACTAGATACAGCAACGGAGACGAAGTCTTTGAGCGCAAACGGCAAGCATGTAGCGACTCGATGACGATCAGGGACTGTCTGCTAGCCAGTTTAGGAACAGACACACTTCGTCCGGCACAGGAAAGAGCAGCTCGCTTACAGGCAATTACTCCCACGATCCAGGCCATCAGCTGACAAATTATGCCATCCGTACTACTACTGCGGCCTCACTTGGACTTCACGCGCCACAACCTGTTCGAGTCTTACACGCCGAGCAGCCGAAAACATCCCTTGCCGTGGTTGGACAACGACGGACGCACCCAGCGCGAGCCAATCACCAGCAAACGACTACGCTGCGAGCCACCACTACGACTGGCACTAGTAGGCTATCTTAAAAGCGAGCGCGGGATCGACATTATCGGGAAAGTTGTAGCGGCGCGTGCTATACAACACAACCCGACTACCATGCACAAAAACGGCGCGGCTTCTGCTAAGCCATGGAGTAGCCAGCTAACACCGGACGACTACCAAGAAGCCTTAGCCTCGCAGGCCGAAACTGAAGAGGCATCTAACAAATGCGGGCGCGTTTGTACCGAACGCAGAGAGTCGAAGCCAATACCGGACAGACATCACTTCGAACGATTGCTCGGCAATGCTAGTAATGATTCGAGCCATTTTATCGAAATGCTTCAGAATCTGCTCAAGGATAGATCTGACTACGCCGCTGCCCAACAGTCACAACAAGAAGACTGCCTAGTGCTGACCTATCCCGGCGAATACATCGACGACGACGACGAAGCAGACGCGTTCGCACTCTGTGAAGCGGCTGACGAAGGGCTTGAACCTTTTGAGCGCGAAGACAGCAGCAAAGGCGCTCCTGCATGTACATCGACGCACAGTGACCTGCCGGCGTCCTCTGTAGTAGTAAACGAGCCGACCAGCATGCAGAACGAACGTAAATTAATAGCAACTGTTACAGCAGATGACGGAGATTGGGCCCTCGATGACTGCAAGCGGGGCGCGATAATAATGATCAAGAATCTCAGCACCTTCTTGACCCCTGAGCTGATGTAGTCAGTAAGTCTGAAATATTGCAGACGCCAACTTTTTCGCCGTTATGCGTATTGTCCAGCGCAGTGATGCAAACCATGCGCAAATCACAGCTCGTAAGGTCCATGATGCAGTGGACTGCGCAAAGCGTTCCTTTAGGTGTGCCTGGGAACATAGTTGCCAAGTGTAGTCGACTTCAACTTAGACAATGCGACGCATTGGCTGCCGAGGAGGAAAAGGGAGCGCTTATCAGCGCTGGCGTGCGAGTGCCACTCTCGAGCTATGCGCTCGAAGTACCACACTGGGCGTCCGCCGTTGCCAGCGAATTCCAACACGACGCCGCTGTTGGAAAAAGTGCTAACGCCTCGACTAGTGCACGTGATCACGAGCAAACACGACACCAGTGCGGGCTGAGTTTTGCAGTGGAAAACGAACTAGCCTGACCCTGAGCCACCTCTCGCTCCCAATGCGGGCAGAAGCTCCCAACCGAGCTGCACTGTTATGGGAGAGGTGAGAAAAGAAGTCGCAGCACATCAACTATAGTCTCTTCAACGATGCAGCGACCAATGTCTCATCTGATGAAGTCCTCGGAGACCTGTGCCATGTGTATGTGACGCGGTACTCAGACAACGACATGCACAGCCAAGACAGTCACTCGCGTAATGATAAAAGCAGCTAGCGGAAGGACCCAAGAAGCACACTTCGGCGACGCCCGGACTACCTCCAAAGGGAGCAAGTCGTGGCCTCGATATGCTGAACAGCGGACAGCTGAGGCGAGTGATTCTCTGGATATTGTCAACGGAACAGCTAGCCCATGCTTAAATAGCGACGCCCCTGCTGTGTCTTCTTCATCCGGTGACGACACGCAGGAAGAGCCGACTGATAGGCAAGAAAGTGCTGAAGAGTCAGAATCTGAGGACGGCCACCCAGACGCGCACGAAGTAACTCCGGGACTGTCAGGGAATGCACGGGTGCCATATGTATCCGAGTGCGGTGGTATCGAATCAGCAACGGGCTACGGTTTAGCAATGAAAAAAGACGCAATAGCAGCTCTGTTGGCGTATGACTCACAACGAAGCACCAAAACACTTCTCCAGTCTATGAGGACCGGCGCACAACGCAGCAACAAAACACCTCCCCGGCCTACGGACGCTAATCGTAACAGTGTACAAATTAACTTCGAGTCTGGGGGACGCTCGACCGACAATAACCTGGCCGAGTTGTAGCATCGAGCGCAGTGCGAGGCTGGCTGACATACGACACGATGGGGCGGCACCTGAAAGAATCCCGTCAACAGTAGGCGGCCAAAACGCAGTGGCGTCAACGTGTAAGCAAGTACCTCGCACCGCCACCGAAGCGGGTGATAGCGATGGCATGAAGATGCGCACTCGGATTGATTTTGAAGCTGGAGACATCGCGAAGCGGTCAGCGAGCAGCGAAGAAGAAAATGCTACGACCACAGACACCAATGGTGGCACTGTTTCCGCCAATTCCGTAACCAATCGCGCCTCGACCAACAAGCGACGTGTGAGACGACGCGAGGAACGCAGACCAAAGCCAGCGCCAGGAAGTTAATCGGTCGGAACAACCTAGATGCTGCCAAACTAGTCAAACGACTGCCAATTAGACTTGTCCAGTAACTGGCGAAGCAATCGCGCCCGCACTACGACAGCTGAAAAAGCTCCCACGGAAAGAAGAGACTAATGAAGTGCGGAGTTGCAGACAGCGACCAGCTTCCACAATAGCAGAAACGGAACAAGCTAACAGAGCACACACTAACCTAAGTTAGTCGCAAATGCTGTCTCCGCGGTTACTACGATCAAGAGCAACGATAAGACGACAAGCAACAACGCCACGCGACGACTCTACCGCCACCACCGCCAAGGCTGACTCGACGAAAGGTCCTCCCGCTCCCACCGCCTGAACGCAAGACGGGGCCACCTGAAGCGCAACGGCATAAGCCGTACGTTACGCGCACAGCGGCCTATCTTGTCTTACCGACGGGCAGTTCCGTGATTTTCTAGTGGATTCGAGCATCAGCGCGGCCGCTTCCAAGTGTCGCCCCTCCAATGAGCTGCCTACATTCAAGGATCCAGAACGACCACCACAATCCGAGCCGTTTGCTAGTCTTTTCAAATCTCGGGCGCAAGTGGAGGCTATCTACGGTGATAGCTGAAAGGGCATCGCAGTAAGTGGACCAGCAACCAGGCTGATGGATATGAATCTCACAAGTTGCGACTTGTCGAAAGTAAAGGGCGACGCGAACTACGACGACGAGCGGTCTGCCTCTACCAACTCCAGCACGCTTTTCCTCAAGTTTCCGAAAGAATGCGCCTCACGTTTGTACGGCAAACGAATCCAAATCAATGGAATCAACGAAGACTATTCGGCCAGAGCAAGTCTCGCTGGAACCCGAAGCGCGATGTCGTTGCGATGCCGAATACAGTCGGCTTCAACATCCTTGGCGCAGTGGTGGGCAAAATGCCTCTTGAAATTGCGCCCAAGCTCAAAGTTCAATCATAAGTTTCCAGGGGCGAAACTTATTGCGAGTGGTTCTATTAATACGAGCACGCTAGCAGATGCCTCTCCTGGCAAGACTTCAGCAAAGGGCCGGCAAATGCACCCTGTCGACGTAGAGGATGACGCACATACTGAACGACAGTCGTTGGAAGCGGACTTAGCCAATCTACGCACAGTGCATGTGCTGGCCGAGCCACCATCTTGGGCCCCGCGTTGCCTTGTTAATGCCATGACTCGGGGAATGGATCGACGTCGAAGAATGCGCATCAGAGAGGAAATAGTAGAAGAAAAAGATGGAGCCAGCGTGTCTACACTCAGCAGTAGCGTTTGCAGTCGGAGCGTGCAGGACCGTGACAGAATAACTGTGGGCAGAGACCTAAGGACGAAACAGGACACCGCCGGCGGCACAGCGCAACCGCCAAGCGACACAGCGGAGTGTCATAGCCTTGGCATCAACATAAGTAAGCCGGAGGCCGACTTCCAGCCCAACACAGCTACGACCGAAAGCTGCAGTTCTCGGCAAGCAGCAACAAACACGAAAATTGCACTAAACGGTATGGCGAGCGCTGTGCCTTTGCTGTGCTTCAACGGTAGCAGACATGTACGGACGCAAGCGCGACGCAGTCTCTTCATGAGCAGCCTACCTGTCTTCGAATGTGACAGACGTATCCGCGAAAAAGTCAAAACTCACAGGCTACGTCTTGGACCACTCGCCACGGCCTCCAGTGGGCCTCCCTCGGAATCGCTCTACGTGGACGGAGCTTATGAAGGGCTTACGAGATGGCTCTGCGTGTGAAATGGATAGTCTACGGGAACGCCCACAGCAGACGCAGCACGCAGCGGGCACACGTGTCGAGTGTGACTCAGCGAATGAACGTAGACTAGCAATGGACGGCGCGCGTAATAATGAAGTGCGCAGTTTCTGGCCGAAGCAGTGGAGCACCGCGGTAAAGCCAATCGAAGCCAAACACCGCCAGCGAGTTACGGCTTTGCACTGGGCTCGTGAAAGCAAGAGACGCGACGGCATCGGGTTGCAGGCCGGAAAAAGGGCAACAGCTCTACACGCGATGGCAGAGGAGCATGGGGCAGACGCTAGTCAAGCCCCCGCTTCTGCAACAACTTTGCCCTTATGTGATGAAGAGGATGGGTGGAACGACACGGGGCGGATGTGCTATGGCGTAGGTTTTGTAAACCATCGAAAACGCGTAGACGAGCCGACGCGCGCCATGGCTGCTACGACGACGGGGAATGGGAGAGCGTCATCTGACGACGGTGCCCCCGTCAACAGTAGCATGGATGCAGCTAACGCAAAACCCCGGCAAGGACTCCAACTAGATCACGAGTCTGGTACGTGCGGCAGCGCCGGCATGACTGTAAACGAAATTAAGCGAAAAGTGGCAGATACACTGGCAGCGTTCGGAATGAACGACACACGTAGCAGTGGGCTGCGCCTTAGCGAGAGGCTAGGCGCAAGTAGCGGAAAACGCAGCAACCGACGACACAGCGAGAACATGGCGCAGCGACGGTTACAGACGCTGCGCAAAGTTAAAAACAAACTCGCGCACGCAATGAATCGCCAGAGCGGTTAGAGGTCGCGTGGTGCTTGAAATTGAGTGCCATGATCAAGCTGCACGACATCAACGGGGATGACCCTAGACGAGTTCAGCCCAGCAGTAGGCTAATAGCAGCAACCGAGCGGCCTAGCAAAGACAACGCAGCAGCGCAACACTTGCCACCCAACGCTTGTACAGATGACACATCTGCGCGCTCGTATAAGACGGCGCCCGCGAGCTATGTCGACTTAAATGGCGAACGTTGTTGCCTTGAATCCGTGCAGCTTATCGTGGTTGATGAACGAGGACGGACGCGACGTAAGCCAGCTGAACTCAGTGAGCAGAAAAGGAAGATGCGGGCCATGATGTGGGCGCTTAAATTAAGGCACAGAAAAGCCTAACCCTTTACACAGCCCATGCTTCTCATTCCCCTTTTACACAAGGGGAATCCATACTGGGTCGCTGGCGTAAGGTTGGGCTTTTCTCTTCGCTAATTAAAGCAAAGCGAGCCCGCACCAAACAACTGGCTATGCGAGCGGTCCAAGTGAAGCAAAGCATCGGACTCGGAAGACGTAGACTAGCGATGAATGGCGCGCCCCTTGTGGATTCCAGCCGGACGCGTGGCCGACGACGTAACTGAAAAAATGGCACGCGTGTGCTCAGGAAAATGCGGGCCAACCGTCCGCAGAGTAGTTATGACTTAAAACCATGTAGCTGCAAAGAAGCTCAGCCGGATAGGGCCGTGACTGCGACAGTGAGACGCTCCGCTACAACGACAGGGGGCATCCCCTTGCAGCGGACAGTGAGTGGCGCGCTGGAACGCGAAGCGTTCCCACAACAAAGCTTGTCGATCCAAAAAGGGCAGCACGTTCGCAGCGGTGAAGCAAGCGATCGCCTAGTAGTCTCGGAAGCAGGTGCGACTAGTGAAACGTCTCAGAGTGTACTTACAACCTCGCAGAACACGAACCCGAGCGCCTTAGTGGCGAACAATAATAATACGGCCACAACATCTGCCAGCCCCCTGAAGCGTCAGCCTGGTAGCTCGAAGAGGAAACGTAGTTCGCGCGGATAGAGCAGGAAACTGTGGGCGACATGCTCAGAAACGAGCCGCGCCGTGTTCAGCAATATGCTGTCATCAACCTGCAAGCGTGTCGGGACATCTACAAGGGGGAAACTGATGGAGCTGAGCCTCGCGCTTCAACGAAAAACTGGCCGAATGCAAAAGCGTATGGGATTTGCCAGAAGTGCCGTCATTTGCTGACGACGAACTGGCCAGCCCTGACCCAGTTGAGAACCCAACTTTTTTGGAAGTGCAGTGCGATCGGGTGCGCGAGCTGATGAGGATGGCTGAACTATACGAGATAGCGCCGCACTTGAAGACCATGGAAGAAGGAGAAAAGAAGTCTAGCAATGAAGACAAAAGGGAGAAGCTCAGAGTGCCTAGCTATTATTTAGTCTGTAAACTACACGCACTTCCACTCCCTTTCTGGAAATGTCGTTTCTCGAGTGGGGTTACTATAGGGACGCACGGGGGTAGGGCTGGTTTTCTTGTGAACGTGCTGATCAGGGGAGTTGCGTTCTATCTGAAAAAGAGAGTACTAAAAAACTACTGGGCCACTGAATCCCCACAAGAAGCTGCTAGAAGGGTTAAGGAAGGTGGCTCTAGGGAGTATTGGGCGCATGATTTTTCCAGACTGCATACAGCTCTTGATCGTCGCCTTATGATTGCCACACTTGGCCGAGCAATCGACCTGGTTTGTGAACACTCTGGAGCCACTGCCATGCGTTTGATGATGATCGTTGACAAAAATGGCACTCGAAAACAGATTGCCGCTCCTGTCGGCGTCATGGAAATCCCGCAACGTGAGCCATGCGGCACTGATTCAGTTGCGTACATTTCCAAACGTCGAGTAAAGGCTTTGGCCAAGTGGACAACCACGGCCAGCATGTGCGAACCAGGTGGCCGCTTTTTCTTACAGAAAGTCGGTCTGCCTATGGGTGTATCCCCAGCACCCACATACGCTGAGCTAGTGTTAGGCCTCATGGGATGCGTATTCATGAGTTACGACGCCGGGCGGGTGTGTCGCCATTTGTTGACCTGTCGATACGTAGACGACCTGTTGAGCTGTAAAGAGTTACCGATAGAGTTGATTTTGATATACCCAAGTCAGCTACGGGCGACGATAGAAACTAAAGGGGCTACAGCTAAGTCTTTTCTAGACTTGCAGTCGGGCTCATCCCTCGGCAAAGTGCTGTCCCGCGTGCATAACAAGACGCACGGTCTTGGCTTCCACGTGCCTAAATACACCTTGGCCCAAAGCACGGCTGACCCCCAGAAAACGCAAGCAATTAGTGAGCGTTTAAAACATGTTTCATCACTTGCGTTTCTAGTATAGACTCTCAGCGGAAAATCTTCAGTAGCATGCACTGGGAGAATCGTGCCCATATGGATCGCACCGCTGAAGGGGCTTGCGCCCCTGGTGGTGGATTCCGCAGCGCCTCTGCCCTTCCACGCGATTCCTGGCGCGAGGATGTGCTGCATAGCGCCGGAGCACCTTGCGCGTGGTGTGCGTGTGTTTGTAGCGTCGGCGACCTCCGTTGCGGCCAGAGGCGCGTCGCTGGCCCTCTCCAGTTTCTCGCGTCTCCCTTGGGCGCTCAGGTTCAGGCACTGCTCCCGGAGCTAGGTCCGCGGAGAGAAAGCGAGTCGCGCTGGGGCGCCCCGGCCTGGATTCCTTGGCTGATGCGATGGGTGTGGCAATTGTTATGCCATTGCGAGCGCCCTCGCGCATGCGCTTTTCCTGCTTGTGGGGCAGGAGAGTGGTTGGAGCTGCAGAGGGCCTCAGGCATTTGCCAGTCTCAGGACCCGGAAAAGTCTGGCGTCTGCGTCAGACGCCAGGATTCTCGAGCGCCTAAGAATTTCTGAGACCTGGCAAAAGTCTGGCGTCTGCGTCAGACGCCAGGATTCTCGAGCGCCTAAGAATTTCTGAGACCTGGCAAAAGTCTGGCGTCTGCGTCAGACGCCAGGACTTTCCCGGTACGGCTACCGACCCAGTGCACCCCACTGGGCCGGTGCCCGTACCCGTAAAACACCTGGCGTCTGACGCAGACGCCAGACCTTTGCCAAGTCTCAGAACGAAGTGAGGCGTGGCGCGAAAGTCCGAGCGTCTGCCGCACAGCTAAGCTCTCGGGGGCACGATGAAACTGCGACTCCGCACTGCGGCGCCCGTCGTGGCGCTATCTGTAGCTTCGTCTACAGGTCCGTAGTTGGACGCATCGGCCGGCGGGCCCTGCAGCCGTGCTTTTGACTCGGGGGGGGTTCACCTGGCAGGCTCGCGTGGCAGCTCTTCGGCCTCTTGCTCTCCGGGGTGTCTGGCCGTGCCTTCTCGTTGGAGTCACAGTTGGTGCGCTGATGGGGCTTGTCGTTGTTTGCCTGGGCGGCCGGACTGTCTGGTGTCTGTGCGTGGTCAGGGCAGCGCGAATTTTGTCCTGATCGCGAGAGGGGTAACGCGTCCATCCTCGGAGGTTTATCGTTTTGAAACTAAGGGGCGCCCGCCTAGCTTGATGGCCCTCTGGGCCGCGGGGTTGCGGTGCTCTGCGTCTACAGCTGTAGTTAGCCCATTTGCCTCAGTATCCCTTACTGAAGGTTTTCCGCTGAAAATGCATGCATTTCCCCAAGTCATGACATGTTTTAAACGCCGTTCATGGAAAGAAGAGAGAACAAAACGCAAGTCTTTGTAGGCTTTTATGTTGGTTTTCGATGGGCCAGGAGTGGAAAGACCCTATTAAAGCTCCCGCATTCTTTGTGTAGCTCCTTGTGGAGCAGTTGATGATGTTTCTTTTCTTCGTTTTAGCTTCTTGGGAAGCAGTTAATAGTTCTTTTCGTGTTTCTTCTTTGTTTATTACGTCACTTTACAGTGACGCTGTATTGCGGTTCTCCTTGTGCCGTGCCTAGGGTCTCACGACCCTCGGTTTCTTGTTTCAGTTTGTCGTTGCTGGTTCAGTGGAGATCTCGTTGCTGTCGTGTTTCTTGCTCGCTTTGGCAGGTTTCCGCTTCGTGCGTGCGGGCAGCTTGTGCTGGGCCGTACTACTGCTTCGCTTTGCCGGTTCCGAAGCCTCGCTGTGCGAGCACGCTGTGTTAGTTCGCTTCATGCTTTCGGCTTCGGTCTGCGACCGATCACGTTTGTACCTTCCGGCAACGAGATCGCCTACAGCAACATGTCTGCATCGTGTCACTGTTTCCCCCACCTTTCTCTAAAACATCCATGAGTGAGCGTTTAAAACATGTTTTAAACGCCGTTCATGGAAAGAAGAGAGAACAAAACGCAAGTCTTTGTAGGCTTTTATGTTGGTTTTCGATGGGCCAGGAGTGGAAAGACCCTATTAAAGCTCCCGCATTCTTTGTGTAGCTCCTTGTGGAGCAGTTGATGATGTTTCTTTTCTTCGTTTTCCCACCCACCCTCTTCCGTGGGAGCAAACCGGACGTCGGTTTGAAGGCTCGTTAGCTCCAGGCCTCGGTCTAGAGTTACCCTTCAAGCTGAGGGACGGGGATGCAACTCGGGTTCTTTAATCTTCTTTCCATGATACGGCCTTCGTCAGAAGGATGAGAAATGAGGCGGTTGTCTTATTCTTAGTTATAGCCAGTTAGTTAAAGTAGCAGCTTTCTTTCTTAGGAATCCCGAGGTTTCTTGATGGCGTTGCGCTGCCAAGTATTATTGTTCCATCCGCGTCCCTGAGCTTGAAGCTTCTCTTTCCCTCAAATAGGCCGAGGTGAGTGATGAGCTGGAGTTTATCCGAAAGGATAGGTTGAGAATCAAAGAGGCGAAAAACTATTCTCGAAAAGTGGAAGTTAGTAAAAATGGAAGTTGTAAACGTGTTGTCTTAAGCACGGAAGTGAAGAAGTGTCAAGGTGATTAAAGGTGTATACTTTTTCTTTGTATGTTGTCACTATTTCTTTCTCGTTCTAGGATAAAAGTATGGCTTTGCCGGACAGGAAGGCTAGGCGTGCTGCGCGTGCTGCCGAGAAGAGGGTAGTGCGCGAAGCGTCGCATTACCTTGAACACATTTTTTCCGATCTGGACAGCGTCGCATCCGCCGCTCCGCCTCCTGTTTTAGATGAAGAAAGTTTGGTCTTGATACTGAAGAGGCACCCCACCGAAGATACCACTTCTGAAGGTTTACGTCTGCTAGAAGAGCTTGAAGCTGATTCTTATCAACCACCTCCTAGTAAGGATGATTGGCGGTTTTTCGACGTCTCCGAGCACAGGGCTCTAGGTTTTAAGAATATAGCGCTTCTGAGGCGCTTGAATGAATTGCACCACAAGCAGGATCCAACCGCATGGGAGTTGGTTCTGAATGGGGGCACTTGTGAAGGGCCGGCTTTTTGTCCTCCGAGCTGGCCAGCAAAGAGGCTAAAGTCTGTCGACGACAAAACTGAGGGCATTACTAAGAAGTGCAGAGTTAGTTCTTTTAAGTCCAGAGCTTCGCCGGCCTTCATGGATCCCGATGCAATTCAGAAGATTTGGGACACGTCCGCTGAGGAGGTTGGCGCCGGTCTTTTAGAGGGACCTCTCGATTTAGATTCTTTACCCGATGGGGTTGCGTTTTTGGTTCCTAGGTTCGCAGTTCTTCAAAAACAGAAGCATAGGATGACTGATGATGCTCGAGTTTTCAATCATGATTGCCATCTTGATAGAGTAACTCCATTGCCGTCACCATTGCAAGCGCTGGCCATGGCGACCGCGACGGCGCGCCTGCAGGCAAACGCAAACTTGCGCCCTAACTTGGTCGATTGTTTTAACGTAAACACAAGGAAGAGAAAGAGTTCATCAAGTTGTTATTCGCAGGATTTTGTTGTACAGAGTTTATTGGAAAATAGTTGTAGTCTGGATAGTGATACAAATGCACAGGACAATGTAGATGGAGCAGTTATCGACATAGAGAAAGCGCATAAGACCATAGGCATTCTGAAGAGTCAAGAAGAGAGCAACTTCATAGCGGTTCTCGATCCGGTCGGAGACAAGTGGTTCGCCTTCAAAGGCTTATCGCTCGTCTTCGGTAATACGCATAGTGTTGTAGTCTGGGTACGCGTTGCGCAGTTGTTAAGCAGCTGCGTTCGCGGTTTATTTGCCGTCCCAAACTCGGTTTTTATAGATGATCTCCATTCTTTCATCAGATCAGGCCTGGGGCCTCGGACATCTGCGGCAGTGTGCTTATTGTTTGACAAGCTAGGGCGGTCATACAAGTCAGAAAAGGTCGACGCTTCGAGTGAGTCCATAACCCTTCTCGGGCTAGTTTTCTCTCTGGTTGGGCATCCGTCTTTGAGTATTTCAGAAGAAAGGAAGTTGGCGCATGTTGAGTTGTTAGATGCGAAGTTATGTATCGCAAAAATTTTTGTCACCAAACGAAGCTGCATCCCTTTACGGGAAGCTTAGTTTCGCTTTTTGTTCACTTTGTGAGCGACGTCTACATCCTTTGACTCGGCCGCTTATGGTAAGGATGTTCCAAGCGAACAAAGATTTCGTTTTGAGCAAGGCACTCGCTTTGAGCCTTCGGGCGTGCGCTGATTTAATTAAGGTGTTGCCTCCGCGGAAACTTACAGTCTCCCCAATCAGGTTTTTGGTTTATACCGACGCCAGTTGGCGGAGGGGAAAAGGAGTAATGGCAGGGGTGCTCGTTTTTCCTGATAGAGTTAATAGGAAAACAGGAGAACTAGGAAAGGTCTTGATGTGGAGGCTAGCCGTGTCAGAAGATGACTTGCGTCCCTCAGTCGCCAAATTCCCTATTAACTTTCTTGAAGCGGTGGCAGCCGTAGTTGCTTTAAAGATTTGGATTAGTTTTTTTCGGGATTCGCGTTGTATTTTTTTGTTGGATAATTGTGCCGCGGAAGGCACTTTGCATAGAATGAACAGCGGACGGCCGGCAGTGGCATTGTCGGCTTTCTATTTTTGGTGGATAGCTAGCGAGTTTTCAGTTTCTCCTTTGTTGGGGCGTGTACCAAGCGAATCTAATGTCAGCGATTTACCGACGAAGAGCGATGAAATGTTCAAGAAGTTCCAGGACGCTTTTGATTTTGAAGAGTGGTTTTTATCTAATGAAGACAGGTCTTTTATCTTTAACTTGTTGAAGTTCAACGTTCCACACGCTGAGACTATCGCATGCACTTGAGTTTGAATAAAAGCTTTTTGTGGGAAAGTTAATGATGGCGCAGCGCTAGGTTTGATGAACAGTACAGGAAGAATAGAGTCAAGATTTGTATTCTAAGAATTGGCAGAGCGAGCATTAATTTGCTCGAAGTGTCTTAAGGCTGTCTCTTGCAAGGGTGAGAGTGTGAGTTGAAGAGAGTTTTGTCGAGTAAAGAAGTTTTTACTGTCAAAATATGTGGCGCCTTTTGGCAACATTTGAGCAAAAAAAGAGGAAAAAACTCGAAAAATTGGAATGCCCTTGTAAGGGGGGGGCGTTTTCTCCACATAGCCTTCGCAAGTCGAGAATATATATTAATAACAAAGTTGGTCTTACCGTTATAATACCCTTACCCTTGAGCCCCCCCCCTTTGAACCGTTGCGCCGACCCTTATGACCCTTACGCCCCCCCCTTGCGATACCCTTTGAGACCCTTGCGACACCCTTACAGCCCCCCCTTACAACCCCCCCTTATGAAGCAGGCGACCCCTTACGATTTCTCCCCCCCTTTGTGACCCCCTTACAAGTTGGCACCTTTTTCCAACCTCTTCACCGTCGAACTCCGCAAAGCGCGCGCACTCCTTCGCACTCACTGCCAGCGCCTCCCATTGATGGCGTTCGGGATGTCGCGACTTTTGCTCATCACCTCACGCCGCTCGCCCGTGGAAGTTGTCAGCTTTTGGATCATGATCGACAAGAGGCGCCGAGCGTAGCAGAGTGCGCACCGGTCTACCTTGCAAGAGGGCCGCGCTCCATCGTAGTTGCCTGGTCTCTCTCTGTCTGCTTTCACAGTAGAGAAGAACAACCAAGAGGAAGAAGATGGCACACCTTCAAGGTCTTGGGTTGCGTGCGTGTCTCGCAGACATGTAGAGACTTGAAGCCTGGGAGCTGGTTCTGGTTCGATTTGGAAGGTGCTACTTGCAACACTTGCAGCCGCATGGCTGACAGATGGGCAACCGATAAGGCGGGCTATGTGCCTGCCATCTGAAGCGCGCTGCCTGCTATTGATTCAGTGTCCGCCTTGTGAGTGGTTGCCGGCTCTTTGCGGAGGGGGCCCGCCTCTCCCACCACAGCACCAGCGCCGGCGGCCGATCTCCATGCTGTTGCAACGGTGTAAGAAGTGCCCGCCTCTCTTTCCCGCGTAGTGCTGTTGCTGGTGTTGCGGGTCAAGGAGGAGAGCTTCCTCCTGGCGCTGTTTTTGCTGCAAACGGAGCACCAGGCGAAGGAGGTGCTGCAGAAGAGAAAAGCAAGGGCAAAAAAGGCGGCGGGGGGAAGCCAAAGGCAAAGCGAAGGCCAAGGCGAAGGCGCGCGCTGCGTCATACTGAAAGAACTCACGCCACAGAATAACAGGGCTGACAGGCGTGCTCCATCCTTTTGCAATTTCTTCGCCGGATGTTTTCGGGCGGCGTGCCCTTTCCATTTCCTTCAGCGAGTGCGCTGCCTTGTCCTCTCGCGCCCTTTATTTTGAAACGCCGCCCCCTCGTGCGCGTGTGGCATTCCCCCCCACGACCTCCAGGCCGACCCTACTCAATTTCGCAAGCAGTCAGTAGTCCTCTGCTAGACCCGCCTGGTGGCTCTTTTTACTCAGCCTTATGGTGTTCCTTACCTACTACCCATGATCTTTTTCTATCTCTAACTCTATCTCAATGCACCCAGCACGCGCCGCACTTCTAGTTAGATTCCATGAAAAAAGCAGCCTGGTTATATATTTTCTGCGTGACATAGCTGAGCTACTGGCGCGGTTTTATCAGAGCAATGCCAATACGCTAGGAGAGAACTCGCTTGGAGCTAGTGCGAAAGTGTTGAAAAAGAGGCACTGGGGTAAGGGCAGTGGGATTAAGTGGCGTAGGGACCCAAAAAAGTTGACCCAGCAAGTTACTAGTCATGGCCACCTAGTTGCGCAATACATTAACGAAGCAGCACAGTCGAAAAAAGAAGAAATGGATGAAGTAAACAGCTAGAAAGTCCGGCAAAGAGGCGAGCGATAGCGCTTTCTTCTTCTTTAGCTAACAAATAAGGAAAGCGTTTGTTTGCTTATCAGACTTGTCATGTGTTTTCTGAAGTAGAGCACTGCGCTCGGCTTCCTTGCTTAAATCAAAAAGACAAAAATACACGTGACCTGAGTAGACTAAGACCTAGAAACCAAAAGGGAAAGCGAGTTCTTCTAGGTAAAAGCGTTGAGTGTATATCTTGTTCCCTAAAAGTAGCAATGGACTCACTCTATTTGTGTTTCGTCTGTGCGCTCTTTTCTTTTCTTTAACTCAGTTCTTGGTCGTTATGTGGTTTCTGATTTGATCCATTCGTCTCTTTTTGTTGGTCATGATCTGAGTCCTGGAAATGTCACAAAGATCCACCAAGATCCTAAGGACAAAGACCAACGAAATTAATGACCACAATCGCCAGGCAAAAGGTTACCGGAGCACCATCCAAACGCCCGGCGGGTTTACCGTCGCGCGGGTGTCTCTGGCTTCTCCTCTCTTGTTGTTGTTGCAAAAGGTTACCGGAGCACTCTCCAACGCCCGACGGGTTTACCGTCGCGCGGGTGTCTCTGGCTTCTCCTCTCTTGTTGTTGTTGCAAAAGGTTACCGGAACACTATCCAACGCCCGACCGGTTTACCGTCGCGCGGGTGTCTCTGGCTTCTCCTCTCTCTTGTATGCTGTTCCAAGTCCTTCAGTACAGTCAAGGACAAACGCCACAGGAAAGACCTCAAGGAAACCCATAGACCTAAACGCGTACGGTTCCAAAGTCAACGCGTGCTGATTCAACAGACGAAGGGCCTTCAACGTATTCAGATAGCAGGGGTGGCGAATGTTCATAGCTGTGACCATCTCCAAATGCATAAAGATCGTCGTAATGGGTCTCGTATGATCTGACGCATATCCATCCACTAAGTTCGATCAGATCCAGTTGGGTAACGATAGAGCACAAGGAAGACCGTACGAGAGATTAATGGCGATAGCATAGGCGTCTCCATATGAGCGCGTGAAACTTTCCCCATCATGATATCCCAAAGAAGAAGCTGAGACTTCCCCTTTGCCACCCTGATGAATAGATATCCACAGGGATCAAACCAGCCAGAGATCATCAGTCTCAGGCTGTGCGTTCAATTTGCATCGAGCTCAGGTCAGTGCTTCTCAACGAGAAACTACGCGCGACTTCACAGTCTGGGTTCTTGTGGTCCAGCACTAGTGTGACCCTTTCGCTTAGTATAGAGTAGAAACCCATCTAGACCTAGAGGCAACTTTACAGAATGTCCTGCGATGCGAGAGAAATCTCGAAGAAACTCGGACAGAAGTCCGACTGGCGGGAGTGGCAGCGTGCCACACGTGGTCAGGAAGCTAGCCGCCTCGGCCTGCTTCAAAACTACACGAATGCAGTTGGCGTGCCGGCAGCTCCTCATGGTATTCCCAACGGAGTTACCACCCAAGAGGACGCAATCCGTCAAAAGTGGCGCAGCCTGAGAGACGCGGCCATCCGTAGTCTGAACGGTGCCGCTGCGTCGTTCATAAACAACCAGAACGAGAATGGTCAGGTGGATGCGATGGATGCGGGTGAGGTTGTTGTGTTCCTGCGTGAGGTGATGCAGGCGTAGGGCACTTCGATCAAAACAACCCGCAGGAACAACGGACGAAGGCAAAACCGCTTGCAGGTGGTTTGCTAAAGTTCCACAACATGGACCAGCCCGCAGATGTCAAGGGATTCTTATCGAGAGTCTGGGACATCGTGAACCAGTCGCCCACCGTGTACCCGCCAGAAGCAGGAGTGCCAGAAAGTGACCAGCAGAGTGGTGCACTGCTGCAGAAGTTGCCCGAGCTGTTCTGCAAGAACTTCAAGGCAACGACCGAACGCATGCAGGTCAGGAAGAAGATGGCCTGACATTTGACCAGATCGGTGACCGACTTGAAAAGCGTCTTGCGACGTTGATCGAGGAGGGAACCAACAAGGTTGAGAGCGATTCCTTCGGGAAGACGTTCCCGGTCAATGTTCAGGAAACCCCGAACAAACGCCCGCGGGAGGAAGAGGATGAGGAGGAAAAGGCCAACGAAGGTGGTGAGATCTCTCTGTCTAAAAGTGCCCTCGAGCGCTTTAAGGCAAACACAAAGAAAAAGATCGCCGCCGAGGTCTACGCCTCCAACTCCAACGGCAACCAAGGCCATGGTAGTGGTGGCGGAAAGAACGGCAAAGGAAAGCCGCAGAACAAAAGTAGCAAAGGTTCTGGAAAACAGGACACCCGTCCAGTCTGTTGGATCTGCAACAAGCCGGGCCACAAGTCCGCGTCTTGCTGGAAGAATCCACAGAACCAGGAAAACAGGAACTGGAACAACAGTGCGCAGTCTAGTAGTGGCAAGGGTCAAGGTGGAAAGGGTACTGGCATGGCTCACATGTCTCAAATTGCGGAGCTGTTCCAAGCTCTCAACGCTGCCAAGCAGAGCCGAGACGCGGAACCGGTGGAGAGTGGATTCCGCTCGCTGGATTTGGATGAGGATGAGGGTGAAGATGAGATAGATATAGATAAGCTTGGGGGAATGAATTTGATGGGGCATAGAAGTCTTTCAACTAGTTCCGTCGCGATTGCTGTAAAAGATGAAGCTAGTCTGGTTGATAGTTGTGCAAGCAAATATCTCTCAAGACACAGAGACGATTCTGGTGATGTAACTATGGGAATTTGTAGGATTACTGGCAGCGCTGGAAGTAAAGGCGGAAAAGTAGAAAGATTGAGACCAAACATCTTAGGGCTCCGGTGTGGTGAGTGCTATGATTCACTGCCAAAGGATTTAGATCGTATTACACCTTGGCTAGGTGAAGGGAACTGCTCGCAAAAGGGGTGGGAACTCAATTTCAAAGGTGCTGGCGGTTGTCTCGTACACACGGACACCGGCCAGGCCATACCCATAAGAAGCCACCCACGCCGGCAGCTTCCCACACTTGCGTGCAATTTATTCAAAGAAGAGACTGGTAGTGGTTATGCTTTTACTTGTTCAACAGTAGAAGAAGGAGCCGGTGGCCGTTATCTTACAAGACTCGAACTTCATAGAAGGTTTGGGCGCTTTCATATAGATGGCCTCCAGGTGAAATGTCCTGGGTGTGACCTGCATAAAGGCCAACGCGCACCACATGCAAAAGCTCGAGACACTTCGAAGCACACACCTGAACCGCTGAAGTTATTAGCTATCGACCTTGCTGCTGGAATCAAACCCGTATCAGTTAGGTCGAAGAGATGCGCGCTAGTGATTATCTGTGACGCAATTACGAGAGTGCTCTGTCGACCGCTTAAGCTGAAAAGTGGCAGACTGCGTGGAGGAAGTAGAAGAAGTGATCAGACAGAGGCACTCGCCAGGACTACTCCTTCTCTCTTGATGGCAAGGCATTGCGATTCCTCCGGAGGGATGGAGAACCTGTCCTGTGCAGCGCAGTGATGACATGGCCAAAGTTGTGCAATCCAATCGCTGCGAGTCTCAGACAGTCTGGCTGTTCTTTATAATCCGGAAACGAATGGGACCTGCGCGCGTTTTATGCGGAGACTTTGTTCGGCAGTGTTCGCACGATCATGCTGACTAAAGTTGGCAAGCGTCCCTGGTGTTACTGCGTCGAGTATGCCGGTGACTGCTGGGATCGTTTACCGCATAACTACGCAAAAGCGCCTCAACGGAACACGATGGGAAGAGTCCCATTGAAATCTTAGAAGAGCGAACTGGTCGAAACTCGTCGAAGAGTTCGATCGGCGTGCTCCGTCGATTTGGTTGTCTAGTTTACTTTCGTGAACAAGTTCAAGCCAACACTCCTGAAGCCAAGCTCTCGGCCAAATACCGCGGCCGTGGCGTCTTCCTTGGACTCTGTCCGAAGTCGTCTGGCTGGTTGGTTGGAACTTTCGCCCATGCTGATCGTTGCAAGCTTGGACATCGATGGGCGAAATATTCTACCTGAGAAGTAAAGGCCAGAGAGGACTACCTAATAAAGAATATTGATTGGCACGTGCCAGATAAGAAGGGCATCCGCATAGAGTATGACGAACTGCAGAACCTGCAGAGTGGAGCGCTGTCGCTGGGCTCCCCCTTGCTTGGGCAGTCAGAGCCAAGGCTGGGCCATCAATCGGGGTTCTCTGGCACGGAGCGCGCTCCAGGTGGACCGGTCGGAATTTCCGGAGCATTGTTTACTGAGGCATTGGAAATATAAAGTAGAGGAATCTGACGCGGCTGACTCTCTTAGAGGTGTTCCACCTGAGGAGGGGAAAGCTGAAGCGAAGGATCGCGAGACATCTGCGCCGCTTAGTCCGTCTAGGTCAGAAGCGCCTTCTCCAGCGCGTGTCGTGGCAGGCGAACGCCATACACACGCCAAGAAGCCGAAGCGTGGCCGACCAAAAGGAGCTAAGGACAAGGCAGGCGGCAGGGTCTGAAGAACAAAGAAACAGTTAGAAGAACTACGAAAGAGTATGGCGCTGCTCGCTAGTGCAGTTGGTGGCATGTGTGAACTAGACGAAGACGAGGAATTCGCCGAGTCATGCGTGACTTTGTCCGTTGCTCAAGCACTCAAGTCCCCCGATGCCGATAAGTGGCGGGAAGTTATTGAGAAAGAGCACGCGAGACTTCTAGCCTTTGAAACGTGGAAAGCAGCTTCCGACGAGGAGCTTGCGACCGCGCGGCAGGCTCTACCAATTGCCACAGTTCTAACTATTAAAAGACGTGGAAGATACAAGGCTCGCGCCTGTGTCTTCGGTAATCTAGACCGATCAGGAGAGCTAAACGCCTTTGCTCCTGTAGTTTCACATGCCGCAAATAGGTTGCCCTTGGCTTCTGCTGCGTCAGAGCAGGACTATGCGATCCCGTTCGATTTAGATACTGCGTTCCTCAATGCTGAACACTCGGTCGCGGTGTCTTCTGTCGTCTCCCAACCATCTGGGCGGAGAAGCATGGGCGCGAGATCGTGAAGCTCAAGAAAGCCCTATACGGCTTGAAGGACGCACCACGAGCATGGTTCAAGAATTGTCACGACATACTAGCCAGTCTTGGCTGGGAGCCGTGTGATTCTGCGCCAGGCTTATGGAGAAAACCGAGGAAGGAAGTACCTGGGAAGCTCCTCAGGATGTCAGTCTATGCCGGTGACAATCTTGCGACGGGTCCTGATCTCGATGGGCTCAAGACTGAACTAGGCCACATCTTCTCGCGTGCCCCTGGCCGTGCGATAGATGTGGAGCCCGTTCCGACCCCTTGGGGTCAAGCGTGGCGAAGGTTCGACTTCTTAGGTGCCATCGTGTACTACTGCCGTGAAGCTCGAACTTTTCGGCCCAACATGGGAGAGCACATCGATAAAATCGGAAAGAGATTCGAAAGCCAAGTCGGGGGGTCGGTTTACTCGCCCAGTTTTGACGTGTCGGCTTTTCTTGGGGAGGGGATCAAGATAGTCGACGGGTATCCTTATCGCGAGGTAGTTGGTGCCTTGCTATGGGTAGCTGTGACTGCGCGCCCGGGCATCTCTGTACCGGTGGCGGCGCTGGCTAGACATGTCAGCAAACCCGCGTCAGTGAGAATGGTGAAAGCAGCCAAGAAAGTGCTGAAGTATCTGGCGACAACGAGAGAACAGGGACTGGAATACCCACCAGAACAAGAAGAGGAACTCAATAGAATCTAGCCAAAGATATTACCTGAAGGCAGAGATATGCCAGAGGTGAACGTCTTTAGTGATGCAGGATTCGCCAACTGCGTAAAGACTACGAGAAGCGCAAGCGGGTCGGTCATGTATCTCAAAGGCGTCCCAATCGCTTGGGGAAGTAATCGGCAAACTAACTGTCTGTGCCTATTCTACGGCTGAGAGTGAATACGCTGCAGCTTCTGACACAATTGCGCCCAGTGAACTGCATGACTCTGCAGACTTCTAGAAGCCTCGACCAACTCAGTTGGTGCACACACAGAGCGGCTTGCCTCTCTCTTTAGACAGTGCCGCGCCCTGGGTCGACAACCAGTCCGCGATCGCAGCAGCTAACTAAAGCAACAGACACACGCCCGAAAAGTCGCCACTATGCACTTCGCTACTTGCGAGCGCGTGGCGCGGCAAGTGAGATAGTATTCTGCCGAACTAACTTAGTGAAAGCTGACGGCTTAACTAAGCTAGAGCGTAGCCCGTCTCGGCGTAGGCTACTGCTTCACCATATAGATAGCTTGATAAACAAAATCAACTATGACGACTGTGATTCCTCAGACGATGAAGCGGATGCATGGGGATGGTTTCGCCTACTTTCGCTTTGGTGTAGTGCTTTCGGTTTACTTTGGTTTCTAGTTCGCTCACCGTAGCCATAAGCAGATAGGTAGGAGATATGACTTCTGTGGCAGTCCAGAGAGTAGGAACTTCGACGCGCAACGACTGGGGAGGGGCGCTGGTCATGATCTGAATCCTGGAAATGTCACAAAGGTCCACCAAGATCCTAAGGACAAAGATCAACGAAGTGACCAAGATCGCCAGGCAAAAGGTTACCGGAGCACCATCCAAACGCCTGACGGGTTTACCGTCGCGCGGGTGTCTCTGGCTCCTCCCCTCTTGTTGTTGTTGTAAAAGGTTACCGGAACACAATCCAACGCCTGACGGGTTTACCGTCGCGCGGGTGTCTCAGTCTCTGGCTTCTCCTCTCTCTTGTATGCTGTTCCAAGTCTTTCAGTACAGTCAAGGACAAACGCCACCGGAAAGACCTCGAGGAAACCCATAGACTTAAATGCGTACGGTTCCAAAGTCAACGATCAACAGACGAAGGACCTGCAACGTATTCAGATAGCAGGGGTGGCGAGTGTTCGTCTCCAAATGCATAGGGATCGTCTCCAAATGCATAAGGATCGTCGTGAGGTATTCTCGTAATGGGTCTCGTGTGATCTGATGCATATCCATCCACTAAGTTCGACCAGAGCCAGTTGGGTAACGATAAAGCACAAGGGAGACCGTATGAGATTAATAGCGATAGCATAGGCGTTTCCATATGAGCGCGCGAAACTTTCCCCGTCATGATATCCCAAAGAAGAAGCCGGGGCCCCCCCTTTGCAGCCCCGACGAATATCCACAGGGATCAAACCAGCCAGAGACCACTAGTCTCAGGCTGTGAGTTCAATTTGCATCAAGCTCAGTGTTTCTCGCCGAGAAACTGCGAGCGACTTAACAGTCTGCGTTCTTGTGGTCCAGCGCTTTTTCTGCTTTTCTCTCCTGCAGATAAAAAAAAAGAGTGTAGCACTTAAGTAGCCTCCAAAAAAAGTCGCATGAAGTTGGCACGTTATGAGTAGTTTGCTTTTTGAAAGAGATAAAACCTAGAAACTTAAGGAAGGACTCGTGAGGGGTGAAGTCATTAGAGACAATACGCATAAGGCTGCAAGTAAAACGCAATAGGGGCCAACACAAAGGGAGGGGAAGTAATAAGGGATGAGAGTGAGTATGAAGAGCTGAGACATGTTAGTTGCCACCGTCTCTCGCCTTCCAGTGGTCACAGCCTGGAAGTCGTCGCTAGTTAGTTTTTTTGAATGCTTTGCATAAAATTCATAATCAGTTGCTAAGATGAGTAAAGGCATAGGCACCTCGTGGGAAGATCGATCTGATTCTTGTGGGTCGGTATTGATTCTTAATTGATTGCACGCTGGAAGACTGGCAACTGAAAACAAATGGTGGAAAGGTCGCGAGTCGGTCATACTGAACTAAGAGCGAATGGCAAGACGATGCATCTGAGTCGGTTGTAGTGAGGAAAGTGCACAGCTGTGCCTGAATGTCATGGGTCGGCCTGTGATGTGTTAGCTTCCAGGCAGATCGGTGCGTATGTGTGTAGGAGTGTGGTTCGGCCTTGATCTGATGGGATGGCTGCAGATAATTACTGGCTTGAGCCTTTTTAGGCGGAAGGCTTAATGCCGGCGCAGTTTAAGGCTTGAAGATAGGGGGGTCGCTCCTCCCTATTGTATCTGAGACGCTTTGGCCAGACTCTCTCCTCCACACAATACGGCATACGCCATGAGAATGGGTGATCTCGGTCCTTCGTAATGTACTCGCAGCGACACCGCTATCACGAACTCGGTCACTCTTACCTCTCAGGCTTCACCTGCCCAAGTCCCGTGTTATAAAACGACTGCCAAAGAGTTTCCCACTCTAATAGGTAAACAAATGGTCGCCCGCTCCTAAGAGATGAGGACATCGATCAACATGGCAGGAAGGTGCTAGCCTTAAAATCCAGAACAAGCTGGTCAGGGTCGTGGCGGACCCGAAGGAAGAGTAGAGAAGAGACGCGGAGAGACTTGGGGAAAGAAGCGGGCGGCCTTACCGCTCACGGATATGACAAAACAAAGAGAAGATCCACGCAGCGCGCAGAATGGTGGAGAAGGAGCAGCGCCTGCCACAGAGGAGGCAGACAGGAGAGTCCTCCCCACGGTTCGGCGCAAGTGGGAGCGCCTGAGGCTACTGGCAATGGTCGACAGATACAGGGAGGAAAAGTGGGGCAGAAGGCTCGGCCTGGGGATGACCCCCAAGGCCAACGAAGGGCCGAACACAATGCCCGCCAGGAGAGTCAGACTAGGAGAAAGGGACAACAAGGAGGCGGAGACATGGAAGAAATTCAAGGAGAGACTAGGGAAATCCCTCCAAAACGAACAGGGGGAGGGGTTCCATAATATAGCGAGATAATAGAAATAATGCGGGACCTTGAGAAGCTGGAAGAAGGGCCACGCGTACGGACTTCGGTGGAGCGGCTGGGAATGGCAGATGTGTGGAACCTCGTGACGCGCTGCCCGCAGTCGATCCACTGGAGGGAACTATGGAACGCGGCAGCGAGAGCCCTGCGCAATAGATACCAGAAGAGGAGAACGAGAAGACAGGGACTGGACGACGTGCAAACATTGCGGGCGGGAAGGATTTAAAAGCCCCAAGGGCTTAGTGGCGCACTGGGTAGGGACGGCAAAAAACTGGAAGGAGGGAGAACGCGCAAGCTGTGGCAGAAGGACCGCGGGAACATGCTTGACGCCGGTGACCTGGAGAGGCTCTCGCACTTCCAGAAAATATACTTGGAGGAAGCAGGACTGAGCCCCGAGGAGGTGAAAGATGTGGCGCTTATACCGCTCTCGCTGAAAGGAAAAAAGTGGCCGCACGTAGGGAACGGCACGCACATCCAAGACAAACAAGAGGCAGAAGAGCTTCCCAAGCTAGTGGAAGACTTGGAACACGATGAGCAGGCAGGGGAAGCCATCGACTAAGACAACCGGCGCGAGTGCCCCTGGGGGGTGAAGAAATGCCAGGGGGTACAGCCGGACACTCGCCGCTGTGGTATGTGCCAGGTGATGCACGGCACAGGCCAGGCGCGCCAGAAGTGGCTAGAGGTAGAGCAGGCCAAAAGGGTAAGAAAGGACGAGAAAAGGTGGGAGGCATACCACGGGGCCAAGGGGATGCGCTGGGACCCGATGACAAAGGTAAAGACGTGCCCACACAAAGAGAAGGCGCGCGGCTGGCTGGTGGAGGAGCCGGGAAAACGGTGCGAAGGGTGTAAAAGAATAGAAGGAGGAGAAACCTGGGCCACCCACTGCAGGGAAGTAGAGGGGAAAAAAAGGGAGGACTTTGCGGGGAAAGAGCAGCAGGAAAAAGCCAAGGCCCCGAGAAAAAGACAGAAGGAAGAGGGGCGGGAGGATAAGGCAAAAGGAGAGGCCTAACGCAAAGCACAAAAGAGAGAAGAGACAGAGGAGAAGAGAAGGGAAGGAAAAAGGAGACTTGCTGGCAAACCGCTGGAGGGACTCAGGGAAGGGAAGAAGCCAAAGAAGCCCCCAGGGGCGGAAAAGGCTGCAGGAGAAAAGCGGCTGGCGGAGGAGCCGCTGATAGACCTCAGAAAAAGGAAGAAGGGGAAGAAGCAACCAGGAGACCAAGAGGAGGAGAAGGGCAACGCCCTCAAGAAAAAGGACGAAAAGGGGGCAGCGGGGGCGCCGAGCAGCTTCACAGCAGTGAAGAGGAAGCAGCAACGAGAACAAAGGACAAGGCCGAAAGAGAGGAAAGAAGCCAGCACAGAAGTGAAGAAAAAGGAAGAGAAATGGGGAGGCCTGGCAAAAGGACCGCCGGACGAAATGAGGCCAAGAAGACCACGACGGGGACAGGACACGAAAAGAATAGGCCGAAACAAAGGGGCCGCCTAAGGGGAGGCCCCCCGATGAAGGGGGAGGCAGTGCAGGAGGGCAAGAGCAAGCGAAACGAGCGCCCCTCGCCTCTTTTGGGTCCCCCGGAGAGGTGGCGGATGCGGGTCTGGCCTCTCTCTGCGGGGTCGAGTAGGGGCAACCTTGTATCGTAAAGAGGGCAACCCTCTTAGGTAAAACGGCTGCAGGGATGAGATGGCATCCCGCCCCACCCGATCGGTGGGCTTGCATCATCATCATCATCGTCACCATCGTCATCGGCAAACAAATAGGCTACAAAGTGCAGCCTCCTCTTTCGCAAACTTGGTCTTCGCTTTGTCGTTGCGTGGACTTGAACTGGCCCGAGGACATGAAGCAAGAGAAGACTATGGACAACTAGGACATCCGCAACAAGCTTACACTTTATGCGTTGCTTTGTGCGTTCGTCGATGAACACACAGGGCGGAAATCTTTCAGCGGGCGAATTAAGTACATCGGTCGCCATGCAGGGACCGACGCGGAAAGACGCAGGAACTTCCCCAAAAAGGCCGACGCCTGAGGCTGGTGGACCTTCATGCTCGACGCTGGCCATGCCCCTACAGGGGATATTTGGTGGCGGTTCGGAAGCTCTTGCGGCCGAGCTATTTGGTCACACTCCTGGCTTTGTTCTTCGCTTTTATTGGTGAGAGCGAAGAAGTTGTCTGGGGGGGAAGCTTGGAGGAGTAGTGGCTTGCAGAAGAAGTAGATGCGGCAGCTTGGTACTTTTGCACGGTAAGAAGTAGGAGAAGCAGATGGGGTTTCTTCTTTTTTGGCGTAGGCAGTTAGTGGCATTAGTCTGCCCCGATGGCCACTCCTTCATGGGATTCGCGCTGCTCCTCCAGCATTTTGCGGGCTTGTTCCAGACCTTCTCGCCCCTTCTGCATGTCCTCCAAAGTGGAGGCCTGCTTACGCAGTTTGCGTCTCTTGTTCTGCTTGTTGATTGTCCTCCTCTTCTTCTTCATCTTTCATCGATGAGACATCAGAAGGAGACGAGCTGTCTGAATCCGGGCCCGCCTCCTTCTTAGTCTTCGCCTTGGACTTCTTCTTTTTCTTCTCCACCAGCTTCTTCTGTTAGTTTCTTCGCCTTTTTCTTCTTCTTCTTTTTGTCGGAGTCTGAAGAGGAGGAATCGCTAGAAGACAGAGTCGCTGCTGCTGCTGCTGCTGTCATCATCGTCATCTTCTACCATCAGTGGCGCCGCCTTCTTTTCACTGAACTTATCCCAGTTGGTGCGGTATCTGTATTTCCCAGCAGCAGGCAGACTTCTGACCCAGTCCAAGGTCTTGGCCTTCTCTGCTTCGTCCATTGCCTCAACCGCATCGGCAAGCTTTTGCGCGACTTCAACACAGTCACGGCGCGCCACAGCAAGACCATGGAGGAGGCCGCCATCTTTGGCTTTTTGGCGGAGCTGCTAGCTTGCTGGACTCGTGTGCTTGCGTTACCTTCATCGTGATCTTTCGATTGGCAACACCTTGGGGAATGGGGACACCGCTCGGCATCGTATCTGAACTCTGGGATCTGCCCCTACACACCACGTTCGTCACCGCATTCAGCTTTCCTCTTCTCCGCATACTTTCTGCCGCCACCTTTTCCTTCGCCACCTTTTCCACCGCCATCTTTCCCACCGTCTGAAGTAGCTCCCGTAGTGGCGAGCTTACTTAGCAAGCATTCCGAGAAGACTGGGGTCATGGACTTCAGCAGCATTCCTTTTGTCTTTCTTGCCCATTTTGAACGTAGGCAGTAGTAGAGCTTACAGGCTGGCTACTTCTGACATTTGGCGCTGGATCTTAGAAACCGCTAGAGCTCGTAGGGGATTGCTTGCGCCTTGGGGCTTTGTCGTTGTTACTTGAAGACGGTCGATAGGTTGAAGATGTTGCGCCGAGCGCTGTTGCTAGTGGATGAGCTGCCTCGGCTTGGTGTTGCTTGATTCTCGAAGAGTTGGCGAAGCCCTTTAGAATTCTCGTACTCGTAGGGAGGCCGTTTTCTTTGAAGTCTGCGAGGAGTTGCCTGACATCCTCCTCAGTGTGGTGTCGTGCCATCGTCTGGCCGGAGGCCGCGAAATGTGAAATGAATGCAGATGCGAACTCCTGCTGATCTGCTCGGGTTCTCTCTAGTCGGTGTTTATACTATCGGAGATCATAGGTGACTAAATAAGAATTGCACGCTCCGGAGATCTCAGATAGTTTTCTGGATTTTCTTCGGAGAGGGCTGGGGAACTCCCCGCGAGTCCACTCTCTCACCTCAACCAAACCAACGGTGCCACCAAGCACCGCGTGACTACCAAATCACGCCTACGAATACCAACGGTGCCACCAACGCCAAGCACTGCGTGATCACCAAATCACGTCCACCACCACCACCACTACCAATAGCGGCCTTTCCCCGGCTACAGCCTCGCGTAGGCTGGTGGCGGGAGCAGGATTCTACTGCTGAAGCACGTTAAAACGCCGCCTGTCCCCTTATGGACCCGCGGCAATAACATGCACAGCCGACGAAAACACGCAACTAACTACGTGCGAACAGGTACTGAAAGAAGATCCAAAAAACATGTCTTGCGGTAATGCCATCCCCCTGTGGGGAGCGGCTACCCTTCTTAAGGGGCTGACGCCTGAAGCCAACCTTACACCCGCAACAGGGCCGAAGTAGTGAAATAGGTCCATGCTCAGCATATCCTCTGCTTTTTAACCGACTTAAGGGCTCTGATCTCCGCGAGAGAACGAGCGAACCACCAACCACAGCGTACCCGTGTGCGGGGAAAAAACTTTTTGTTCCCACTGACGGCCCATATGAATACAAAGTTCTGCTTCTTGCATACGAGAGGTCAGATCCGTCAGATGTACGAGATCCAAAAATCTGTCGAGAAGTGAACTAAGTGCGAAAAGATCCCGCCTTGACCCGCCCTCGCTCTGTTCCGCAAACATACTATGGCCTACTCTCAAACCCTAACGGGGAGAGAGAACCACGACAGGGGTGGACTATGAAACCCTCTTACTGGCCGACGCATCCTAACCCACCGCCCCAGGAATGAAAGAGACGATCTACAAATTTGCGGATCCCGTGCTCCGTTTTTTCTCGTTCAGCGATCTGAACTCATTGTGATCTAAGCTAGACAAAATTACGCCACTAAGGCCCACAATACGGCGCGCCGAAACTCGAAGTAATCCTGAATACTGACGGCTACAAGTGGCATTATACGAATAACTGACTAAGCCAACAAAACATACATAAGCTACCACTCCACCACTTGAAACAACGATAACGCTTACTCTCACCAAAACCCAGGGAACGAAAATACAAGAGGAAACTCTTAAAAAATCTACTTCACTCTCAAAAAACCAAAACTACAAAATGGAGGCGCAGCAACGTCTTACCATTGCCTTCGGGCAAAACCAGGCCACGTTGGTGCGGGACTTGACTGAGCCAGAATTGGCCGCGGTCTATGTCCTCAACAAGAGCATGGCGCTCATCTTGGACCCTCGCCCGCAACTGAAGGAGGACTTGGATGGAGTCATGGCCACCCTCACCACCATGCGGGTTGGTCAAAATGACGCTCCGCTGCCGGCCGAAGGCCAAGGTTGGATCAAGGCTTATTTGGCCTATGTTTCGATCGTGGAAAAATATCAAAAGGAGAATAGTTTTGACACGGCCTCTTTTACCAAACTAAGTAGCAGCGGGTCTCTGATTGCTTCAACGCGTTGCCGCAAATTGTGTTGCATCCAAATTAAATGGAACTCGCAAAAGCATCGGGAGGAAGGCGCGGCATTGAGGCAGTCCGTGAGCACTGTGATGTGGATGCCCCAGCCTGTCCACAGGGTGCAGGAATCCACAGCGACTACGCCTTTCTTCACGGTCACTGCGCCGACAGCAATCTGGTACCCCCTACACCATTTACGACCGCCTAGCACGTGTCTTGTGGCTCTTTCTTGTAGGCAATAGAGGCATGTGCTCAACATACTCTCAAAATGCGCAACATACCTCAACCACCATACAGCGCGTTGCCTGAAGTAACCTCTGAACATTCATACAGGAACTACCGGACGGCTTCGGCCAACCTCAAGGCCCACCAGTGCCACCTGCTCAACTTCAGCCACCGGCTGTTGACGTGGCTGCTATGGTGGCAGCTCAGGTCACCGCAGCTTTGGCGACCATGAAGGAGAAGCTCGGCCAGGAGTACGAGGAGACGCTCAAGGAGGTCGTCGTCAAGTTCAAAGAAGAGGAGCAGACCGCCCCGAGCTATAACGTCGCTAAACCGGACGAACGCGGCATCTACCCAGATGCGGCGGCGACTGGCTACCGCACCAAGAAAGAAGCCTCGGACGTTCCGGGCTTCAAGGACCCCGACGAGCCGGGCCCCATCGCGGTCAACGCGCTCCGGTCTCTTCGTCTCCCGCACGGTGATGAACAAGATCAGGACATCTCTTTCCAGATCACATGGCACCCCCTACCGAGTGCTATCGCTAGTTTTGTCCCGCGTGCCAACGGACTTACCCCACTTATAGGTAAGCGCCAACGGCGGGCGGACAGCCCGGGCTAGGATGGGGCAACCGTTTGAGCAAAGGCATTCCAGCCGACGCCACACAACAAGACCTCTAGCCCGGGCCCAGATGATGGCCTGAGCTTAGCCGTGCAACCTATGGCGCATGTGAACTCAACATCGGCCTGATGGGCGGTTAAAGATAGCCTACACGCGATACACCACATCACCGACGAACCACATACCTCATAACACACCATACAAAAACACACAGGGACGGAAAAGATGGCGCTGCCCTTCATCTTACGGGCCTCGACCTCAACAACCAACTCGCCTTCACCTGGATGGTCACACCAGGAAACGTCGCCTCGTACAAGGGAGCTGTCCTCGACACCCAGAGCCAGGTCGGACTGCTTTCGGCCGTGGTCTACCCGAACTGCCCAGCTAACTTGCAGGCTTGCCACCGCCTCGTCCCGACCGTCCACCTCGCGCCTACCACGCTATTGCACTGGGTCGCAACACATACGCCCACGCAGAAGGCCAGCGCCAAAGCGCTGGCGGCCTGGTTAATCTTGCAAGGCATCGGATCTGAGCGGTCGTTTCTCACAAAATTCCTCACCACAAAGGAATTTGAGACGTCGCCCAAAACCTTTATTCTGTTTAAGAATATTGGAGGGCCGTTGTGCCAAGACCTCGCGTCCACCGCACAACGCCTGCTTTCGCTTGGTTCGGCTAAGGTGCAACTATATACCATTAGCGAACTCCTATACCTACACGATACAATCAGCCAGGAATTACGCCATATGTCGTCTCTTACGAATACCACCATACTCACACTCAGCATACCTTACCTACATGTATGCGCAAACCTACCCTCCCCACCAACCAACCAATCACCCACAGGCCCGCCCAACTATTCCTCGCGTTTTCTGGAATGGATGGAACATCAGCTACTTGCACGCCCTCGAACGCCGAAGTCAAGAGGACTTGCGAGGTGCCTTGCTGGGAGCAACGTGGGGAGAAAATGAAAAATTGGCTACAGATGCACAACTTGCCATGGAGACGACAATGAAGCATGGCACAAAAATTCGTATTGTATATAGGAGAGGCCACTAATATAGACGAAAGTATTAAATTGGTCTCCCCTTTTCATTTTTCGCTGTCTGGAGTGGCGAAGAGCGCGCTCGTGTTGCATTTCATACCAATGATGCTGTATGCGCACGTGCGTGATGAACTTCGCAAGAACAACATGTCCTCCGTGCAGTTCTTGGCACGACATCAACAAGAACTACAGCAATCTTCTAAAGTTCGCTCTGCGCAGTGGGGAAAGGACAAACAAAACAACGCCACAGCATCCCCCTCTCCCGCTGCTGCTGAAAAGCGAGCTAATGAAGAGGATGAAGACCAAAGTCCACCACGTGCTGCTGGAACTAAGCGCCGCAAGAAGAATACGAAGAAGAACAACATGGCCACCACCTCTACCACTACCAAGAAGGACGAGACCAATGCCGGAGAATACCAATCCTGGCGGAACTGGCAGGCGCCGCCGGCTAAGGGTACAGGCAAAAAAGGCCAGCCTCCTGCTGCTGCGGCACCAACCGCTGCTCCCAACAAGGCCGACGCCTGCAAATGGGTGCGGGCACCGGAGAAACAGTGCTACAAGTCCTGGGATTCCAAGAACAATGTCTGGCGGCATGATACCAACTGGAAGCAGACGGCTGCACTCAAGAGCTCCAAATTACGGCTAAAACTACTCACTCCGCATAACAATTAATTTGTGGCCTCTGTTGAACCATCCATCTGCCAAATACCTCTGTCGCCTCTAATCACCGAATGGGCCGTCGACTTACCGCGCGGTCGCAAGACCAATGAAACACCTCACCAAGATCAGCCGCCAGCTCTTTCTTCAAACACTGACGCACCGGCCAACCCACCGGGTCAGCCTACGGCTGCAAAGTGTAAACAGCTGAGTGCTGAGCTAATCCACCGTGGCACTTTACCGGTGTGGCGCTCTTGGACGGAGCTGGTGGCGGACGGGTGGACCCCTGTGGCCACGACGAACAAGTCTGATCCTAAAACAGGTCGCGCATGGGCAAAAACAATTAATGCTACTCCTTGTGGGCTGCCGGTGTCTAAAGACGGGATCCTTGAGCCCCCAGTGGTTCAATCCGCGTCCAAGCGCGACAAATACCAGCTGGCTAAGGACGCCTGTGCCTGTTGCCACATCTTCCACAAATGCGCTTTCGATGAGAATAATCTTACCTGCCCTTTGATCCACCAGTGGCCAGCAGAGGATGCAAATATGATTGCTAAACGCAAGTGGAGTGAGGCTGTTGTGGCCCAGTCTAAATAAGAAAGAAGAGGCGTGGATCCCGAGGGTCCGCAACTGAGATTCTCGATCATGAAGCAGAGGCGTTGAGACAACATTTCTCAGGTGAACTTGTTGAAACCGCTATGACGCCATGAACCTCGCCACTTTGTAGCTGAGATGAAGTAAGAAAAAACCAACCTTGTGAAGCTTGAGCTAAAACTACCGCTGTCAGGCTGTGCTCTTTCTGCCGCAACGGAAAACCCAGACTGATGCCTGCACTCAAAAACCTGTGCAGCATGTGAGTGATCAGATATATCTATTGGCAACAAGTCGACCATTCATCATCCGTGCGCCTAAGTCTGCGACTGTCGGCACCACTCACCAATGCAAAACAATGCAACAATTATTATGGGATGAATGTGGCCGATCTCGAAGTGCCTCCCTAATAGAGGAACGCCTTGCCTTGTCGCATGCAACAAAGCTGCTGGCTACTGACTTGATGACGTTAACTACTTAACCATACACAACCACTACCAACTTAATCTAAGCCCTTGGATAAAGCGATACCATAACGCCACTCGCTACCTTTACCAACCAAACCACCTCCAGGGAAACAGCGCTAACGTGTCCGCGCATACGTGTTAAAGACAAATACTCACGTTAAAAAATGAGCACCAACGCACCGGGAAAGGGTCAGAAGGTGGCCATCCCGCCGACCCGTAAAGGCCAAAAATCGGCCTTCCATGAGAAACTGGCGGCTGAGGCAAAACGCCGCTCTAAGGGCATTGGTGAGAAACCAGCCCAAGACGCCACGGGAAAGGGCCCACAGGACCCCGCGGCTGCCATGGCGCCGCACGGTAAGGCGCGCCCCAACCAGGCTGCCTCGAGCAGCGCCTCGACTGGTGCTGGTCCGTACAACAACGACGGGCCAGCCTTCATCCCGCCGTCCACTTAGGACGAAGACTACACCACGCCAGCAACTTCCTTCTGGAGTAATGAGATGGACGAAGCCTACGACCTTGGGGCTCCGAGCACGCAAGTGTCGGCTGAGGACGAACTACCCGCCTCTACACAAAGTGGGCAGGAACTAAAGCACGGCTCTGGTGGCATGGATTACCTTCCGGCCATTATCAACAAGCCGCGCCAGACCTACACCATCAGCCAGTCCATCAGGAAACTCAAGTGGACTGACCCGGCGGCAAACCAGTCGGCTAAACTCTGCAAGGACTTGCTCCACAAATGTGGAAAGCAGATGGCCTACTTCCTCCGCCACAGCCCAGAACTGGCGCGTCGACAAGTGGTCGAGGGCTGGGAGCGCGAGTGGATTGACTTGGGTGACCTTCAGGAAACCCTCTACCATGGCAAACATGGTGTTTGGTACCCGCTCGAATACATTGAGGCGGCTGCAGAAGTCCCCAACAGACATGGCGGACTCCGCTTTGAAATTGCCTACCACGAACCGGCTCACTACATCCGCGCCACATCGGGGCAATCCCTGACCAAATGCACCGGAAGCAAGCGCCTCACTACCAAAGCCGAAGCACAAGAATACGCCGACTTCCACGGATGCCAACACTTTCAGCCTTATTTTGCTGCATTCGCCGAGCTGTTATCTTCTCTTGCCTTGAGCTACAAAGTCTCAACCTACCTACCTTGCCATCATTCAACCACCAGCCGCAAACCCTATCCACCAAAACCACCCTACCCAACATACAGATACATCTGGCGCCAGACCTCCGCATACGCCTTGGCAAACATTGGCCGAGTCGGCTACTTGTTGCCGATGAGCCGCCAGCATGTCCATTGGGGGGACCATCCAAATCATACCAAATCGATGGGTGGCGACCGTGTATGGATTTCGGTCCACACTCATGACATCATCGAAGAAGGAGTCGCTCTGTATGTGACTAAGGCGAAACATCAGTTAGTCACAGACCCAGTGCCGCTCTATCTGTGTAGCGTCTACACCTTGGAACAACTCCCACAGAACTCATGAGTGGTCAGATTATAACCTGACTGAGAATAGGCGAGATGCCACCTACCGGGCCAGCTTTTAGGCTATGTGCACCAATGTGAGTATTTGAGAAACATGCTTTACCCCGGCTGCCTTATCTCCACATCTGACTGTAGTGTTCACCGGCTGCGGCGTACCAGGATAAATTATGACGAGAGAAGGTCATCCGCCGAGAGAAAGTGAGGCACCCTAAAAGCAACGAAGTACGCCCCTCCCTAGATAATACCATGAAAATCAATATACAAAACCAAGAAAAAGTAGCACTTGCGCACTGGAATAAAGAGCGAAACACTCGAGGGAAAAATAAAAATGGCGTCACGTTTCTTCGCGCTGTTCCATGGCGCCTGGCTCGCGCCGGCTATGGCCTCTTCCAAGGCCTCCGGCTCCCAGCTGCGAAAGCAAGCCTCGCAGCCCACACCACTGGGAGCCCCGACGTGGAAACCACCACCGTCGGAGACCACACCACTCTCGCTACCCACACCATCGCCGTCACTCAGACTAGATAAGGCCACTATCCCAAAACGGGAATACCGCCACGCCCTCACTCGCTACTGCAGCAACGAGAACATCACGCTGCAGCTGCAAGCGCATGCCGAGGGCACCCTCATCAACCGCGAGCACAGCTTTCACGTCTTCTGGGACTACTGGGCGAACCAGCTCCCGCAAGTCCACCCTCCATACTCAATCGAGCGCCTACGTATCTTCTGCCTCTGGATCTCGGCCACCAATGATAGCTCCGAGCTGGCAAGCGCCTACTTTGCCGCGGTATCTCGCAGCCTCCTCATGCCAGAGCTGGACCCACGCACCAACCAACCGCGCAACTGGCTCCAGCCGCACCCTTGCGCCATTAAGGCACTCAACATCGCCAAGGATGACATCCGGCGGACGTGTGCGGCACAAGAGCCCCTCAAGGCGCCACCTATCCACGTGGATGCGTGCCGACGCCTCCAGCCTGCAGATCGCGCACTTGTGCGCCTGTGGATCCTCCTGGGCATCCGGTGGAGCAGCTGTGCCGAGCTCCGCCCGCACCACCTCACCTACCACGCCGACCGCATCCTCGTAACAGTTATTCGAGATAAGATCGCGAATAAGGAGGGGCGCGTGGTTACCATCCGCTGCAACTGTACCTCACCACAACACAAGGACCTCTGCCCCATCTGCGACAAAACCACACCACAACCATCCCTGCCAGCAGATGGGAAATCAATGATGGATATCATGAAACAACTGGGGGCAAAGTTCCACTCGCTTCGCCGAACTAATGCCCTCATGGCCGCAAAAACGCTGGCCTCCGGCAAACACTTCGGCTTTGAGACCTACATGAAGGCAAGAGGCTGGAGCACCCTCGCGGCCGTCCTATGCTACATGAAGGACCACGCGGACCACGCGGATGCAGCCCTATTCCCCGTGGCCGGGGCACTCGACTACACCACCGACGATAGCAAGCACATAACTCTACCACCTGCTACAACTAAAGACAAAGATGAGATCCAGGAGGCAATGCGCAATGAAACGCGCACCCGCGAACTGGACGAGATCGAATCTCTCTTGTCAACTAAGCACGACGCCGCCGCCTACTTCAAGTCGAGGGACAAATTCCTCGCGGAAGGTACTACCCAAATGAACGGACAGGATGTCTGCACAATCAAGGTCACGCCGAAAACTGCATACTGCAAATCGGCGATGAAAAAAGTCACCAAGAAGAAGACCACCTCCACCAGTACTAAAGACCAGGCACGGAAACAATCACAGGCCGCTCCACTTCGCAAGCAAGTGAAGTCGAAATAAGACGCTTGGCGAAAGCCGCGCCTGGACAATTGGCAAGTAAGCGACTGCTTCCTTAACCCATGGCCTCACCGTGAGCATGCCCATAGGCAGGCAGCTTAGATGGGAACAATGATTATTGAAGCGTCAGCGTGTTGCACACCAAAGAACTAGCAGCTTCTGCTGCCTTTGGCGACAGTGATCCAAAAAAGGGAACCTGACACTCGTGATCACCCACGCCCTCCTAGAGGCTTTCACTGCTGGAAGCAGGAAGCGAGCCAAATGATCGGTAGCAGTGAGTTCTAATGTAGTGTAACATTTGTCTGGCCGGAGGCCGCGAAATGTGAAATGAATGCAAATGCGAACTCTTGCTGATCTGCTCGGGTTCTCTCTAGTCGGTGTTTATACTATCGGAGACCATAGGTGACTAAATAAGAACTGCGCGCTCCGGAGATCTCAGATAGTTTTCCGGATAACGAAAATGAAAGAACCCACCCACCCACACCAGGAAACAAAAGATAGTCCGAGATGACGTCGAAAAAGCTAAAACTTGCATTGATTAAAACGGCCGACCAGTTAACTGAAGCGGTCTGGTCGCCACCTGTCGACTTACGCCTCTACCAACAATACGCTAAAGCTATATTTGACCAAAAACGTGATCGAGATGACAACGCACAAGAGTGGACCAACACGGTGGCACAAGCCACCCGCTACCTCCTCGAGCTCCAGCAGGACACTGCGGAGACCAGCAAGGCGCGCATCAAAAAAGAGAGTCCGGCGCACCTGCAGGGCCTCCTCCTTTCGGAGCCGCCGCGCAATGTGGACGCCATTGAAACACTGGCCACCCTAATCGACCACCCTGACACCACCTTCACCACGCGAGTCATCACAGGGTTTAACGCTATCGCCAATGGTGATACCACGGGAGTCTGGAAAGCCAATCACACCCCGTTTATCCGGGAATCAGAAGTGGCCGACTTCTACAAGAAGGCCATCCGTCTCCGCGCCACACCACCAGAGTTCGACGATGACCTTCTCCAGGCAATCATCGATATCATAGAACAGGATACTCAAAAGGGACGGCATAACATAAGGAGATCACCCGCGACCTGCTCCAATGCCAACCTGCCACTGCTTTCCCTAAGGATGAATCCACCGAGGAACGCCGCACAATCCGGCTTCTCATCGACAACCGCGCCAAGAATAACTACTGCCGCACACAAGAAAGACTAGAACTACACGGCACCCGGAAGATTCGAGATCTCATCGGCATCTACATGACGCCAACCGGGAAGGAGCACACTTACATCTCCTCACCACTTGGCCAGACGCGCAAGGAAACCCATGCACATACGCAACAAGAACTGGCAACGGCGGCGGCAACGGCCACCCTGCCAGAACCACAAGAATCCCGCACGGCCCTCGCGGACCGCCTGTCTGCTACCCTCACCTCCCTCAGCCAGGATGTGGCACATCCGCAGACACCACCGCCAGAGATGGCTTCCGATGATATATCCGAGGCCTACTACCTCTTTGGCATCGACGACCCCAAAAGTTGCCCCATAACGGGGTATGACCCAAGGCAGCGGGCATACCGGTTCTGGGTCAGCTATGCGCTCAATATGGGCGCCGAAACCTCCGTCCCGGCATTTTGCCGCCTCTCGGAGTTACTAATGGCCATCTGCATCTACTTCAAAGTCCCAGTGTTGGCCTACATCGACGACCAGAACTACTTTGCCACAACAACGCAGCAAATCTTTGCTGCGAAGACTTTCATCCACCAGCTGGCAGCATGCCTCGGCCTGCCGCTTTCCAAAAAACCGGCTGCGGACCAGTCTTCAGCCAAAACAGACACCCTGAAGGCCTTGGGCCTCATCTACCACTACACTAGATCAGTTGACGCCACCCTTCTCACGCTTATGCTGCCAGCTAACTTCTACATCAAGCTCACGAAAGCGCTCGACACCACCCTCACGCAAATCAAAAGTAAGTCACTCGTCCTCAAAGACCTACAGAAGCTGGTCGGACTGGCGACCTTCGGCACGCAACATACCCGGTCGAAGATCGGCACCGAACTGCTCCGCCCGCTATACAAATGGCTGGGTGAGTCACTCTCTCACACCCTCAAGAAATGCAAGAAGCGCCGCAGCATGCTCCGCATCCACGTTGTGGCGCTGCAACACCTCTTGCCGACCCTACCGCGAACCATCCACGGCAAGACAGCCGCACGAATTACGCAGTCTTACCTCGCCACGGATGCGTCATCCGATCGTGGACCCGATGGGCAACCCGTACTAGGTGCCTTTCACATTAACGCACAGGGAAAGCGCCAAGCATTCGCTCTATTAATCGACCGCCAGCACATCGAGAACGTCATCGGTAACACTATCCGCATTGAAGTCCTCGAAGCAGTGGCTACTTACCTCGCCCTCACCACCTGGGCAACCGCGAACGACCTCGTGCACATCTCCCTCGACAACGTCACCCAACTCTACGCGCGCGCGAAGATGGCTGCAAAATCATCACACTTGCTCAACATCATCACCAAATCCGCCCTGCGCGCCGCCTCAGCCGAGCAGCGCACCTTCTACCGCTATGTCAGCACCCACTTCAACATAGCGGACATCTTCTCGAGAGAAGATTGCGCCTCCTTCCGCCACTTACTGGCTGAAGTCATCGAAGTACGACAACCAAACTGGACAGTTGTACTTAAAACCCTCAACCAGAACGCACTGCCACCGGAGGTTACGGACTCCGGTCCCGATACCCGAAAGGACACACAGCCTACCCCTCTTCCAGCACCACCATGTGATAATCAACCACCCACAAAAAAGCAACGCAAGTAAATGACTGTCTCCTTAACCCATGGTCTCACCGTGAGCATGCCCATAGGCAGGTAGCTTAGATGGGAACAATGATTATTGAAGCGTCAGCGTGTTGCACACCAAAGAACTAGAAGCTTCTGCTGCCTTTGGCGACAGTGATCCAAAAAAGGGATCCTGACACTCGTGTTCACCCACGCCCTCCTAGAGGCTTTCACTGCTGGAAGCAGGAAGCGAGCCAAATGATCGGTAGCAGTGAGTTCTAATGTAGTGTAACACTTTTGGCTAGAAGTATTGGTCTCGCGTACTTCTTATTCTTCGGATTGTATACTGGAACACGATAAGCGTGGCCCTTCCTTCGACGTTACTATACTTGGCTTCTCGTCGGCCTTCTGCCTCGGCAGTGTCGTGGCCCATCAGTGCAGCCGCGACCTCTGGCCTGGTCGTTCCATCAGCGTCCCGATTGTCTCCCCCCTCTCAACAGGGTGCGCGTACGCGGTTGCTATCAGCTGGCCAGCACATACTGCGCAGCGCGTGCCCATCGTGTAGATGTCGTCGTCGTACCTCAGTGCCCAACAGTTTGGCGAACGCGGATCGTCGTAGTTGTCGTTCTCGCACCTGGATCGCAATAGATACCCTCGACACTGTTGACGAGGGCGGTCCCCTTGTCAGTCTGCCCTTTCTTGGTTTCATCTCATACAAACGCCTGGGCCGCTCCTACAGAGACGCACGCACCTGCACGCATCTACAAGCCCCCACACTAGTCCGATGTCGTCCCGCACCTGCACGCCTTGCGGTTCCCCCTGTGCCAGTGCATCGCATGCGCCCGAGAACCCGCCCGGGTCTATCTGTTCGAAAAGGCTTACGGCGTCACAAACGGCGCGATACCCTCCACCTACTCCCCAGCCACATCGCGCACAGCTGCCTTTGCTGGACGCCTTCACAGTGTCGAACTCCCGCGGAGCTTCTTCCCTTGGGCTACCCTTTGCAGCACAATGGCTCCACTTCGTTCGCACAACATCAATCATGGGCGCCCTTGCCTTCTTGATTTTCCCCTTGCCGTGGTTTGAGAAGACTCCATGGAGCGAGACTACTCTCCGCGCGCAGAAATGTGGCGGCCCTTCGTGCTTGTCTTTCTTTCCTCTCTGAAGCATGGTAGCGCAGTCTTTGATGCTTCCGCGTATCCATCTGGAGACTCTTGCTCTTCGACTTGTCGTCTTGAATCAATCCCGTGCGCCTTAGCTTTTCCGCCTCTTCCATCTTGTGTGCAGTGCTGTCTACCGTGTCTTTCTCTACCTCCTGGCTGTTTACCTCGAAGGGGTCGCTGCTCTCTGAGAGTTGTGGGCTTCTCTTGCATCGCTGTAGCATTTTCTTTAGCTCTGACTTTAGTCGGATTTCGAAGAGGGGTCTTACTGGTCATCATTCTTGAAGGGGGAAAGTTGGAATTTCTCTGGTTTACTAACGCGGAAGCAATTCGCGGCGGCAGCTTGGGGCGCAGCTTTCTTCGGTGGGCCGTTTGAACGTGCGGAGCGCTCTCTGCTGGGGCGTGACTCTACATTGTGGCCCCGAAATTGCGAGGGTTGAGCAGTTGCTGAATGGCGTCGCTGTAGTGAAGTTCTCGAGCTGGCGCAAAATGCTTCCAGGGAAAGGCCTGAACGAAGAGGACCAGGCGAAGCTACTCGGACGGAGATACTGGGCATGCTCTGGGGGTTGCGACGTCAGGCATAGAGGTTTTTGGGTTTTCTCGCCTTCGTCTTCTTCCTTATTCGCTATCCGACTTGGGCGGGCCGCTCTCCTTGTCGCAGTACCTTGAGAGGGTTCGCCTGTGCCCACAAGAGCAGGCGGACGCCGGACAGGACTTGCCTTGAAGCTCAAAAACATCATGGAAGTGGTGCCTTGATTGTTAGCACAGTGTCGTCGGTCGCTCGCCGACTGCCTTCGGCTTTTTCTGCAACTGCCTCAAACTCAAAGTGCCTAGTACTGCGAAAAGGCGCACGAATTTGCCTCGAAGGGCCACAGGGGAAGGCGTGGGCTCATAGTTGTAAACGAGGCCGCGCGGGATGAGCGCTACCTGCTGAGCAACCCCTTACGCACGCTGAAGCCGCTGCCACCATCGAAGCCCATGGCCCTCGTGGATGCTTACAAGGAAGAGGCCAAACTGCCACAGGCTCGACTGCCTTGCTTCTGTTGTAGTGAGTGAGCATGTGAAAGGGGCGCTGAGCTGGGACAAGGCGAGAGCGATCATGAAAGAAGCAGGGGCACTGTAGTACAGCGCGGCGATTCAAGACGGAGGCAGAGCTGCGCGGGGAGCTTCGTCTAAAAGTATTCGAAGCACGGCGCGGGACTAAGGAGCGCGCTGCGGAACAGTTAGCGCAACGCTTGAAAAAGAAGCAGCATGAGGAGGCGAGGAAACTTGGCCTAGGAGTGAAACCTTTCGCGACTAATTCTGAAAACCCCGGCGGCCTGATCACGAGCAGGGAGACCTGCAGCCAAGTAGCCGACATCGTGCGCGCTGATGTGGACCACTTCGCCGCGGAATCTGTCAAGCGTCTGGCGCTGCCAAAGGAGAGGGCGTGGAACTTGTTGCGGGCTGCGGAGTCTAGACTAGTGGCCCCTTTCTTCCGTGTTTTTCACTGGCAGGCCTAGGCCATCCATCGCGCCACGCACCTCGCCAGAGCTCACCAGAACGGAGCCACTGTGTGTGGCGGGTTGCTTCTCGTTAGAACTCCAGCTGCTGGCTTTTTCCAAGTCTATGCGCCACTACGCGTCTACGCGCTGGCCATCCATGGCGGCGATGAAGCCTTGCGAGCTCTTGGGCGTCGTGCGCGCAATTCCAATGGCCGGCGTGCAGAGCGGCGGCGCAGTGCTTTGGAAGGCCAGAGAGTGCGTCGGGCTCTCCGTCTTTGCACTTTGCACTTGCAGCAGGTGGCGAGGCTTTTTCTGTGCCACCAGCTTCAGCGCGCTCTACCTCCGGAGCTTGCCTCGAGCTCGAGGTGGACTCCATTCTGTCGGCAGGGGCGATGTGCTTTTTGCCGTATGCAGCGCGTTTAGCTACCCACCGGCACAGTCAAGAGGTGTGGGCGGGGGACTCGCACTCGCGACCAGACTCGCCGGCAGGTCAGCAACATTCGTGCACAGATTCGGCAACGCTGTAGCCTCGACTTCAGTGGAGCCGTGCAGAATGTGTGTGCCCATGAAAATCATGAGGGGCCAGCTGAGGGAACAGGCAAGGCGGGAGCTAACAGCGGCTCGCGCAGCAGCAGACGCGGCACTACAGCAAGGAGAAGAAGGCGCCCATGAACAAGAAGGCAAGGAGATCGACGACGCGGGCAAGGGCCTTAGCGCTTCTCAGGCTGAAGCCCGACTGCAGGGCACGGGCACGGCCGTGGCGTTCTACAAGCTGCTGATGCTGACGGAGGCCGCCAATGGACTGGGGGCGAAGGCGTCTCACTACGTTGACTTTCTGGCGGGTGTTTTTATTCTTGAACAAGAAGGCGGCGGCGGGCAGTAGTTTGATGCTTGCGGCTTTTGCCTCGGTTGACGTGATGCAGAACATTCGCCACGCGCGCGAAGATGCGAGCGGTGTGCTGTCTGATTTTCTGCCGGTCGGCGCAAGCAGGTGCCTCTCTCCCCCTTGGCTTCGGTTTCAGTAGTGACGTTCTTCTCCGGTTGGTCTGTGGGATTATCTAGGACTTTGCGTGGATGATGTTGCGCCTTCGTGTATGTGTTTTCCTCGTGAGCAGCTTGCTTTTTATGGTTTTCGATTGGATGGCTAGAATTTCTCGACTTTTCAACATCGTCGGCCTGTGTTCACCTCGAGGAAGATGACAGGACGGCGAGGAACTCACCACAGCGGCAACCTTTCTGGTGAAAGACCAAGACGAGCACAACACCCCGCTGGGTGGCACTACAACGCCGGGCAAAGCCTTCAGGCACGTAATTAAATCCGCACCGCCCGCGCCGGATCGAGGCTACCCAAGTAGAGGCGGCAAGACTGGAGGCTTGCCGCAGTTGGCGGAAGCTGCCTGCTGGCTTCTGAGTGCTCTGACTTCTACGCCGGAAAGTTGAAGCGTGCACCAGCTGCCTCGCTGTTGACGTGGAAGCGCTGCGGGCGCTTTAAGGCCAGACTAGTCGTCCCTGGCAACCGTTGGCAAGCGGGGGCCAGCCTGGGCGCTTCGCGCTACGCGAGCGCCGTGCCGCACCTTGGAAACCGAGTAGCGCTGATATCTGGTGTTGGCGAAAAGGAAACGGCCGGCGAGGGCTTTGACATTGGCAACGCCTTCACCCGAGCAAGCACTCAGCACCGCAGCGCTGTAGCCTCGATCCCGAGCAGTTCTGAGATGGCGGAGAAGACGACGGCCGGCGTCTTCTCTTGGGAGCCTTATATGGCCTCCTGATCTCGCCAAAGCTTTGGGGCGAGCGACCGGATCGCCAAAGATCTTCGACTTCGTAGCCTGGGTTGGACTGAGGCAGCAGCCGGGCTGGGTTTGTGGCGTAAAGTCGACGCTAGCGGTGAGCTGGTCCGTCGCAATTTTGGCCATCTACGTCGGCGACCTTGTGGCGATTGTGAAGACGGGTCAGCTGGTGGATGGGTTGGCTTCCCAGGTGCATAGGCTGCACCTGGGCTGGTCACGATGATCAGCGTGGAAAAAGCACCGGAAGAAGCTGAGCTGCCTGGCATTGTGGAGTTTGGCTGGCTCAGTGCAGGCTGCAGCTACTCCAAACAGCATGGCGCCTTGCGTATCAAGATGCACGCCGACGCTGCAAAAGTGCTGAAGAAATTTGCCAGGCATTTTCAGAGGACTCCGCCTGCTTAGCTTTGGACTTCGTTCGAGGAGGGTCCGGCGTGCGACGAAAGCGCTACCCCCTCCAGCTTCCCGCGCAGAGCACTGGCCAGGGCGCTACAGTGGTTGGCCGTGACGGTGCGCCCTGGTCTTGCAGCAGCCGCGTACGAGCTAGCGAGCGCAGCGGCCAACACGATCGGCAAAGTGATGGAAGCCGCTGGGGGTGAAGTGCTTCGCCGTTTGGCTGGCACCAAGGGCGTTGCCTGGCGTTGAGTATTCGCCTGGAGCTGGGCAAAATGTCTACCGGGGTCAATCATCCTGACAACAGCAAGCGCGGCCAGAAATGGCCCAGCCACCCCGCTGCCGCTTGTGGGGCGCGTCGTTTGTCTCAACCTGCCGCGCGTTGAAGAGTGTCACCGGTGTGATAGTCTGTCTCTTTGGCTGTCCAGTTGCTTGGAAATCTACGCCCTTGAGCGTGACGGCACCGCACAAGACTAACATGACGGAGGCAGAGTGGGTAGCATCCAGCAAGGCCATCGAGATGGCGAAGGGCTGCGTCTCTTGCTGCAGTTCCTCTGAGGTAGAACCGAACTAGAGCAAGCAAGAGACCAAGGGCTTGGTGTTGGTGCTGTCTTATGTGGCTGTGGCAATCGTAGCGCGGTCTTGTCAGGACGCAAACCGCGGCAAGAACTCAACAGGCCAACGAGGCGCGTCGCGATTACCTTACGCGCGGCAAAGTCCTTGAACACGGAAGCCGCGCCGTGTTTGTACCCACGCAAGAACAACGTGCTGGCGCACTGACGAAGGCCGCGAATGTTGAGGCGCCTCGGATCATCTTCCCACAGGGAAGCAAGGGCAGCGAGGCGCCTGAAGTGCAAGAGGGGGCTGACTCGGTGGCTTGCCTCCTCGCGGTCTTTTGGCTTGTTGATTTGTGCCAAAAGGCCAAAGTAGCAAGGTTTTGGAAAAATAAATGGCCCTTAGGAGCAAGTCTCGAATTCTGTGGCCATGAAGGCTGGCGCGTCTGTTGCTCTTGTCGTAAGCGTAGCTGTCTGCCGTAGTTGTAGTAGGTTGGTAGGCTTGTGCTTTGGCTTACAGGGTGGCTCTGATGATGATGAGGCCCGCACCTTTGACGAAATTGGCCCGAGCATAATTAAGAGTCCAACACGTAAACCACGCGAGCGCGACCACTTTCAACGCTACAAACACAGTGGCGGCGTGGGCGATACCATGCACAGCAACAGAGTGAGAAGACTCTGGCCATTTTCTTCGGCTATCTATCTAGTCTACCCACAGACATACTGGAGCACCTAAAAAACAGGGGTAGGCGTAGTCTTCTTGCTTGTTTCACACTCCAGCACATGTAAGCGCAAAATAGGCGCGCCCAACTTTGGTAGTTTTGGTTGGTTTAGTTTGTCTGATTTTCTGGCTTTTGGTGCACGATGTTGCATCGAAGGGGGGAATGTCAGGCCGACTGAGTCAGGGCGCCCCCATGATCCTGCAGGCCCTTGCTCTTACTCTCTGGCGTCGCTTCAGGCTGTGAGAACTTAGAAATTTGGTCGAGTGTTCATGACCTGAAGAAAACAACGCGATCCCGATGCATCAATGGAAAGCTGCTGCCCTGGTTCCGTGGTTGTGGTATCATGCATCGCGTCAACTTGAAAGACCAGCGCGTGAGCCTGTGAAGATGAAAGATTTGCATGCCCATGGAATCTGCAGGAAACTGCATGCAACGGCGATAGCTTAAGGCGTCACCCCTTCGGTGATGGTGCTGCATCCGTGCCAGGATTCCACTACCAAACGCACAGGCCTAGGTAGTCTTGTCAGACTGGCAAGGGCTCCGTAAGGGCATTAGCTTGATAAGCTTAGCGGCCAGCGCTTCGACAGCATCGCGCCCCAATATCAACGCGCTTCTTTTGTAAGTATACAGTCTAGCTTTTTGGTTTGTTTGTATTGATGCGCCCCGGGCAACGCGCACGTTCTCGCCGGATTTCTTTGCGCTTCGTGTGTTTTGTGCTATGGTCGCCGTTGCGCCTATGGTGTGTCGAGCCTTGTCGGCCAGGCGTTGCCTTCTCGTCGCCGCCGGCTAGGGCGTGCCCGCTATGCAGGAAGCCACTCTTCTTACTTTTTTATCCTTTCCAAAAGCGTCTTCATCCATCTGCAGGGGATTAAGCGTCTGCGTATGTAATCGTGAAGATATTGTATGGCTACTACTATCCATCTGCAGGTGAGAAAATCTCGAAGCAGACGACCCCAAGTCCAAACCCGGGGACCAGGGACTTAGACTCAGAACAGCGACTCAAGGAGGCTTTAAAACAGGGACTCGAGAAATTAGAAAAGCTCGAAGAGCAAAAGGCTGACTATGATGCGGCAAGTACTAATTGGCTATGGTTTGTCGAGTAATGAATTTCAGTTTGAAACATCGTTATCCTTCTCAGCAAGTTTTTTTCTGTATACAGTCACCTTTAAGAACTTCTTCTAGTTAGGGCTCCACCTGTCTGTACACGTGATCGCTAAGAAATTTTATGGATACTACTTTGCAATTACCTTTTGTTTCCATTTCCAAGAGGACATCTCTCTAAAAGATTTGCAACGCTATCAAACACAAAAAACACTTTTCCTTACAAATCAAAAATTTTCATTTAGAAATTAAGTACGTAAGCTATTTAAACTAGCTACTTTAACTACCTAATTTACCTTCTAAATCAAAATTTTTCGTTATTAAGTATAATAGAATATTTTTAGTTTATAGACGGTGGGAAGGTGGGCACGGTGGGCGACGCTGGGCCGCTGGGCGGCCACGCTTGGCACGGTGGGTGGACCCTCGGCACACATGGGGGGCACGGTGAGCGCACGCTGGGCGCGTATAGCGTTGCCCCGCTGCTTCCGCCAATGTACAGGGCCGCAGTTGAGGGCGGCGCGGCGCTGCGCGGCTTTGCGGAGTGGCCACGTTCCTGCTGCTTGCGGTGCTTCGCTGCTGTATGCAGTGCTGCTTGGGTGTGTAGAGTGCGGCGCAGCGTTGCAGTGTGCCCCAGTGCTCTGCTGCAGTGTGCGGCTGGCGCTGCTGAGGGATATTCCCAGGCGGGCCAGTAGGTGGGCGCCCCGATTCGTATGCAGCTTACTGCGGATCCAGGGTGCATGCGCTTACCTTGCCGGGGGGCTTCAGAAATGGGCGCCCGAAAGGTGCCTCGATTTTTGACGCCAAGTCTCATGGTGGGCGCACGGTAGGCGAAATTTTTCGCAGAAGACCCACTTTTGGGCCGCCCAGCGGCCCAGCGTGCCAAGCGTGCCCACCGATCCAATTCTGGCGAGGGAATATACTTAAACCTTCCTAGTATAAGCACTTCTTTTTGTTTGATAAGCGTACGCTTTCCTTTTTTTATTCTTTACAAAAGCATCTTCATTCATCTGCAGGCGCCGACAAACTCCCGGACGATTTCAAACAGGAACTCATGAATTTAAAAGAGGCAAAGACCAAGTTCGACGAGGCAAAGACTGCCCATTATGAGGCAAGTATTAATTGATTATGGTTTGTCGAATAATATATGTCAATTATTTGAAGCATCGCTATCCTTCTCAGCCAGTTTTTTTTGTATACAATGACTCACCTTTAACTCCTAGTTAGGGCTTCACAACTACATACTAGCAGTCGCCTTTTACTTGTCCAATATACATAGAAGTAGAAAAGTGCAACTTCATCTTTCTTGTACGTTCAAGGTAAAGACCTGGAACGCTTCGAGCAGAGATTCTCGACAAAAAGCCTCGAAGGTGGAAAATCGCAAGGAAAAGAAAATCTCGTGAAACAAGAACAAGTGGAGAAAATCGGGTACGATTCGCAAAGCATGAGCGAACGCAGGCAGCCTCATGACGAAAAAACGTATCTGGACCAAGACATGCAACGCGACCCAGGGTGGCAGACCTTATGGCTGCGGGAAATTCAGCTCCAATGCTAATAGGTCACATCAGAGACTAAAACAAGAAGATAAGCTTACCCGGATGAAGGTATCTGAGATGCATTTCCTTAGTACCACTCTAAAAGGAGCAGATGGCTTGGTTACAGAGAAACTCAAGGATTTGAAAAGGGCGACGAAAGGGTTCATCACGGCAAAAAAAAAAGGTAGTTGATTTGGCTAATATCTATCTCTCAGTCTAATGTTGAAGCAAATCACAAAAGTTTTCTAGATTTTGTGGTCTTTGTCTCTACCCATGATCTCGAACATCTTCGCTTTGCACTGAGTGACACAGGAGGTTATGATTTATGTTCTCAAAAAAGTACAGAAAAATGCCTTTCCCTCGTTGATACTCAAGAAGTTTATTCCCTTTAACTCTCCTCAAATCCATACGCAGTGTTGAACGCTAGGAAGCTTTCGGATTTGCGGAATTTGGCGACGGATGCAGAATTTCTAAGAATACGCAGGCCCAATCCGTCCAGCCCCAGCGAACAAGATGTCTCTCCCGCAACGGTTATGCATCATCTTAAGCATGGGCATAAAGATCGTCGCCCTACCAGCACTAGAACCTACAACGTAACGACTCACGAACAAACATCATGATCAAGGAAACAACAGGAACAAGAAGATCAACACGACAGCAACAGCAAGGTCATCAGCATCAAGATCATCAAAGTCAAAGTATCAAGATTCCTAAGGCCTTTAGCGTGTGCAGTAGCTGAGTACTTAGATGATGAAAGTAGACGGTCGCGATCTAGTTAGCCTAGTTGGATGAAGGGCGCTGAGCCTGAGGGACCTGCAAGAAAATACAACAGCAAAAGCTAGCTACTTTGTCTTCTCATTTTTGCCCTGTGCCTGTGCAGGTTACCACCAGTCACAGGGCATGGGCGTCATCGCGGAAGGTGTTGAAGGACATCATCCAGAACCGTAGCCATTCGGCTACCCTATGCATTTTCTAAGTTTCTTGCTCCTCTGAAGGCCGCAGCAGCTGCAGCAGACGGCTACGACTACTGGGACCTGGTATGGGCCTGACACTTTACTCGACTGCTTTCGCAATGGTCATCGGTGTAAACTACTCCGCATTCGCAGTCATCTTCTGGATAGAGTCAGCAGCGCTGTTCTACTATAACGCCCCTTCTTGGAGTTCAAGTTCTTCGTTCACATGTGATGTGTATAGATGAACATTTTTTTTCGAGAAATTCTAACCCTACTTCACTGATTTCTCATTTTTATTAATTTTATACTCACTCACAGGTATCCGCGTTCATGTATGCCGTATCTGATCTTGGTGATCATGGTATTGCAGAACCAGCTACTCCACCTTCGGAAATTGTGATGCCCAGTCGAAAGCCCGTCAGGGCCACGATCAAGTAACAATTGGATTCTTCTATTTGCTTACTCACTGGACTGGGAGGTGCGAGTTAGGGGCAAACTTGTGAGAACCATTCTTCTTGAAAAAATGAGCATTCGTCTTGTATCCTTTCTTATCTTATTTATTCCCACTCTAGCAAGTCATGGGCATTAGCGCTGTGGTCACAAGAATCCCTTTCACCATCCTCATCCTCCTCCCCATCCCCGTCCTTCTTATTCTTGTCAGCTTTGCGAACTTCGAGGAGGCACTGGCAAGTAATATCTTTAACGAGCGGCTGCCGAGTGCGAACCTAGGAATCACGCAGAATATCCCAGGCACATATCTACCTTTTTACAATTTCGCTTCAAAATTCGAAGAATTCCGCGAAACGCTGAGGGCACGTCCATCTCAGGATGTTGATATCAAAATTTCCGGCAGTTCCTATGAATTTTATATAGGAAATGATGAAAATCAGTTTGGTGTTCGTTTGGGTCAATTGGCTACAAAAGAGGTCGCACTGCTCGTTGCCTTGGATGTCCTTCGTCCAGTTCAACATGATTTTTCAGGCGAATCTGATCAATCTGATACTGATTCATCCGCTTTTTCAGACACACACAGAAGTGTTCAGCCTGAAGAAGATGATGCTCCAGAAGTGGAACGGTCTTAGCCTTTTGCTGTAGAAGTGAAGGTGCTGTATATGTAATAGTTTTAGTGTGCAATTTTACAACAAGTCTAAGTGTCTCCATATTGTATGAAATTTAGTTGGTCGCTTCGTTCTGTGACTGCGAAGCGCACGAAAAAATATGTGATTTATTGAGTGACTTGCGGGTTCTTTAGTTTTGATAATGATAGTGGAAGCAACAGATTCAAAAAATACAACAAGGTCATCGGGTCTGGAAGTGTCGACTTAAATGTCTGATAGTACGTCATGAAGGTGGAAAAAGCTCGAATATTTTGTTCAGATATAATCTCATGTTGTAAAAAGAAGCACTTTGGTGCCTGTCTCTTCAGAAGTGGGCTGTAAACTGTAAATCGTTACTATGAATGTGTTTGTACTGGTAAACCTCAAACGTGTGGTCGGTGTCAGTGCTGTTGCATTTTCTACTGATCGATATGGATATCATGCATATGCGCTTCTTCTCCTGGTTTACATCTTTCAGCGGTTGCGTCGACGAAAGATCTACGGAAGTTATTATCGGACTGAACTTATTGCCAAAACAGTCACAGTCATGGGCGCTATATTAACTTTCAGACTTGATGCTGTAGCGTTGACTTAATAATTAACATACTATTACTAACCAATCCACTTCTTTCTTAGTACAATCGATCTTCTCCTTCATTTACCATTGCTGTTTTCACATTCTTCACCGTCTTCAACGTCGAAGCTGTTCGATTGAGTATTTGCTATTTCATCTGAACAAAACAGAGAAACTACAAGCGAAGAAATAACAAGAACACCAGTCACAATGCCTTTTGTTTAAAGATTTATAGACGTTTATCGACGTTTGTAACTACCATGACAAAAATTATCAACTTCAACATTTACATTGTCGTGGAGGCCGTCTCGCTGATGATAACTATCAGGAGCACTACCACTATATATAAGAACTACTTGTACACTTCACCTAGAAATTAAGAAATAATCGGAACAACTTTGATTAGCCACGACGGCGATTCGCATACATATGACTACCTCGCTTTTCATTGATATTTTCTCTTCCTTCCTTCGCCACAGTACACCAACACTCCGACGTCTCTTGGCGCTCGTGAGTTGACTGCTAAATAAGATAAGTAGAAACTAAGTCGGGAGGTTCAAACTGTACATTCACAAGCAGAATAACGTGGCACGTTCAGACCGCTGCACCCTATTAGATAGTATTAATTGGCAGCGTGAGTGAATGAATGAGTGAATCAGTTGATTTGACGTCACCACTTTTGTAGCTTCCTCCAGGAGATATCCACAGTAAGATTGGTATCTTTTGCCTGGGTTCGGACCACACGACAAGTGGAAGCATGTAGTCCTAAGGAAAAGAAAGAAGCCCATCTTCCGAGGACAGCCGGGATCGCCATTATATCGAATTGCCAAGAGATACGGAGAGTGCCTCACTATTACGCTCGAAGATATTCTTGTATCCTGCCACTTCTGAGATAACGCGCCGAATTTTCTTAGAAACAAACCACCGAGACCCAGTTCGATCATCAAGATCAAGCTGTTGCGTTTCGCCTTGCCGAATTTTTTAGAAACAAACCACCGAGACCCAGTTCGATCATCAAGATCAAGCTGTTGCGTTTCGCCTTGCCGAATTTTTTAGAAACAAACCACCGAGACCCAGCTGGGTCATCAAGATCCAGCTGTTGCGTTTCGCCTTGACGAATTTTTTTAGAAACAAACCACCGAGACCCAGTTGGGTCACCAAGATCCAGCTGTTGTGTTTCGCCTAGATTTTTTAACTTAACTCAATTATGATGGTCGAAGGGCCACCGTGATGAATTTTTTTAGAAACAAACCACCGAGACCCAGTTCGGTCATCAAGATCAAGCTGCTGCGTTTCGCCTAGATTTTTTAACTCAACTTAACTCAATCTTGATGGTCGACCTACTTCCGTCAGTTGTAGTGTAATCGCGAAAGTGTAGCCCTCTCATCATATAATGATAGTGACTTACTTCATCACGACGAACCACTGCCATTTTTTCTTACACCGACTGATGAACAAGATACTGTACAACAACAGGATGATTGCTAATCATTATGAAGCGTCGCGATCTCTTTCATTGACTTACTCACTCAAATTCACTCACTACTCCTACTGAAACTGAAACTGACGGATAGAAAAATCAAACACGCTGAAGTCGTCCGTGGTGTGCTGTGGCGCCGCAGAAGATCTGCTGAATGATATTCGCATTCCGCACGAGCTGCAGAAGGTGTTAGTAGATGTTTAGCCAGTGAGTGGAGCTGGTGCATGGCTGGACCTTTTTGAAATGTCAGCTGGTGAGGGATGATATTCATTGTGTACGATCCCCGCATGCAACACCTCAAGTTCGAACCTGAAACTCTCAGAAGTAGTCTGTTGAACCCCTCTGAGACTGAGATCTGAATTTTACGTCCTCTCTTCCCTTTCTTAAGTGATGTTGCGGTGTAAATAGATGAAAACCGATGCTCTTCTGGTTCTAGCCGTAGCCGCCTATGTCTTTAATGAAGAATAGTTACTGTTTTTTGAGAGTGTAGTTTGCACCTTCTTGTATTTCTATGGCCTACTGATCGGCTCACTCGCCTTGTGCGAGTATGTCGTCCTCTAACTCGAGTTGAAGATATCGCCTTGATGATTGAGTAAGTACATATTCTTGGTCAAAAGACCAGAGCCATCATGTTGTGGTCACGACCAACACCTCCATCCGATGAAGTAGAAAAATGCATATTTCTCGCTATCGGGGACATGCTTTGTTGGTGAGACGACCGGAACCAGCTTCGCCGGGGGGTGTTATTGTTACACTCATTGAAGTACCGAGGGATCCGTCATTATAAAACTCTCGAAGATGGCCCTATATCCAGAATACCGTAGACAGCAACTCTTGATCTCATACTCATACTCGTTGAAGTTAGGGTAAAGCAAGTAAAAACATGCCAGAAAGTCCTGGAGTCGTGCGTCCTGGAGATGCTGACCTTGGTGCAAACAAGACCAACATGGTTACATCAAATGGTGGTGAAGCTGGTGGAAATACCACTACTACGAGTGCTACGATTCTAGGTGGTCTCAACGTTCCACATCGATGTATAAGTCAGAATCGAGCAAAGGAATTGGTGTCAACTGCGACAAACCTTTTGGCAGGAGGTCGTGGAATTTTGGCTGTCGATGAGCCACCTTTCAGGATGGAACAACGACTGGGAGCTGTTGGGGTATTTGGGTTTTCGTTACTTTTTGAATTTGATTTTGAATGAAAGGATGAGGGATTAAATATACTTAATACTACAGTGAACTAAAAATAGTTGTTAAATCTATACCTTTGGGATCATTTTTTGGCGGTCGTTGTAATTGACCTTCTTGTGATCTTTCTTCAAAACCATAATCGATTCCAATGATGACTTCCAACGCTCAATTACAATCACTTCGCAGGTAACCAACACTCCCGAGAACCGACTTGCTTGGAGAGAGACGATGTTTAAAACTCCGGAACTGGGACAGTATATTTCAGGCGTAATCCTACACGAAGAGACATTGTATCAAGAGATAGACGGTCTGCCGATACCGAATTTTCTCCGGGAGAAGGCTCAGATTATATTATGGCAACGTGTTTATCCTTAAGATACGAGGTGTATGCTTGGTGCTTAACCTTAAGTTACAACAAGTTACAACAAGTAGAGCTAGAGGGCTTACTTAGTATCTATTAATAATACATAGGTTCATTTGCACTCGAACAATTCGTATTCGTGTCGGGTGAACTGAATCATCTTGTTTGCTGGTAGTGGTCGCTATGTATCGCACACTTGACAGACAGACCTCTCTCAACATTTCTCTGGTGTTATAGTTTCTTTGAGTTTCTAAATCTAAGGTTTAAGGTTGATATTAACTAAGGTTACGAAGTTGTACCACTACGCATGAAAACTTCAACTCCTCTAATGCCTCCCGGCATCAAAGTTGATGGTGGTGTTCTAGAAAATGCAGGTCCCGATGGCGAGAAGTCCACTGCTGGCCTGGACTCTTTACAGACCCGTTGTGAGGCTTTCTACAATGCTGGTGCGCGCTTCACTAAGTGGAGATGTGTTTTGGAAATCAAAGCCAGGACTAATGGAGATGGTACATCTTCCTATGAAATGCCGTCAGCGTGGTCACTCAACAACACAGCTTGGCTCTTGGCGAGATATGCGGCTATTTCTTATGATGCAGCAGAGACATACTCTTATTCATATACTAATAAGTGGTGGAATAGGAATATGTTGTCGTCTTATAACCCTCTAGTATGCGACCTGTGCTTCTAGTTCTACAACGATCACGAATCATACTTCTCTAAACAGCTTTCGCTGTTTTCCAGGCTTAGCTAGCTATGCATACACGACTTCTCCACCGTGCAATAATTGTGATCCTCCTGCTCTAATTCCAACAAGCTGCTGGCTTAGTGCCCATTGTCGAACCTGAAGTGATCCCTGATGGCACGCATGGGATAGAGATTTGCGCCCAAGCCACCGAACTCGCACTGGCCGCTACGTTTGCGGGTCTCGCGAAACACGGTGTCTTGTTGGAAGGGTGCCTGCTTAAGCCCAATATGGTCACGCCGGGCGCGGCTGCACCGGGGAAGGAGTTATGGTGTTCGTTTTTGATGTATTTTCAGCAGATGGTCGTGTGACAGTGATTTCAGTTTTACTAAAAGTAGGTAGAGCTGGAGGTCGGTAGATGAAGCAGAGCAGATCACAAAGATATTGGAATTGGCCGTTCGCCGTGGTTCATTAGTATCTATGAGATATTAAAAAGGCTTCTTCCCACCAACTTGATGTTGATTCTAACACAAGGAGCGAGCAACTCGGGTTTCAAAAGTGCCTCTGCTAGCGAAGTAGCTGGCCTGACCTTGCGCACTCTGTCCCGCACGGTCCCGCCAGCACTTGCAGGCGTCGTTTTCCTCAGTGGAGGCCAGAGTGAGGAAGACGCATCAAAAAACCTCAGTAAGATGAATTCGACGAAAACAACCCGTCATCCCTGGACTCTTACGTTCTCCTATGGCAGGGCAATGCAGGCGACGGCACTGAAGAAGTGGGGAGAAAGTTCTAAGCCAGATGAAGCACAAGGGATTCTCCTGGCGAGAGCAAAGTCCCATAACGCAGCTGCATTGGGACGATTCGGGGATGATGAAAGCAAGGAGCAAAGCTCTTCCGAGTCCTTGTTCGTCAGTGGGTATACGTACTAACTAGCTCACTAGCGCAACTACTTGTAGTGAAGTAGCTGTGGCACCGGTGAGTTCTTCTGAGAAGTGTCGGGCTCACTTGAACACGTAGCACTAGCAGGCTTTCTGTAAGTGAAGTAGCACCAGTACTTGTTAGAAGTGTTGTTCTCACTTGGCCAAGTAGCAGGTCTTCTGTCCTCGTGCTCGCATGATCGTGGAGTATCCACAATCATCTTTGAACTCAAAAGAGTTTTTGAAATTACGACGGCTCTATTCATTGTTGCCTCAACATCAAGATCGATATCGAAAGCACGCAATGGTTGGATTGGAACTGAGTATCCTCTGGGTGATATTACTTGTTCATACAGCAAGAGCATTCGTGTCTGTAGTAGTTGTTCGGTCATTGCTTTTGCTCTGTCAACGTTGGCCATGAATTGCGTTTTAGTCCTGATCATCTGTCCTGCTGATCATCTGTCGATGCTACGACATTGCGTTTTAGTCCTGATCATCTGTCCTGCAGATCATCTGTCGATGCTATGTCTCTGAACAATGTCAATGTCTGAACACAAAGTCCTGACTATCTATCTCCGTGAAATGTTGTCGGTTTTTGTCGTTTTTGATGTCTGTCCACATATTTCTCTGCGTTACCTCTCGGCCGTAGATGAGGAAGGAGAAGAGATGGAGTGATCAGACAGGCCCTCACTGCACTCCACCCTTCAGCTTGCCTAGACATTTAGTTTTGGGGTTCTCCACAAATTATGATGTCGGTGTCCTACTTTCCCCCAAGACATTGTGATTGTGGCTACTTAGAAAGAACCACATCAGAATCTTGAAGGTGACAATCGGCGACTAGAAGAAAGCGTAATCTTAATCACTCCATATTAGAAATATGTAGACATCTGATTCTAATGTCAAATGAACAGCTACAGATATTACATAGATGAGATTGTTCGTTGAGGTTGAGGACATGTCAGCAAAAGATTCACCTGCCTCGCAAGGAAAAGCCCGTCACTGATGTCGCGCTACTAGTATCGTGCCCGCATTTCTCTGAGGCGCCTTGCATTGTCATTTTTGAGTGGAGCAAGGCCCTGTAGGGAACTACGACAAGTGGAGCAGCTCCCTAGGAGTAGCGTTTTACCACCGTACTAGAAGCATCGAGATGAACAAGCCAGAGATGACCAGCTTTTCCTAGTAGACAGACTTCCCTAGAGAAGTAAGTAACTACCTTAGACAGACTTCCCTAGAGAAGTAACTACCTTAGACAGACTTCCCTAGAGAAGTAGTCTGTTAGTACCTTCCTCTTCTAGTAGACTCGACCCCGCAGGGACACCTTCTCCGAGGCCCACCTTCCTCGACGTGGTCCAAGAGACCCGACTACATCGTCTACCCTCCCCTCCTCGGCCAACAAGATGGCTGGCAAAAAGAAGGGTGGCGGGGCCAAGGAGGGCCCCAAAGGCAACTTGGAGGTGTATGATGAGGTAAAAATGCGCTTTGAGGTCAGAAAACAAACAGAAAGAGCAGAACTCTACGAAACCTCGTATAAGGACTTGACCAAAAAGAACGAAATCCTAAAAGCACAGTACTACTCACAGCGAGACACACAAGCGGATATCCTGAAGACGCTCAAGGCGAATTTAGAAGAGCAGTACGGGAAGGTACTACGACTCGTGCGGGCTGCTTTTTGAGCTGCTTTTATGGAGTTCAATCATGAAGAAAGTCGTCGTCGTGAGATGGAATCACATTCCAAACTTCATGTTTCTGTTATCCTTAGGACAGTCGGTCCTTAATGATGAAAATAATCACAAATGATAAGGTCGAAAAGTTCGAACGTGTGATTGAAGCACTACACCAGTCGATGGAGGAGAGCGATGATGGGCATAGGAAAGCTTTACTGGAGAAAGACGAGGAATGGCTCTTAAAAATGCAAGAAGCGCAGGCCAAGGTGTTGATCTTCTAGTTTCAATTGTGATTAGATGATGTAGACGAGATGCTCACGTCCTTCTCGTTCTCGAGGACCGACTGTTTTGTGATCTACACCACACCAAGTAGCTCACAAGTACTTAGTACTGACATTTTTTAGTAAGTTACGAGTACATGTACAACAACTACCCCGACCACCATCAACTCTCCTTCAGATTGACGATCTGCAGACAGCGCTGGAGAATGTGAAGGGGTACATCAAAAAGCGGAACGAGATGAGCGAACATCTCGACTCCTTGGAAAAGCAGCTGAAACAGAAAGACGAAGAAAAAGACTTGGAAATCGCGCAGCTGGACAGAAAAAAAGCCTTAGAAATAGACCAACTGAAGAAAGACATGCTAGCGAGGATAAGGGAGACGAGGGATAGCTTGCGGTACGATTCATCTTGGATGTGGAGGTCCTGGCTTTTGATGAAATGCTTTGCGGAGCTCTAATCGTCAGTCCATGTCATCGAGACCTGGACTTAGAGCTCAGCAAAGCACTTCATTGCCTTCTTTCATTTTTACTTCTCCAGTCTCTCAAGAAGACGGATCCCTTGATGCTCCTGAGACAACATTTCTTTTAGGGACTAGTAGAGGACACGAGCACGTCTACTGAAGGAGACGAGCAGTTCTTCGATATTGTCCTTGTGGTGTTTGATATACGTTTAGTTTTTTTTCGGACTTAGCTCCTCAAGAACTGCTCAAGAACTGGTCCAGCACTGCCACACTACACTCACGTCGTGAGTCTCCTCTGTCCACCCTCTACCACCTCCACCAGCATGAAAACCAAGGAGCAATTGGACGTGATAACGAAACGAACCATCATGGAAAATGAGCAGATGGGTAACGAGTTGGCATTTCAGAGGAAGGAAGTCGAGAAAGTCCTACAGAAAGGCAAAACGATGGCGGAGGAGAATTCGAAACTGCGGAGAAATAACGAATTGCACAACGAGTTAGAGGAAGAAATGGCGCGACGAACCCACGTGTATCAGAAATTGATAAAGATTATGGCAACAAGAAGGTCTTTTTCGTACGTAGAGTAAAAAGCATGCATTTGCAAGGTGACACTTCCATTGAGACGGAACTACTCCTACTATGTAAATGTAGTGAGTCATGTAGGCGTGGTTGGTCTTCAAAACTCGAACTTCTCATCAAGCTCAGCACCATGTATAAGCTCATACAAGAATTTTTCTTATAATATCATTTAGTCTACTTCTACTCTTCGTCTAATGGGAAACTTAAGGCCAAACTAGAGGACGCCAATAAGCGGACGAGCGAACTCGAGAAAGAAAGATCAGAGGCACAGCAAGCTCAAAGTCCATTTGAGCTCCGCGTTGGAGTGAGGAATACCCATGTCATAGACGGTTCGCCAATTACAGCGGGAGAAGGGGAAGGAGCGACAAGTAGTACGAATCTAGGATCTTCTCCATTGCAGAAGACAGTAGCGTTTCAGACGGGCGGAGCAAGTGGGTCTTATGGTGTGGTGGCCAGAAACTGGGAGTTGTGGTGTAGTCATTCCCTCAACCTCCTAGTTTCTTGATCATTTTAAAATCGGCGGGTTCGTAGAGTACTAGTATAGCGTGATAGAGGAGCACTAAGTTTGCGAACTGGATAAAGCTGAGGCCGCTCTTTCAGTAGCCCCAGGATACAAAAAAAAAGAAACTTTCTCTGAAGTCTCCAAATCCCAATCCAGATAGTAACGTGAATTCGCTCCTGTCTCTGGTGTTGGTAAGAGTGGTTGCTTTCTTTTCTTGGCTGTGGAGGTTTCTAGGACGAATCAGACTCGCAAACAAGGACAGGAAATCATTAGTAGCAGAATTTTGACGTTTACACGACGACACCATCATACAACTAGGCTCTTCTCTAAACAAAAGAGCAAAACCAGGGCACCTCCGGTGAATCAGGAGTTCTAGGCGACCATGGCTTTGCTGGAAAGAAGGCGAAAGTACAAGTAGCAAAAGGAGCCGCCATAGACAAAGTAGTGTTAACTCCACGCACACTACAAACGAATCTAGTAAACACCGGACCGGGTGGAGCTGGCGGTGGTGGAGGCATACTAGTCAACAACACTAGTCTTAAGGCTCAATGCAATTAATTTTTTCAATATTTCTACAACAAGTGGTCCTTTCTCACTGTTTCATGCTTCTTGAGAGACTGGAGAAATAGAAATGAAAGAAGGCAATGAAATGCTTTGCTGAGCTCTAAGTCCAGGTCTCGATGACATGGACTGACTATTAATTAGAGCTCCGCAAAGCATTTCATCAAAAGCAAGGACCACATCCAAAGTGAATAGTACCGCAAGCTATCCCTTGTTTCCCTCATCCACCTCGCTGGCATGCCTTTCTTCAACTGGTCTATGTATTTCTAAGTCTGTTTTTCCAGGCAAATGTAGAATGAAATGCTTTGCTGAGCGCTAATAGTCAGTCCATGTCATCGAGACCTACAGCAGGAGGATCATCAAAGCCTCCTGCAATACAATCGACAACAGTGGAGGTCGAGAGTCTACGGAGGAGATTAGCAGAAGCGCAAGACGAGCTGAAACGATTCAGAAAAGACCACTTAGCCGTCTTGAATCTGAGTGATCAGGCAACGCGTTTAGTACTGTTAGAGTTGTACGAGCTAAGAAAGGGACTTAATGACGCGGCTATGGGGCAGATGGTACTACTTTTTACGACCATATTTACTAGAACTAGTGTGGAGCTGTTGTTCTAGAGAAGTCAGCTCTTTTTTTGTCTAAAATCTAAGTACCTGATTATTCTCGACCTACGCCTACCCTTTATATCTACACCTGCCACTGAGGATTATCGTTTTGGTTTTCCTTTCTTGTTCAGGGCTCTCCTAGTGGTAAATATCTGGCAATCGATGCTTTTCTGGAGCAGGAGCTGGTCATTGCCAGAAATTCCGGTCACGAGGACGACAGTGGCAATGGAACAACCAGCACCGGCTTGCACTCCTTCCTCTCTCTATCCACCAAGCAGCGAGAGAATTTTCTGCTGTTATTGCTCGAAAAACTGGCGCATAAGCGGTTAGAGCCTCGAACGAAAAGGGCAGTGGATAGAGTGACGAAAATGTACTCAACGAGCACGAAGAGCACGCAAACGACTCCGGAGAATGCTGGACCGCTGGCTCTAGAGCCACCAGTACCACGAGGACCACCGAAGGGATTTGTTTCTCCATTGTATTATGGCTCGGTTGCCGAATTTTTTCGAAATATTGAACGTTTTGTTCTGTTTCTAATTATGAAGATATTTGCTTTGTTTTCTCAGAATGATCTTCTAGAAACCATTCTAGTGGTTCGCTATATGTTTTTAAGTACAAGAATGCAAGAGAAAGAGAAACATCACTCAAGACCTGTAGTACCTTGTCTAACCCAACGGCCACAATGCGTTCAAAGCTCAAGTGGTGAAAGGAGAAGTGAGGCCTTGGGGCGGGAATAATCCGACAGCGACTATGGCAGCGCTAGGAGCGGCGAACGTGAATTCGGCACAGAGTGTAGCGGGAGTGATCCCAGGACACAATGGCGTGCCAAAGAGACGCTTGATCAACACCAGTACCCAGGAGCCGCTACATCAGCTCGTCTAGAGGAACCGCTACATCAGCTCGTCTAGAGGAACCGCTACATCAGCTCGTCTAGAGGAACCGCTACATCAGCTCGTCTAGAGGAACCGCTACATCAGCTCTAGAGGAACCGCTACATCAGCTCGTCTAGAGGAGCCGCTACATCAGAAGAGAAGAAATTTGTCGATGCTGATACGGGAAACATCCCGATTGGTATTTCTCTGATCTTCGAACACGACCTATTATATTCGACGACCTATTATGCTCGACGACCCTTTTTAGTTTTACCCATTCTTGTACCATTTGATTGCAACAGCTACACATACTCAACATAGTTAAACCTCCATACTCATAGTCATACAACACATGACAAGAACGACTAGAATTATTTTTACTTTTGATTACAACATACGCGCGAAATACTGTAAATCGAATTTATTCACAATTTACTACGGGCTCATTTTCATAGAAGGAACACACGAGGTCTCCAAGAAGAACTAGTGCGTTTCATTCTCCACATAATTGTCGTGTAGTAACATCATAGGACAAGTGCTTGAAAACATGTACAAGTTTTCCTACAACAAAATCAGAAAATAATATTACCATAAAATCCAGATACATCCGATCCAGAGTAATTCAAATTGTTCATTGTGCACTTATTCCTAGTAGTTTAACCAAAGTAAAAACAAAGTCAACAAAGGCTGGCAAGTAAAGCCCTCCGAAAGCGAATAAAGCCCTGCTAAAGTGGTTGTTTTTATTGTTAATGTTTCAATCAGATGCAGATCGGACGTTCCAAAGAGTGCTCTGCAGCAAATGCAATGCTCTAGTAGTCTCGTCAGCGACGTTGAGACTAAATTACAGTGTCCGCGAAACATTATTTTGCTACTTGTATGAGTCACTTTGAGGTGTTCAGAGAGTATGAAGACAACCTCGCAGTAGAAGTTTCCGCTCTCGTCTGTGCCAAGGCTTTGATCCCCAGCAGCCTGATCATCGACAAAAGATCCGAATTATGTTGTACAACTCAGCTCAGTCTGGTTTCTTCCTTGAACTTACACTTAGGTCATCAGGTATTTTCATGACGAATACATAGGTGGTTCGGGCTTGGCGCATCGGTGGACATATTTAGTATGCAGTTCTTGTAGTACTAGTTCTTTGTTTTAAGTACGTAGATTTGCAGAAGTCCTCGTTCCAGCCAGCTGCTGTTTTTAGTCTGATTCTAAGTCGAAAGAAATTAGAATGTAACTCTAACATTTTTGCTCTTAGACACTGACGCATTCGATATTATCAATAGCCGTCGTGGTCTTGTTCTTTATTAAAATCATCGTTCTATTTGTATTTTCTTTCTTCTCCTTTTATTCCACCTCTCTTCATACTTACGACGTATTTTCCACCGCGAAGGCCTCCAAAATGTCATTGTCACGTAAGCACTCTAATACGCCAAGGCGAGTCCTTGCGCGTGTGCCCATCATGAATATGAGCGGGAACACGTACATGCTTCCCATTCCTGTACAAACAAGGGCGCGTAAGGAAAGCAGAAAGGAATCGAGGGAAAGCTCGGTAATCAGTAAACAAATATTGACAGGTAGATGTAGAATATAGAACATGACTAAAATGTGCAGAACTGCCGTAGTACCGCAACACTAGAAAATAAATCAATCAGGTTTTTACCAGCTGAATCTATTATCCCGATAAACTACCCCTCTTCCGCGAACCCGACAATCTGTACCTACTACCCCATAATACTTCTATCTGAAAAACCCTTCTACAGGTAGTATCCCGAAAAACCCTTCTTTCCGAACGTTCTTGTCTCCGCAATCGGGACGAAATCAACAGCGATATTGCGAGGATTAACCTCTCAAGTTCAGACTCCGAGTTTTCCAGCACGACCGAAGAGGACTTCACTCTCGATGATTGTGGACCATTATGGCTAGTTCTTTGTCACTATCCTGTAGTGTCTACTATGGCTATGCGGAAAGTCGTGGACTATGCTAGTCCCTTGTTTAGAAGTCAAGGGGAAATCTGTGAGGGGGGGACGCCGGGCCTCTCTACTCGAAGGAGTAGATATCTTTAACATCCTTAGTGCTGCTCTAGACCGAGGTCCTAACGCAAAAAATCTAGACCAAGGTCTGGGCCGAGAGACGGGGATACCCTGAACTTGAACTTGAACTTAAGTGACTTAACCACTATCACGCAGACGCATAGAAGTGCAAGAATAGCGCTAAGATCAATAGGAAAAATGTTAAGCTCCCGGCATTTGCGGCACCTGAACGAAATGAGTGAGCTGAAGCGAGTAATGAACCGCAATAGTGGTCCAGGTGGGCCAGCTGCAGCCTCGATTGATGGAGAAACCCCATTCGAAGGTGCTACACCGACAGCGGCAACGAACAATGGTGCTCCTTAAGGTTGTGTGTGAAATCTATCTCCAAAGTCATCTGGAAGTAGGAGAAGACAAAAACAAAAGCCAATCCAGATGATTCCTGGGAAGATGGATTTCCCACATCACTAAGGTCGTGCGCAGTTGAATGAGCCAGGAAGTGGAATTATAAGTACAGTAAGGCTAGACTGCTAAAGCATGTCCTTAGTTGTAGCATCGTTGGCTCGTCTTTTTCTAGTTGAAAAAGACGCGGCCAAGGATGGCCTCAGGGATGCGAACGAGGTAGCTCTAAGTACAACTGGTGCTGCGTTATTGAGTGATGGAGCAGTGCCCGCCGGTGCCAGTATTGCTACGACGGGTCGCGATATGATATCAGCTGAACCTCCACCTGCTGGAGGGGGCACGATACTAACCACATCACATCAGCAAGTTGTGGTCCCCTCAAGCACAAGTCCTAGTCTTCTAGTAGGAACAATCGCGCAGTCGTCCTCTACCTCCTCCAATTTTTACCATCCTAGCGCTAGCACATCTTCAGGAGCGAACAATGGAGTCTCAGCCAACGCGGCTGTCGCTTCTATATGGGAAGGTCTATCACCTTCCTGGATGAAGAGTTCGTCATCCAGGTCCCCTCGTCCACCTGTGCACCCGTACATTAAGGCGCAATATTTGAATTCATTTGTTGTATAGTCCTACACCTACTACAAAAACAAGCCATTTCAAATTCTCAATCTCACTCTTTATATTCATTCCCTCTTAGAAAAAAGATGAAAAACTGAAGCAATTCTGGACCACAACTGGGTTCGAGGACATGAGCAAAGGACCACAACTAGGACAAGTTAATACCGTAGACTTTTATCTTTTGAAAGGCAGCCTGCCCAGTCTTTGTGCGAGATTCATTGTCGTGGTGCGTAGTTGTGTCGTGTCTAAGTACAATTTGCGGCGTGAATGTACGAGGAGAGCCGGTTCCTCCAGCAGTGGCGCATCCTCCTCTAAGAGGAGGAGTGGTGGAATCATAAGGAATTTGGACCAGGAAATGTGGACAACTTCTGGCTCAGCGCGAGGCAGTGGTCAAGATGTAGAAGACCGAATTAGCAAAAGTCAAGCAATCTCGGCTCAACCAGGAGTAGAGAAAACTGTCGATCTCGATATTGTTTCTGTTAGTTTTAAGACTCAACTTTCAATGGTCACCATTTAGATTGGAGTCACTGAGATCGAAGAGGCGACCCTCCCTTGAGGAAAGATGGGGGGAAAACGAAGGGAAAGGGGAGAGCTTTGAAGGGGGTCTCTTCCGTTCGGAGTCAGTGACCAACGAAGGCTGAGCTTTAATAGTTGCGACACAGAGACTGGAGGTGGGCGGCGCGCAATACCGTCGTCACAAACACCCATATTAGTTCGACCACCCTCATCCGCTTCTGCTTTTCTTTTCGGGAGTCCTTCGGGTGCAGGGACGTTGAGTCCGCCGCCACAGGCCACTGCAATCGACAACTTAGCGGAAGTGATGTCGTCAACGGAAGTCGTGAAATCGAGGATAAACAGAACACGAGAAGGACGCACAGGGGGAGCTGCTTCTTCTTCTTCTTCGAGTTGTAGTTCCTATATTAATATGCCACGAACAACGTCCGCGAAACGTGACGAACAAAACGACAAGCTTCTTCACCAGCAGAACAGCGGAAGAAGTGGAAGAACTACAGGAGGAGCGTCTTCTCTACAGGAGGAGAACCAAGAAGAGACTTCAGGAAGGACGAGAGGAGCAACTTCTTCGTTACGGCATGATCAACAGAAGGAAGAAGCGAGAGCGACATCTCAACAAACTCAGACATCTCAAGAAACGGAACACGAACAACAGCAACCAGCTTCGTGGCTCCGCGCACACGAAATGCTACGTGCGGCGAACCTGTCCTTGTCCTCTGAGATGCTGAAACTGGCTTCCTCGTCATCCAAGAAACGTCGTGGCGAACGCAGACGCAGTAGTGAACGAAGAAGAAACACGCTTTTGAATAGTAGACGCGAGTCCTCTTCTGCAGCAAGTAATGACTCAGGAGGAAACTACAACAAAGAGCCCTCACCTTTGTCGTCACCACGCGATGAACACTTATTCGACGTAGGAGGTGTGGGCAAACTTCTGAACAATTTGAGTGCAGCTTCTTCTTCGCAGTATTTGCTTCGTACTCCGGAGCAACAAGGAGGGTCGTCTTCATCGACTTCGCTTTTTGCGCCATCGTATCCCGAAGATGATGCCAGAGGTACAAAAAGAAACAAGCTGAATCTTCATGACCAGGACAATGGAGCAGGAGGCGGATCGTCCTCGAGTAGTATTTTTTTCAATCTCGAAGGCACGACCTCAACTTCGGGAAACACAGCTCCTGGAGATCATGGAAACACGACTATCGGCCCCCTTGCCCGCAGTGATTCTCGAACAACAGAAGCGCAATCAAGTCCAGATGGAGGTGGCTCTAGTAGTTCTACTAGAGGACGTCCAGACGGAGGTGGCTCTAGTAGTTCTACTTCTAGAGGACAACATGAACATCATCATTCTCTTCATGACAGACAACATCACGATAGACCTGGGTTCATAGACAGACATGATGAAGACAGACTCTTACTGAGCAACACCGAAAAAAACCGTGCGTCCTCCTTGGGACTTGCTTCTTGCAAGGATGTTGACGCTGAGGGTCCTCATTCATCTGAACTTGATCATGAGGACCATCAAGAAGACCATCAAGACCTAATGCAGTCTTCCGCTCGGCCTCCGCCGTCCTCGTCGTCCGAGCCTGCCCAGACACGCACAGGGGATCTTAACGCTCCCACTTCTGAACAGCCTTCGGCTCGTAGCTCAGCCGCGCCGAGTGCTCAGCCTTTGTTTTAAGGGCCGTCAAAGTATTTCATTTCGTCCAAGTGTCATTTTATTTCTTTGCTTCCTTCGCTGGAAGTTGATGTTGAGAAATGAGCTGAAGAAATGAAAGATCATTTTGGGCTCTAATCGTTGGTTACGGCTAAGCAGCTCAAGAGTGAGATCTCCAAGCATTTCCGGATTCCTATGACCTTGATAGAGATCATGGAAGTTCGCGGCGACGATGACGAGAGAGTCCTCGACGATGAAGATTATGTCGATGCACTAGCGGAAACACGCACAGGAGGAGGAGGAGCTTCGTTATCATCTTATAATGCTGGTGCTGGACCTGGAGCAGGTGTTCCTGCTCCTGCGGTCCCGGTTGGTGGAGTAGATGGCTCATCTTTCCCGCCTGAGGCTGAGAGATCTACTCATTTGGACGACTTCTTACAAGATGAAAATCAAAGATCAGCATCGAATAATACCAGTTGCAACAGGATAACGGAAGTAGATGAACTACCTCAGACTTGTGAAGTCTACTATCGATACCTAGTGCGCAGAAAAGAATTCGAAAATATTAAGTCTGGTAGAAGTGGTACTTCTATAGATGCTGCTGGGGAAAAGGATGCAGAAGGAGAAGGTCTAGGAGACCAACATGGTGAAAGAGAACAAAGACCGCAAGCAAGACAACAACAACGAGGGGAACAAAATCTTCGTGATTATAGGAACCAGCATGGCGACACCCGTGGTCAACCAGTGGTTGAAGGAGGTCAGATGGGAAGAAACACAACCGGTGAGGGCTTCTGGGAGGATCTGAATAGCCAGGGCCTAGCTGTTTGTCGCGAATACATCTTTCAAGAGGAGTATCGAACGCGGCCAGATGTCGGTCCAAATTTTTTCTATGAACGATGTGCCTTACAACAGTCAAATCTAGCGATAGCCTTAGCCGAGCTCGGGCCTGCAGATATGTTACAGTACACCGAAATAGAGGAGAAGAAAATGAAAACTTTAGCATCTTCACCATCACCAAGAGGACCTAATATATCTTCTCCTTCTGCTTCACTATCACAACAACAACATCAAAAGAAGGGAAATCGAAATGTGGAAAATCAACATGCTGAAGCGTCTGCGTCTGCCTCTAGTACAACTAGAACTACCAACAAGATTACACCAGCATCGCCATCGGCGTCAGCATCTGCCTCAGCTACTGCACCCACCACGACGAACAACAACCACCAAAATTCAGCATCCGCCTCCACGTCGATTTTAACCTCTCGTCAAGGTCGTACACAACAACGTGAATGGCGCGAAGATCATGAGGCAGATGCCAACCGCGAGCGTCTCTTTTTCTCTCCTCCTATGCGAAGGAGAGCAGACTCGCGCTTTCGGGAGCCTACGCCTTCCTGTAACATTAAGGCTGGATTTTCCAAGGATCATTTTCGATTTCCAAGGATCATTTTCTTCTCCAGTTGGGGTTGGCCCCTTGGGATTCTGAAGTGATGATGGCAAGGAATGAATTGTTTTATTGCACTCTAAGAACAGACGAAACAGTGGAGCTGCTATGGGTGCATCTAGTACTTCTCCTACTCTGCCGCGTGCTGGTCCTGAGACAAGTACTCCTTCTACTACTAGCGTGTTGCGAGATTTTATGATCCGCAAAGGGGCGCCTGATGTGGCAGGAGGAGGTAAATCACCAGACGAACGGCTGCGAAATCATATGCAGCTACTTGAACAAGAAGAGCAGACTAGTGTTAATGTGGAGGCCAGGAGAGTAGAACGAGTAGGAGTAGAAGTGGGAGAGGATCGTACCATCTCGAACCATTCCCCAGGAGGACGAGGCGAGGAGCGCGCTTCATCTTCGTCATCGCCGCAGAGGGAGCACCAGCGGGAGCGGCTACTGATGAAAACTTCTAGTAGTGAAGTAAACTCGTCGCCTGTAGGAGCTTCTCCGTCGTCCAACAGGACGAGAGGAAACTACAAAGTAGGAGGGAAAGGACGTTGTCCTGAAGGATGTAATCATGATCTGCAACCTTTAATATCAACAGCGCTTCGTCGGGAGATTGTGGGGAATGCGTTTATGCTGGCCTGTTGGGTAAAGACTCCGATTTTAGCTGCGAGCAGAATGCCAGCATCTGAACTTTACTCCAGCGAAGAGATGTTTTCCAGCGATGATGGGAAGAGCTTTACCTCGAATAACTACCCTGGTTCTTCGGGACACCGCTTTTCTTCATCTCAGATGAAACTGCAAGAGCATGCGCAGTCAGCAGAAGTTTCTGTGAATCACGAGAAAGAAGAAGGTGGCATTCCGAAAGGATCAAGACCTATCTCTCCAAGAAGGAATGGCATAGGATCTACTAGTGCGAGAGATCCGAGGGATGGCGATGCTGCGGGAGATGATATGAAACCTCGCCTCCAACAAGTCCACGAGGATGATCAGGAACACGATCACCAAAAGCACGATCGTTACGGAAAGCAGCATCAAGCTGCCCAGAGGAATGAAGAAGTAGATCTCCCTACTAATTCTAATACGAGCTCCTTTAATACGACAAAGAACGCGGCGAGAAGTCGGAGCAGCAGTAGTAAGGCGCACCGTAGTGATGATCAAAGAAAGGGGTCGAAAAATATTGTGGGAGCCGAAGTCGAAGTCCGTCACTCTAGCTCAGCGTCTTCGACAAGTGGCCATAGTCGAAAAAATAGTGAAACCACAAATATTCAACCGCATCCTCCGTTAGGCGTCGATTCCGTTATCAGTCAGAACAGCACAAGCGACACTGCATCTCCTGGAAGAGGTGGGGGAATAGCCGAGGACTCTTCGGCAACGCCTCGAGGAGGTCCTGCTCATCCGCTTCATCGAGGAAGCAAGCAAGGTGCTACTCCTGAATTAGCAGAGCAACAACACAGTGACAATCTCTTTGTAGCAAGTGAAGGCATCTTGAAAGAGCAATTTCTCGGTGACTCAGAAAGAGCTGCGTCAAAAAGCCAAGCTGCTGGTACTAGTGCGATACAACACTTAACATCTGTTGGAGGTGCTGACATGATCAAAGACATGATAGGCACGACAAGTATCACAAGTAGCACAACATCTTCCAATAAACAGAGGGATAGCACTACATCTTCTAGTTCTACTAAACAGAGGGATAGCAACATACCTGCTATAATGGCGGATCTTCACAGCACCACTACCACAACTGCAGCTACTGCAGGAGTTGTGAGTACTGGTTCAACAGCTACTAGTACTGCAGCACCAGCAACAAGCTCATCGTCTTCTACGTCCAAAAAGCATGTGCACATGCTACTGGAGACCAGATTTCGTTTGGAGGAAGATGAGGAGTCCTCAGAGGAAAACTCACCAAGTAAAGATGAGGATGGGGGAGGTGGAGTCTCTTGTTCGTCAACAACTTTACAGCATCAGAATAGTGCGCTAATTATCATGGGCAACGTTGACCTGCCAGTAAGAGGTGAACCGCTCTCGATAGGGCAAAGTACCTCCACCAACTTAGGAGTTCCTCCTATCTCTGGCGGTAACACTCTTATTACAACAACTGGCGAACGAGATACTTCGTTGGAGCAGAAACTTGAGGACAAGAGCAAAGGGAAAACATCATCAGAAGATATTCGAGGTGGAGGTTCATCATCTGCATCAGCACTAGGCCCTCTAGAGGAACCAGCAGAGACAACTGGTGCTCCTGCGCCTAGGGCTAGAGCAGTCACGGCCTCGCCGTCCCCATCTCCAAAGAACAAGGACGATAGTCACAGTGGAGGACCTCGACTCCTGCGCGCTCCTTCAGCGTCCTCCAGAACTTCGAGCTGTAGGCCCAGTCCCCGCACACCTCGCTTAAGCACACCACGGGCCAGCTCAAGCAGTAAAAATCTAGGAAAACATCCAGGAGCAGCAGCAATATCGAACTACACAGGAGCGACGACAGGAACAACAACAGGTACTGTTAGTGGTGGTGGTGTTCCTGTAGTTACTAATGGAGCAGGAACCGGCGCGCTTTCCTCATCTTCCACCACTGGCGAACATCAGCAACACCAGTTAGACAGTAGCCGACTACTCAGTACGATGCGCTCCTCGTCCTCGCATCCCGAACTGCAGGCCACTGCTCTACCTAAGCGCAGTCTCAAAACAGGAGAAAAACAGGTATCGATGCAACTGAATACACGGTTTTTGCTGCCCTATGACACTGATACAACTCCGGAGTCCAAGCCCCGGGATGGAATACAACGCACGCCTTACCCCAAAGAAGAAAGTCCTAGTTTCCCCACCGCGGATATTCTACAGCAGGATACGAAATCCAAGGTAGCAGAAGAGCTCTTAATGCTGGCGAGGAAAAAAGAAGGACTACAACAAGGAAGACTCGTCAATAGTTCACTCACGTCATCCTCGTCGACAGGAGCAACTACTATTAAGGGTAGGGTAAAGGTGCTTTTGTTCCCGCTTTTTATGCCTTTCCTAGGGGAGAAAGGCAGAAAAAGCGGGGTCCACGAGCACCAAGGCCCTACCTCTAATACTACATTAGGAAACAAGGCCCCCAGCGGCATACTGCAAGAACAGGAAGACGAAAGCCGAACGCGGATCAAAGGAAGTGCCACCTGTTCCTCAAGTAGTCCAGAACAAGGCAATCAAAGCGAGGCGCATAACGTCGACCCTGAAGAAGACCAAGCTGGAGGTCCCGGACAAGCGGACAAAACTCAAAGAGTAGGACCAACTCTGCATGGTAGCAACGACCCTGATCAAAACTCCAGGACCAACGCCTCCGGAAATGAAGCGACAACTACTGCAAATACTGCAAATACTACAACTACTGCAAATACTGCAAGCACTACAACTACTGCAAATACTGCAAGCACTACAACTACTGCAAATACTGCAAGCACTACAACTACTGCAAATACTACAACAGGAGCAGTGCCTGTGCCTCCTCCAGGAGTCGTTATTGACAGAGAGCATGAGGAAGTTGAGGATTACAGTGAGCAGGTGCTGACGTCTGGCGTCGTGGGTACAATTCTGAGCAAGCAAGAACAAGAACCCTCGTGGATACCGTTCTTTTCACCGCCCTTACGGTCCCGACGGATGAGAGGTAGGACGATGCGCACACGAAGTGACGACTCCTCAGAAATGTCATCAAGTAAAGAAAATAATGAGGATGGGGGAGGTGGGGTCTTTTCTTCGTCAACAACTTTACACAAAGGGTCGACAGGGAGTGGACGAGGAGCGCAACCTTCTTCACGTGGTGCTGGGCAAGATCATGGTGCTCATAACGAAGTCGAAGACGACGATCACCACACGGAACAAGATGTTGGAAGCACAGGCATCCAACTACAAAACAACAAAGCTGCTAACTGCTCCGCATCTGTACTTCTATCAGACATCAATAGAGTTGTTGAGAACAAGAATCCTCGTCTAGATGATGGCGATGAGACCGCATGGCTGTCCCCGGATAGTCTTCGCCGTCTCCGTGGCGACCCAAGCAACAGCATGATTAAGACTTACTTAGTTTATATTAATTAAATTTTAACTCAGTAACCAAAGACATAAGGGAAAGAAAACACACAAGGACGTAACTTAACTTCCCTGAGTCAGCTAAAGTCTACCAAGTTTCCTCAAGTAGAGCAAAAGATATTATAGATTTTCATCGTGAGAGGCATCTTTGCCGTGCTTTCAAGGGGTGGAAAAATAGGAGGTCAAAGATGCTCTGCAAGATGAATAGCGGTAAAGTCTAATATGAGTAATCATCGACCAGCTGCCACCAAATCCGAAAGGAGTTTCAAGTCTGAAAGGAGTCTGAAAGGGTCCGAAAAAAGTTTCAAATCGGAAAGAAGCACGAAATTTTCGGAGCGCAGTGCTGGGAAATACTCCACTGGGGAAGAGCGAAGTGCTGGGAAAGTGTCGTCCGCCAATTGGGACGCGGACCTGGATCCCATGTTCCCTTTCAGCGAGAGAAAAGACACTTATGATCACATGTTTTTCTCATTGCATGTTGCAAAAATTGCATTCTACTTGCATTCTGGTGCACCAACACGAACGTCCTCGAATTGATGTTGTCATTTTCCACTAAATGGAAAGAGGACAAGGATTGACTTGTGGTCCACTAGAAAACAAAGGAAATAAGGCCAGTCAAGAACGACCTTGATGACCTGAAGAATGCAAAATTGGCGCAAGAATAGCTCTAAGAAACGAACGAAATCTTACATCCTGGACTGGCTATGCTTTTGCGCGAAGAACAGACGCAAGAGGATTTGAAAGAGAAAGAAAGAGTTCGAAAGGAACAAGTTCTGCAAGGCGGCGAGGATGATAGCGGTGCTACGATGTTTATGACAGACAAAACCAAAAGTGTACTCATACTCAACAGAATAGACACTGACAGACAAAACCAAAAGTGTACTCATACTCAAAAGAATAGCTTTAGCTAGGTACTTCGTGCCTACTTAAATCCACCTAGCGAATTTCTTCTGTGTGTGTGCACTTTTTCCTTTCATAATGTTCGAAGACTATGATGAAGAGGTGGATGACAGCTTGCTGTCTATGGACGGAGAAGGAACACCTCTACCTCACCTCTATGGACGGAGAAAAAACACCTCTATGGACGGAGAAAAAGCAAAGTCAAGGTCAATGTCTACCTCCATGTCTACCTCTACCTCAACGTATACGTTTGTGACGAGCAAAGTGTTGAACGAGGTGAACAGCAAAGGGCAGACGGCGCTCACCTATGTCGGAGAAGAAGAGATTGGCTTGCGCATTTTGCGGCATCGTACTGATCTGGAGCCAAAGACGGTGAATGCGACCGATATTTATGGCTGGAACGTGTTGAATCACGCCTGTTGGCGACGCATGCGACATTTGGTATTGGAGTTGCTCAAACGCAGAGACTTAGAAAAATCACTATTTCAATCGAGACGAAATCTGAAATTAAGGCTCAACAATTTTTTAGCTTGGGGCGGTCACCATTTAGTAGATTGGGGTCACTGAGATCGAAGAGGCGACGACCCCTTCTTGAGAGAACCAGCAGGGGAAATTGATGAAGGGAAAAGGGGAGAGCTTTGAAGCTGGTCTCTTCTGCTCAGCATCAGTAACCAATGAGTGCCATCCTTTAATGAAACACCACAGTGCACTGGACTACGCCAAGAGGAACGGACCGACGTGGCAGCCGGTTGTGCATGCAATAGAAAACTACATTTCAGAAAAAGGCTGGACGAGGAGTTCTGTTGCTGGAGGTACTTCTAAAGGCTGAGGCAGATTTGACCTAAAAGGCAGCCTGACTTGCACTTGGGCTCAAGTGGACGAAAATTCCCGAGTCTTGGACCGCAGTCACTTGACGTTTTCATGAGATAAGGACTACACAGGCTGCACCACCTCCACCACGCAATCGCGACACGACACGAGCGTGCGTCTTCCGTGTTCATTACATTGTCGATATGGCAATTTCGATAACCAAAGGAAAATATCGGACTTCAAGCAAATACTCTACGCAAAAAGAGATAGCTCGCAGCCAAGTCTGTGGTCGCATGTACCCCCGTCACGACGAGTTTAATCAGGCCACGAGCTGGTGCCAACTGAGTGGCAGCAAAAGTCAGATCAATAACGAAGCGAGGCAGTAATTCAATTAATGGAGCATCATCAAGGAAAAATGAAGATACTACTTCTTACGGGTTTTTGTCCTTTCTGACTACTAGATTTCTTCGTACAGCTTTACAGTCGCTAGTGCTGGTGCACCTGCATCAAACTAAAAAGTCCCCTCTCTCTTGTCGTTCAACAAGGAAACAACATCAGAAAGAATGTCGCTCTCATTGGAGCCACATCCGATTGGCGTGAGATACTGGACTAATACCTGCAAGGAGTTGAAGGATGTTCCTTACAACATCCTCCTATTGTTCTTTTCGTTATCGGTATGGTTATCAACAGGAACAGGCGCAAGACGAATGACAATCCAACAACAGGCTAGACGAGCGGGTAGAAGTCGCCAGGGAAATCAATCCTAGGCCGATTGCTGAGTAGATTCGCTTCGTCATGGGTATAGATATTGCTTTTAGAATTGCTTCCACGTTCGTTCCCGGTCGGTTCGTGCGTCTTGTCTGGAACGACGCATACACGCAAACGCAAAGTCAATCAAGGTAAGATGAACATTGTGAATTTGAAGCGTCGTATCAAGGTCTTCAAAACGATGAGCATCGGTCCACTGCGACATCGGGCATCATGATTCAAAAAGACAAGGTATCATTGTCGTCTTGAGATAATGCACGTTCATCATCGGATATTCGTACCCCCTCGTCTTCACATGGATGTCCCCTTTTTCAATCCCCATGGAGGTCTGGAGATAGGCCACGGCTCTGCTAACGAACTGTCGTGGTTCAGCATCTCGATAGAGTATTCAACATGTTGATTGAGTATATAAGCGAAAGTCGTGATGTTAGTCGTTTTAGATGTAGTTGATGTTGTGAATATATGATTCAACGGCGTCAGGAAGACGCAGATAAGAGGTTACATGACATGACATGAGACTCTGAGAACTTCATCATCCCTCAAGCATTGTGATTGTGGATTCATTGTGGATTTTCCATTTCCGTACGCTCACACATCAAGAAGATAGAACAAGCCACACAACAAGAACATAGAACAGCAGGGTAGACATCGTCGTGCAGTTGTAAACATGTTGACGCCTCCTTAGGCTGAGGGACTACTAGTCCTAGTCCTTGCTGTGCAGCAAAAATAAAGGGTGAAGGAAACGAGTAGTCTCCTGCAGAAACCATCAAGCGATACCACTACCAGGTCTCGTCAGGTCTTGGTGTCCTCGAAGAATCGAAGTACATCTTCAAAGAACTGCTTCGACTCTGCTGCATGAGAAGAACTTCCTTTTCCTCGTAGTCGCATTTTACGACTACTCACACTGTCACTCCTTACTAACCTTACTCCTTCCAAGTCAGGAGATTACTTCCACTAACTACAAAGCATCTTCGTCGAAATGGTGGACCCAAAGGATTTCTTGCGGGAGGTTAACAGGTTCCGGCAGAACCCGGCCGGTTATCTAGAAGAAATTCTGCGAAATGTAGAATTCCGAGATAACGTGGAGACCGAAGTCGCGGCTGATGGTGGAAGATCTCAACCGTACACTTAAGGGCTTCGGACCAATTGCATAGCATTCTAGCGAGCTCTTTCCAACTCCCCAAACGCCACGAAGACGAGTGCAATAGTAACTAGCAGTCTGATTCTGCACAAGAACGGGAATCCCTGACAGACTCTTTTCAATTTTCTTTTGTTTCCCTAGTTAGGTCTGCATCTGCTCCGCGCGCTAAGTTCTTTTGATAGGTGTACATTGTAGTCCAGATTCAAGCACTTCTGAGCTCTCCGCTTCAAAGCCTATAGTCAGGAATGATCATTCAGGGATGATGTGAAGAAAGCATCGGTGAGCCTCTAATACACCACCTCAACTGATGCAATCGTCTTTCCGTCAGGCGCCATGGTGGAAAGCTCCACAGGTAGAGAGTCGCTGGAGAGCCTTCGCGATGATGTGGAGCATCTGGGTATTGTACTAGAAGGACTTACCTACACCTAGAAGTAGTACTAGAAGCTACTTGTAGTTGTACTAGAAGTACTTCCTTATAGATGTAATACATAGACGAGCTACTTGTACTAGAAGGACTTACCTACACCTAGTACTAGTACTTGTAGTTGTACTAGAACAAGTACTTACTTATAAATGTAGTACTAGTAGTTCTACTGACTTAAATTTATGTAATAGATCTTAACAATAACAAAAATATCCCAGACGCACTCCGAGTAGATCTTCTCCCAGACGCACTCCCAGTAACATCTTTCAGAATCACACCTATAGGTTACGACGTCCTTGCCGCTGGCCAAATTTTTTCTTTGCCAATTTTACACTTTTCTCCTGAATTGTCGGAAGCTTGTGGAGACCATGTTGCCGACTTGATTGGGAACGACTTTTACTCCCACATCGGATTAAGGCTCAAGAACAATCCAATTAGTTTATAATTTTTACAAGGCTTTTTCTTTTTTGTAGTGCGAGCGACTTCCGATAAGTCAAAACCTACCTGCGTACTTTCCGCATTTACGAGGCAAATGCATCTCTCACGGCTCGTCTCCCTCGTTGGCGAGTGAGAAAATCAATGAAAGCAAGAAATGAATCACTGTGAGCTCTAACCGACACTGACGGCAGCACTCCGGAGGAGCGCATTGTGAAATACGGCAATATCTCTTATGCCCGTTTTCCGAAATATCACGCTGACGTCGATAAGATCCGAGCGAAGACGACGCATCGGCGAATGAACAACACAATCAACCACAAGTATCGGGATAGAAGCCAGACGGCGAATGTGGATAGCGAGTTGTTAAACAGCGAGCTGTCGAATTAAGGGTATAGATCATTCAACATCTTTGTTTGAGTTCATCCCTGAAATGAATTCTGGGCCAGTTTCTCCCTGGGATACTCTTCAGGGATGCAGTTGAAAGATGAACTATGGAGAGCTCTAATCGAAGTTTGGCGGTGAGGTATCACCACCGACGAGTCCAGCTGGAGGTCAGCACTCAGCAGATGGAGGAGCAGTCGAGCAACCCGCTAGCGGGGCGCCTCCACAAAGGCCACAAGGAGGGAAGGACAACAGCGTGCCTAGTAAGGTGAAGGTCGACAACAGCGTTCCGTATCAGGTACTTATAATGTTTTGTTGATAGCATGAATCATGGTGAACAAAGCATGTGAAATTCATAAGTATGGCAGCTGAAATTCATGTTGTGCACTTTCCTGTTGTGCACGAGGACGATGCTGTAGTAGCATGATCAATACTGTTGAACCCAGCAGGAGATAAAAAACTTTTCGAACAACGTACTCGAAAACTGAAAATAACCGCGTTACTGACTGAAATGTGGGAGGTAGCCTTGACAGGGCTACTCTTCCTTGTTCAGTATCTCGCTTATTTTAGGTAGTTACTTGCTTATTTCAGTTTATCGAATAAATAGAATACCAAAACAACGACAAAAGTCCTACATCAGTTTGCTAAGTAGGAAACCGAAACAACGACAAAAGTCCTGCATCAGGTTGCCGAGAACATCCATTTCGGATTGCAATCTGCGCAAGACATCGTGTATCACTTCCTCCTTGACGATAAGGACCCGCATCATGGACACCGCCAGAATCTGCTGAATCGAGATTTTCACCATCTAGGATTCGCTTACTCCAACAAGCATCCTTCTGCACTTACCTGTGCTTGCTGCTTGCTAGTCGATGCGTCCTTTTTCCCGAAGAAACCGCCACAAGTTCGGCTTGACGTTGCTCAGGAGTTGATAGCAGCACCGAATCCAGCTTATCAAGACGATGCTTACTTTAAGAGTTTCACTAACTACATCTGTTGTAGTTTCCACATTGCGTCCTTTTGATGAGTGTACTGCGTTACTTTAAGAGTTGTCCTTTATACAACTAAAACATCCCTAGTTGTAACTCTTTTCGCACGAAGAAAAAAGTCGAGAATGTTCTGAAGAATGCAATTTCTGAAGACTCTAAAAATTACGACGTGGTGCCTCTGCTACACGATCCGGCGAACAGTCACAAGCTGAGAGCCGGAGGACATATTAAAGGCGACTTGTTGCAGGGCGCTTCCGGAGACGCGTTTGCCTTAGACCCGCCGCCGGCATCTTTCCCAGCTAGTCGTCGAGGAGGACTCAACGCGGGAGATGAGGTATATGTGCCTACTGCTGAAATAATTCTGTTTATGTCTACTTACTTAATACTGCGCTGGGTACTACGTGTACCCGCGTCCTAGTTGTACATCAAGTACGCTCCTTTGCACAGCGCTTCTGCTATTTGCATTCTTGCTCGTCAAAAATGTCTTCATCTTCACACCATGATCTGGATTAATATAAGTACTTATACTTATCGATCATATCCTCAAGGTCCTTATCCTTAACCTCAGCCTTAACCTCATCATTCATTCTTCATTCAAGGTGGCTACCTCCGGAATGCGTGCAACTGTGCCCGCGACAGAGGACAATAGCAGAAGAGATAGTCGCCTCAGGACTAGTGGGCCGTCAACCAACGATTCTGTGCGGGCCTCGAAGACCGTCGATATCCAAGACATAGTGCGCGCCCATCGCAATGAGAGCCTGAAGTCTTCAAATCAGGTTTCAAAGACGAACACCATCACAAGCAGCATTGTCACGTCGCAAGAGCAGACAGGTATTTGTATTATTTAGTTGTGTTACAGGTACTCATTCATTCATTCATTCATTTTCGCGGTTCGGGTCCGGCAATGCAGCTCAGAGGTACAGGTACTATTTACTTATCGACTGTAGTAGAGCAGAGCAGGTGTTATCGACTGTAGTAGATCTAGAACTAGATGGAGCTGAAGATGTAGAGCTTGACGAATTGAAACGTCTTGTTTCTTGTCAAATGCTTACCATGAGGCGGTCCTCGTTGCTCTGTGTAAGATTTGCGTCAAACTTGGCCAGGAAGTGTTAGGCCTGAAGTACATGACCATGACCATTTAATGTGTGAAAAAACTAGAGCTTGCTGCATCCTTTTAAGCACTTTAGGTACAACTTGGTTCCTCTCATACTCATGCTCAGTCATCGACATGCTTATGCTTATTTTCAGTTTACTTAGATGCTTGGTTCCTCTCATCCTCATCATGCTAGCTTATCTCATTCATTGCGTTTACGTTACAATCCAGGCGACTACAACGTGAAAACTCGTGTCCAGACGACAACCTGGCAAGACGTTTGTGATGTGGTAAAACCAGCTCAGTTTGCCATCTCTAAAAAGCAGGCTGCGCAGTTGCCACACCTAGTAAAACCGCTAAAATTAAGGCTCGAGGATACAATTCAAATGTACTAAATTCATCTTCTCTACTAGACAGTTATAACAGTTTGAGGGAACAATAGATACATCACATTCAAGAAACATCCTTGGGTGGATCGCTTGGGAGAAATGCATTTGCAAGAGTTGAAGTGAAATAGAAATGTTTTCTTTGAGCTCTAATACAACGTTTTTGGCGCTACGTCCCACCGCGTGATCCGTATGCTAAGTCCTTCCTCGGTGAGGTGAACCCCAAGAACAGCCGACACGTGGCGAAGTCGATTGTGAGGTCGTTTTGCCATCATTTTTCAGCTGGCGGCACACCGACACTGAATTAAGGCTTGCAACAATTGTTGTTGTCACTTCCTTCCTCAGTTCCGTGCCGCTGTTAGTTGAGTCAAAACTTGTGTGGGTAATCATCGTGACGAAGCACTATGTTGACGCCGTGCGGCAGTCTGCACTGAACTCGGTGCGAGATTAATTGCACTGTATTGAGCTCTAATCCCAGGAGAATGAGTTGGATCTCTTGTTGGAGCGGTTAAACGTGTACAAAGTCCGTCCCCAGTACAGTGCGTCGATGATCAAGGGCTTGTTTGACGAAATCATTGAAAGAAGACCGGTCGAGTTGCAGAAGTTCCGAGATATTTCTGACCAAGAGCTCTATGATGCAGTTGCTGACAAGCGGACTTGGGCGCCAGCAATTAACATCGTTTGCTTTCCAGTGAAGTCGGATAAGCACCAACAGCCCTACTTAAGACTCGTCAAGTAAATCCATCTCCAGACTCATGTAGTTGGAACTGTGAGGACTGTCCCGCAATCTTCAAAAGGAGAAAAGAACAGCTTTAGGAGGATCGCGCAAAGGGAAAACATAGACAGTTCCAAAAGCGAAATGAGTCCTCTCGAGATGGATGCACAGACATGCATTTGAAAGGTCGGTTGCTCGCTCTTCTAACCTAGGAGTTGATAGGGCGCACGCAGTTGATCGACAACTGGCTGCTGAAACTGTATCAAGACTACCAGTCAATCGGCTTCTTTGGCGGATCCACGGAGGTTCCGAACATATTCGGACACGACTCGGTGGCTGATAACTACAATTATGGAGGGTTTAGAGTACTACTTACTTAAACGATCAACCATGAATATGAAGTAGACGGTTTGTTTGTTTTGATGCGCTCCGGGCGACGCGTACGATCCCGCCGGATTTCTTTGTGCTCTGTGTGTGTTATATGCTATGGCACTTAGACGGTCCTAGAGTCATATGTGGATCTTAGATGAATCAACGAAAATTAATCGGGATGCCGAAAAAATCCTATCACAACTTGTAGGTGGCATGCAAGTACTCATCTTCAAGTTCTGGAGCGGGAATTTAAAGCAGTTCCAGTTACTTATAAACTTTGCTGCTAAATACATACATAGTAGTATTGATGTTCGCTTCTGTTCTAAGTCAAAGTTCCTGGGTACTATCGTGCCTTCGGAGAGGAGCTAGTCCGGTTTATGAAGCGATCAGAGGTCTTCCGGAAAGAAGTTTTGGAATTTCTACAGCCTGGAGGAGGAACAACGGGTCCGTTATGGCTTTTGTTGATTGTTCATCTTAAGAGCGAGGCATAATCTTTGACGTGCTCACTCCACGACGAGGGGTTCTAAGTCCTACGGCTGGAGATGCAGCGGCCAGTTCTAGCGGTGGCGGTGGTGCTAGTGGAGAAGCAGCGGCCAGTTCTAGCGGTGGCGGAGGTGCTAGTGGAGAAGGAGGTGCTAAGAGTCGAGCCCAAGAAGATGTGGTGGAAATGATGCATGAAATCAAGTTCCATAACCCGAGGAAATTGTGGGTATATTTTTCTGTTTTACAGCGATGTGGGTATTATGGAGATTTATTTCTGTGGTCATCAACATGCTGCAAGATATCCATCATTCTCACAACATCACCCATTAAACTTTGTTTGCTTCTAGGTCTTCACCCGTCGTCCGAATGCTGATATCTGGTTGGATATCATGAAATTGGTTGATCACGACTGCGTAAACCACCGAGCCCATCGACGCAATGACCACTTTTACAATGGTCATCTTTTGGTTATGGCAGACAATTTCAAAAAAAACCTTCGTCGTATTTTTACAATGGTCATCCCTTGGTTATGACAGGCAATTTCAAAAAAATGTCTTCGTCGTACCATCTGTGGTCTACTCACATAGAAGATATTCAAATTATTTTCGTCTAACTCCGACATCCAAGGCGTCTCAGTACCGAAGCAGAATCACAGTCGGCGCTTGCACGAGGAGGCTCTGCGTAGCAAGGTATTTGACCGGGATCGGTCTGACGCTTTGTTTCAGAATCAAGCTGGCATGCAATTGCTCGGCGGAGTTCACATCGGCTCCAAAGAAGGAGACGAGAGGGAGATAGACGGGCTTTTGACGATTCCCGCAGAGCCGCAGAATATGATCCAAGTGAGTGACATAGTGGAAAAGCCGTTGGCCATGTGCAAGTCTTTGCGGCCAAACGACCAGTATCCTAGCACCGAGGCGGTGAAGGAAGGCAAATTAGTTCTTGGACCATTGCAGGCACCACGACCATTGACGGAAGTGGAAGCAGTGGCAAGAAGAAACACGGATCTAGTGAACGAAACGATGTTATTTTATGTTAAGGCTCAAAATATTAACAGCTATAATTATGTAGTTAAGTGTTAAGCCTCAAAATATGTTATTTTATGTACAGTTTATTTAAGGCTTTCCACAGGTTGTTCCTCGGAGTCGAGCCAGGTGCCGGGGGGCTTCGATGTGCAGGATTCACAACCTCCTAACCTAACCTTGTTCTCTCTTTTTGTTTTTATACAGTTTCATTCTTAGGAACAACATGATACAACAAGGAAGTGGAGAAATGACGGACCTAGAAGTGAATTATTTTGGTTGCGCTCTAATTTAGGGGACGAAGGAGGTGGTGGAAGTAGTAGCAGCACAGCTAATCTGTTTTCGACATCTGGATCTAGAGCAACACTAGGTGGCGGTGCTGGACTAGGTGGAGGAAGTGGAGTCACTCGTGGAGGATTGAAAGGCTCACAGTCTGCTATGACCCTCAATGATCTGCCTGTCCGCGTTTCTTTAGGGGGGAGTAAGCGCACGTTTCGAAGAGCTATGGCGAAGACAGAAAGGATAAGCAACAATCGACAGCAACTTCAGAACGTCCTGCTGCAGACAGCCGCCATGACAGGTCACTACGACCAGACCCTCTCAACGTGGCGCCAAGAGCGTGCCGCGATAGGCGGCGGCTCAATCGGAGCACTGCTTTTAGGTGAGAGTGCGGCCTCGACACTCAACCGCCCAACTAGCTCACAGGGCTCCAATGCCCCCGACGCTGGTTCGACTGCGGGGGCAGACGTTGCAGGAGGAGCCACCGGCGCTGTAGTTGAAGGGCAGCACTACACTTCGCCAAACCGAGGAGGCGCGTCGTCTAGTGAAGAACAGATGGCCTACGCTGAGAACCATCAAGATCATTATGGTTACAGCTTTTAGAGTGTCCATCTTTCTCGGCATCTTGATCCCCTTTTGGCCTTGCATTCTCATGAAATACAAGGGGAAAGGGGTCGAGATGAGGGGATTATAGCTGAGTCTAACGTCAAGCTGTGGCGGATTCGGCGACGGGGGAAGAACCTAGCGGCGCAGCCCCTGTTGGAGGAGCAGCGATCTCGCCATCAACGCGTGGAAGTGCTGGAGGCGACAACATCGACCCCAGTGTGCGACAGCAGATTTACGGCCCTCTGCTGAACACCAACGACGCGATTTGCAAAGCTGCTGATAAGATTCCATTATTAAGGCTACCGCTGAAGTATTCTTGGCAGCATCCTTATATCGCGTTTTCCACTCGAAAACGAAGCCAAGGATGCGCCCAGAAAACGAAGCCAAGGTGGAGCTCTAACACTAGTCTGCGCTGGCGACTCTATCCCAGTCATCGGCGCTGGTGGCGTGAGGCTTTTGCGACCAAATCAGTACAGCATCTCCCAAAATTTCTCCGACGCTTACAAAAGCAGCATCCTGACCACGAAGAAGAAGGCCATAGTGTTCGGAACATGCGCCATCGACAAGGCAGAGCGCGAGGAGCAAGCTGGTGGGAGTAGTAGCTCTACTTCAGCTGGCCACCATCTTGGCGGAGGTGGTTCTATTGGCGGCCAGCACCTAAATGCGTCCGCTTCTGCCGGATCAGTTCTGCTGCGAAAGAACGCCTACTCAACGCTAAATCCGAACAGCATCATGCCCAGTATCAAGCAGCTGTACGGCACAACGTGGTACAATACGCTACCATGCAAGGGAGACAGCAAGGTGACCCAGATAGGCGCAATGCCGGTGATAATAGCGAGCGGAGTGGATGCAGAAACGAAGGTACGAAACTGGAAGAGAATTAGATTTATCTCTGATCATAGACCCAATTGCTCAAAAATCTGGATCATATCAACATATTTTTTCCCCATTATTTAAGTAAAAAATAATGATTATGATAATCTAAACATCCTCAACATCAATCTTCACCATCAGATCCGCCCTGTGGTGTGGAACAACAAGGAGTTCGGGCATATCGACGTTGCTCCCGGTGCCACTAACAATCATGTGGAAACAACGTTTTCCAATGTCCGGTATCCTTACAACAATCACGGACTGTTCTACCACAACGTGAACAACAAGACGTCGAACACGATTTCGAGCACCCACCTAGAATTGAACGCGAGGATGCTGACGCAGAAGCAGACGAAGAGCACGCTGTCGCTCGATAGAGAAGAACTCTACAGGTACGTGGCAACAGATCAAGGGCCACTGACAGGAGCAGTGAACCACGCCGACCTAGGAGCCCATATAGACCATGCGAAGTACATTCCAAGAGGGCAGGACTATGCGAAGACAGCTAAGATACCGGTAGTAATTTTGACAAATAATTGGAATTTTGGTTTGCAACTTCTAAGCAGCGAGAAGTATTTTTGAAATTCAATTCTAGGATTCGTTGTAGTTGTTCCTGTGACATTCATTCAATTTTGTTCGAATCAAGAAAGAGCAAGAGTCGTCTCATTCGAAGGATCTATTTTTTTTTTCGTGTCAAAACTCCTACATCTTCATCATCATCATCATCATCCTCAGGTCGCGTCCCGGTTTCAGAGTCAATTTCTTGCACGCAATAAGGAGATGTGTCCAACACCCCAGGATAGCAAGAACGGTGCTTGCCCTGGCACTCGGGACGTTTCTGGTCCCTTTCGTTAAGGCTTCCCCTTAGAATCTATCTCTTTGTATAGCGATCCCTCAGCGGTATGTTGTACACAAATAAAAAGGAGATACTGATGCGTAAGTATCCTTGTGGGATCCCTGTAGGGATGAATTGCGAAAAGCTCTAACTTTTCCCATGGAAACAGCATTGCTTCCGCGCCGACGAACCTGAGCGCAATGGACGATTCGGCCCGCGCATTTTCAATGCAGAGAATTTGGGAGAGAGACCACTGGACTTTCCTATTTCTGGCATCGAGAGCAGACCGAACCCGGATCATATCACGAATTTTCTTAACATTGAGAAAATGGACTCTGGAGATGCTAACGTGAATATCGCCGTAGTCAGACCGGAAATGAGCTCGAACGTCGGGAAAGCGAGCTCAAACTTTCGATAGTATAACTACACTGGAGGATGAGGAAGCTTGTTGTACGAGAAAGTAGTTGATCTTGAAGCTGGGTCATAAACATAAGTTCTACTTGTCTGTGGAATCTTGTCACATCGATTCATCCCGCCGGTAGGTGCTGCATACCTATTTGGGATGCACAGAATAGAATAGAATAGAATAGAATGAATATGAATGTCCCTACAAGAACGATGCTTACTTTTACTACACCGAGCGAGGCGAGACGCAATGTTATAAGTTTGGTAGGAATCGAAATTAGCCTTAGCAACACGAGTACTAAACTGGTCAACTACATGTTGTTGTTGATGAAATTGAAAACCTTTACAGTCTTCATGATCATCTAGTATCGTAATTGTTCCTATTGGGAAAAAAAGGAACCACGCATAGGAGATCATCAAGAAGTCTTCCTCTATTATACCACATCTAGTTCTAGTATTCCAATGATCATATTGCGGCTCTTCAAGCAGAAAATGAACAACAAGTTTCGAAATTAGTAGTGTCTATTTGTGCGCATCGATTTCGGGCTACATCGGTATCCATCTTCATGTAAGTAACTCCTAAAGACATCAATAATATTAGTTCCCTTGTTAAGACACCAATTCAATATGATCAGAACCAATTGTTCAATATCAGAAATAGTACCTTCCACATGAACTTCTATCCTAGCAATAAAACACGATTACAAGTTATGTCCTCAGTGAAACCACGATTACAAGTAGTTATGTCAGAGTAGACTATAGTGTCAAATAGTATCTTCTTTGTGTGAGTGTGATCATGAACTAGAAAGGCTTATACAGTATGTAAGTAGAGACAATGTCCTCCCGTATAATGTAAGTAAGCAGATATCTAGTTCGATTTCGATGTCATTGTTCGTAGCATTTTTAGTACGTACCAGTACCACATCAGGGACGTAATATTCAAAGGTATTTGAAGATGTCGTTTACGTTTCGCTTGTTAAGCTTAAGGTCACCAGTAATACGATTTTCTCACTGGTTGGTCATGATCTTTACCCTTTGGATCTTGGTGGATCTTTGTGACTATTCAAGGACTCAGATCATGACCAACAAAATCAGAATAAGAAAAATTATATGTCGAACTACCTATCACTATCTTATCCTCAGCGCCAGTTCTACTTCCAAGGCAATATCAGCGAGCTTATCGGATCCAATTTCTATTTCGGTACAACTTTGTCATGTTTTTCAGTTTGATGAACAGAATCAGAAAGAAGTAAGAGCAATGAATAAGAACATTAAAGTAAGAAAGAGTACGGTGAAGATTCAAGAATATGCTGAATCTCCACGAGAACATGCTGAGTCTTTCTCCTCCATTTACCCGAACAAACGAGCAAGCGGACGTCGACGATGTCGAACTTCGTGGGTTTAGGATAAGGCACACTCGCAGGGCGGATCGCAATGAGGCTGCCCATCCCTCGTGTCGTCATCGTGTAGTCTTTCGTAGAATCGAAATGACCCTTTCGGAGGTAAGTAAGATGAAGCACGTCACACAAGAATCGCACAACTTGTTAGTCTTCCTCTTTCCTGTCAAGTGGTAGGGGGTTGCAATAGGCAGTTGTTGTCGGGGGTTGTAGTAAGTAGGTGGAGTAACACACGAATAGATAACTAATCTGGAGGCTGTCACGCTCTGGAACAAGAGCATAACGAGGCTCTCGAAATCGTACCTCTGCAATTGACGCATATTATAATTCATCAACCGTACGCGGGATACTTGGGGTCGACATAACACCAGCGGCAAGATCAAGCTAGGCGGCCCTGATGTGAGCAAAGCCGCAGAGTAGAAAACATCACATCAATACCAAGATAACCGACGCAGGCGTCCACAGGGAGAGCTACAGGACGCGACTTCATCTTTGTGGAGTGTTTTCATCTTCATCTTGTCAAGATCAAGTTTTTCGGGACTAAAAAGAAGTAGTACCGTAGAGGTAGTACAACCATTGACAAGAAGAGGCTTCTCTGAGGTGGAGTCTTCAAGGAGGTCAAATCGGGACGAGTAACAAGTACAACTCGTAGTACAAATCAGCACAACACGTGTTGTACAAGCAACTAGGACAACGAACTTTCACTTACTGGTGCGTAATTTAAATTATAGTTTATTTTCGCCATGGGAGGCGGACGGTCGTGGCAAAGCGCGAAGTAGGCCGTATCAAAGCCACTCTGACAAGTGAGGGACTGAGGAGACGCGGAGGACCTCGTCATCATGGAGGTTTTCCTAGATCATTGCCGAAAAGGCAAAGAGTACAGAACAGATCTGGAGGATAGACTCGAGCATGCTCGAAAGAAATATCAACGTACTTCTATGATCACTATGTATGACTTTAGAAGTTTTAGAAGCTATGATGAAGCATTGAAATGATTCCTAGTTGTACTTGAGCAGGTACAACGTAATCAAGTTTTTGAAGTACTGTCAGGGATCTGACTCTTCTGTAATCACCAAATCTATTCGTATTCTTCATCTACCAACTCGAACCTACTCTGTCCTAGCAGGTGCGGCTTGGCCGCGAAGCAGTGGACCCTCAACCTTAACCTTAACCAGGTGAGCTAGATTTCTCAGCCTACCAATATGGTCACGACCCGATGTACCTTGGCGCCAACGGCGGCGTCGATTATGCTAAACTATGGGGTCACACGAGCGCGACCATGCAGAGGTTACTGTGGCCCGCGAACTATTGGAAGCGCGTGTATTTCAGACGCAGAGAACAGGACGATCCGGATCCCGAACATAAGTATTTTCTTACAGATTTCTTGTCCTAAGGCTACTAAAATGTTATCGTTATAGAAGTGAGACTCCTAAAGCTACTAAAAAGTTATCGTTATAGAAGTGAGACAACTTAGACTTTGCCTTGAAGAAGTTGATTCATCTTCTCTGAACCTCTATAATTGTGCCAGGTCTCTCACCCGAGTTCCTAGCGCACCAGCGTCAAGCAGTACTCAGAAGCCAGAACTAGAGCCAATATCAGAAGTAGAAAAAGAGATAATACCACCCCCACCTCCACCAGAGCCCTTCGACGACCCTGTGCGACGGAGACACTTAGAGCCAATGTACCTAGACTTTTCAAGTGGTTGTTCTGGTGCTGGATATGGTTGGCTTAGAAAAAACTTGAATGGCTTTATGATCGGCATGATTTCGAAAAAATCTTCAACGAGTTCTACGATCAAAACTACAAAGAAGGTTCGCGAGACAATGCATAATTCTTGTCCAAACGATTCTCCCCTTCATCTCCAACCCCAAACTCAACACATCAGTCTCCCAGAAAGTGTGCCAGCAACCGAAGTATATTTGCAAAATCGGAACCGACACAAGCCAAACCTCCTGACGAGACAGGGCTTACCAGCGAGCCGAGTAGTAAAGACCCCACCGCAGCACTATAGCGCGCCTTCTCTGCGAACCGCAGCCAGAAGGCAGATAGGGAAAATATACAAGAAGGTATGTATTTTTCTGAAGAGAAATCTACTTGCTTCTTCTTGTAGATCTACTGTGATACTGGAAGTCTGTATGCAAGAAGATAAAGCCTGTATACAATCACAAGCCAAGGAATAGTAGACTTCTTCTCTTTCCAATTGCGATCCCTGGCGACAATACCTTCATCTAGCGTATCATGATGTGTACGTTGTGAAGAGGAGAGATCATGACGAGCTAATTATACTTCACCACTCGCACGGATCCATCCACCTTCAGGGCAAGATATCTGTAGAGTCGCCGCAAGTGTTTTTCGTGCCCTTGCAAGAGGAAGGTGCCAGCGACATCGAGCCGGGGAGGGCGCGCGGCACCTGTCGCGTCATCAAAGAGGAGCCTCTGACGGAGCTCGAGGTGCAAGACGTTCTTGCAGGTATGGAAGCAGATGGATCTTATAGCGGATCTGAGCGGGGCAGGGAGAAGCGAAAGGCAGAAGCGCAAGCGCTTGCACAAGCAAGAAGAGACGCTGAAGCGAAGTTGACGCGAGTAGCTGTGCCGATGCCACCATGGTTATGGCTCTAACTAAAGTAACTAAAGTAAAACTAGATCTTTTTCAGAAGATGGTAGCAGACTGAGACTCAAGAACCATATCCTCCTTAACTTTTCCTAAATCACACCTTACCAACAAATATGAGGTCATCTTCTTGGGATATTTATATTATTTTTTTCCTCAAAACATTCATGTTCCTCTCTACCTTCTCCAAAAAATAAGAGGTCTTAGTCTAAAATCTGATTTCATCAAAACATTCATGTTCCTCTCTACCTTCTCTACTTTTTCTACCCTGCGCCTCCTCCCCCCTCGTTCTCTCTCTAACCTCTCCCCGAGGCAAAGACGGCAAGAAGCTAGGGGGTTATCCGTTCGTGCGGAAGTGGTTGGAGGATGATGTGAAGGTGCTGGACAAACCCTACTTTCCGAAGACGAGACCGAACGAACCCTTCACATTCTTCAATACTCTGGGGAAGAAAAATGGTACTACTTATTCGATAAACTACTGAAGTAGGCAAGTTTGAGTTGCTGACTGAAATCAAAGAGTCTTGACTACAATAATTCCTGAGCCTGATGTTTCGTGCCACTTTAGCTTGAGGTACTAGAGGAGGTTGTTGTTGTTAATGTAAAAATTGATTTCCAACTCCTCTCGTGGTTTCTTCGCCTCCAACCACAACAACAGCTTACCAACTCCAACACAAGGTATTTACCCCAACATGCTCCCAATAAGATAGGTACAACTTCTTGAATTTTTGAATTCAAAAAAAAATTGACGACAAACACATCTCCTCTCTTCACGACAGGTAAATACTTTTTCAAGGGCGCTGGGTTTAAGAATGGGAACTTTCCATATCAGAAGGAGACTCACAGGTCGAAGAAGTATGAGACGGAGTTTTTTGCCTCGTTGCCAATGCGGAAGGACTACAATCTCATCACCAACGATGGCTATCCGATCGAAGAAGATCCTGAATACTGAGGAGACTGAAGAAGATCAAGAACTTGAATACTGAGGAGGACTGTGGTTATGTCCAGCTTTTATCCATCCTTCTCAGTCTCAGCATCTTGGTACCCTTTTGCCTTGCTTTCCCATAAAATGCAACGGGAAACAAGAGGACGAGATGAGGGCGCCGGGATGAATAAAAGCTGGCGACTCTAATGTTGTCGGACGATCATAGTTCGTTGTGGTTAGACGGCCGTGGTTCTTGTTCTGGTATGCAAGGAGTACTCTTTATTGCTGTTGTTGCTGTACAAGATGTTTTAGAAATTTGTTGACCCAGTGCCAGTCCTACATGAAGACGACCTACTACTTATTGCTAGTAGGTACTGCTACTTAACCGACGACCAGTGGTGTTGCATCTATTTATTGAATCATGTGGATATAATCACACAAGTTAACACTGTTACAGTAAGACGAGCATTCATGTTGAAATTAGCATTTCTTTTCCTCATTCCAACAAACATATTGAATCATTGTACCGAGCTACCTGGGCATCACCAGACTGATATTAGATTCACCATTAGATTGACTGTCTGTGTATTATTGTCATGGTCTGTGTATTATTGTCATGTTGCTACATTTCCGCAAAACAAAGGATGATAAGTACAGGTTACTGTTAATGCTATTCCCATAGAATTTTTTACGTTGTACGTACGCATATCGACATCCCTTGAACAGCTGAAACAAGGTTTGCGTGTTCCAATTATCCCGTTACTTAGGATTAACAAAATATATTTATATTCACCGTTAACTATTCAAAGGAGAAATTAGCATGGTCATGTGCATGTGGTTTTTGTATTATACGTCCTGGAAGAAACACGACGAGCACTTGTCGTCATTCTCAACACGAAGTGATCATGGACTGAAATCTTCACGATACAATGAAACCCCGGTCCCCTCTGACAAACACACAAGCAATCACAACATCGACCCATTCCCATAACGTTTCTAGTCATCAGTTGACGTTGTCATCAGGATATCATGACAACTGACCCCTTTATCTTCTCAACGTTTGTATAGGATCAACCATTGCGAAGATGCCAGGGCTTATACCCTCTACCTCGGACCACGAGGATTGCATATGATTACGACAATGCGGTATCTTACAGATACCGCATTTCCGTATAATGTCGTCTTGTTGCTGGTTTGATTCGGTTGATCGACGACTACTGAGCACGATCGTCAGCTTTGTCGATCTCGGTTTTAGTATCTGTGTCCTTGATGATTGTGAAAGGATCGCGCGGTTTCGCCTTCGGGTCGGTGATACCGATATACAATCTGATATCAACATGCAGAGCAGAAGATCCAAGAACCTTGTTTGTTGGTCATCGAGTACTCGGTGACAGGTTCGGTCTCTGTGCTATCGTAAGAGAACATGACTTTGATCAGGTACGACTGATTATCTACATCCACAACTAGTACCAGCATAAGAACACTGTAAGGTTTTTGATATTATTGCTATTGTTTGCTACTACCCCAACACAATCAAAAATTTCTGCTTCTCTAAGAGTAGATAGGGTTAGGGTGGCCGCCCCTTGATAAAAGTAGACAGTGACCCGGTTTTTTCCCCATGCTACCCGTCCCGCCACGGGAGACAAATCGAAGCTCACGACACATGTGTGTGACTGAGAACATTTTTGCGTAAAGCCTAAAATACTAAAAACTGGTGCGTTTTTACCACTACTAGTACCTTTTCACCACTCGCGTACCTTTTGACTACTACTTGTACCTTTTACCTACTACTTCTAAGTACGTTTCTTCAACTGCTGGCACTAAAACTACCACACCTTTTACCTACTACAACTATGTACTTTTCTTCAACTGCTGGTAGTAATACTACCACAAGTACTAGTACTACTACTAATCCCACGACTACTAACCTCCACTAAAGGATACCTTCGAACAAGAAGCAAAACGCTTCATCAAAGAAGCAATCATGGGTGTTGACGGTGTTCCCGGTTCCCGTGGTGGTGGCCTCGCTGGCCTTGTCCAACGACGTGTGGAGGGAGAAGTGACCAGCTACGACGCCTACCTTCGCGGCCATCTGGATAAACGCTTTGGCTCATTCGCTGAAGAAATGCTAGCCAAAATGAGTCAAATTCGAGAAGATATGCGTGTGGAATTGAGGGAGTCGATTCGGAAAGAGATTGAAGAACAGCTATCGGATGATGATGCTGACAAAAGCGAGGACGGGGTGGCATCGGAAAAAGGCTCTCAGGGAACAAAGGGGTTACTGTTGAAAAAGATACGAGGGGAAGTGGAGAGTGGGTACTTCTAGAATGCTTGTTCTTTCCTCCACTTCCTCGTAGTTCGTTGTTGTTTCTACTTGGTCGTACGATCTACATCTTTGCTCCTTGAGTCCTCGGTCATCCTCAAGAACATCGCTCAAACCTCTATCATGTTGAGATTACTACTAACTTCCATGTCTGTCCCTGCTCCTCCACCATTTGGATAAGTAATCTCATCCACCACTCTTGGCTTTACCTCTCCTAGGTGCTCCCGCGTGGTCGCTGAGGATGTTACCAAGCTCGAGGAATCTTTGGTTGCACAGATACGCAAGGTGGAGACTGACTTAGAAAGTGGGATTTCGAATTTTCGAACAGCCTTTGATGAGCAAGACACCCGTTTGGATGACCTCGTGAGCAATATGACGCAACTACGGGAGACAAAACTGGAGTTAAGGCTACAAGAAATCCATCTTCCCTAGCACCATCTTCTTGGTTCCGTTTTTGAAGTGAAAATGATAAAAGAGGACCACCAAGGATCATGCAGCTGAAGATGTTGGGCCTCTTTTAGTTCTAACGGAGGTCGCCGAGCATAGGGCGCATCGCTCTGAAGTGAGCGAGCACAGGGACAGCATGCAGTCGGAAATAGAGAAGGCATTGGCAGAACAAGATGAAGAAGTGAAAAAAGTGGAGACTCGCTTGCAGCAGTCACTATCGGACTTGAATACGCGTGTGACACGGCAAAATGAGGAGGCAGATAAGCATGCGGAAACGCTTACAGAATTGATAAAAATGCGGCATCGTGCGCATCAAGCGGCGATCACAGCGCAGGACCAAAAATTGACTGAATTCAAGCGCAACATGGAGAAGGAACTCGCACGACTTGAAACAGAGGATATCATAAAAAGGTCCTCCAGTGCCAGTGGCACAGTTGCGCTGGCGCAAGATCAAGAGGAGATGACGATGATCAAGTCGGCTTCAGCTACTGCTCAGCTACGTGGAGAACAAGATGAACATGAAGCTGTAGCTGACCAAGAAGAATTTGCGAAGCACAACACCTTAATGGAAGAAGATGACGAGTTCGAACAAGACGGCTTCCAGGTGGGAAGTACTCTTCTTGGTATCACCACAAACAGTAAGAAAAAGAAAGTACTAGACATTAAGACAGTAATACAGTATAATTCATCTTGAGAAGCATCTTTGGAGGCCCCTTTTTTAAGAGGAGAACACATCGAAGATGCTTTCCAAGATGAAGATAAGTAAGCTCTAAAGACAACATGCGTGGAGCCGAAGGCGAAATCGCAAGTGTACAGATAGAGGATGGTGAGGAGAACAATGCTGCAATGGACGAGTTGGCAAAGGCGAAAGCGAAATTGCGCAGGGTCACTAAATTCGGCAAAGAAGCTCTACAGAAGCCTACAGCTAAAGCAGTTAAGGGGTCCGGGTCTTGAAAACCAAATGTGTACGTTTGTACAGGACAGTTTTTGAATTTCTCATAAACGAGATGCACCTCTCGATCTTCTAAGACCGCAGCGCAGCAGGAAGAACTGGTCCGAAGAGGTTCGATTCCCGTGTCAGAGCAGATGGCCTCTATTCGCGCTTCTAGAATGTCAAAAATGCAAAAAATGGAAGCAAGCGTGCGACGATCTGAGTTTCAGCTTCGTCTGCAAGCCACCGAAAACAAGACAGCAGAACAGACGATGAATCGGCTATCTCTTATGGCTAGTTTGTCTTGAACGTTTGCTGTTGGTTAGTTGTACTTCCATACATGTATGTTTGCTATTCTTGCTTGATGGTTCTATAGGTACTATGTTAGAAATATTGACTGGTATGGGTTCTACTGTGCTTCCAAGAATATGAAGATAGATGAACATTTTTGTAGTCAGATAAAATTTGTAATTGTAATATTACTGGACGATGATGAAGAGTAGCTATTTTTGGTATAACCACTTGATCTAGTTCTAATGAGAAGCGAAGAACAGGAGCATTCGGAGTACAAGCACAGGTAGGACCACTAGGACAGGTCGCGACGCCAGCCGACGTCGCGCCGTCCACTGACGCATCAAGAGAGATGAAGCAGCACCAGGCGCGTTTGTCCACCGCAGTCGCCCACCGACTCCAGCACTACTCGCAACGGAAAAACAAAGCTCCGCAAGAGAAACCTGTCCCAACGGTCCGCAATACGGACGAAACGACTGTTGGTAGACTAGCAAAGTCCGTTGTTAATGCACCTGTGATCGTGAACAGCCACATGAGCGACAAGAACGACGATAATGCACGCAGTAACAACGTCAATGCGCCGCGTCCATCAGGAGTATTATCTCCAAGGACAGGGAAAACTATTATCAGTAATATCATGGCTTCGTCTTCACCTCCTACTACTCCTAAAGCGTCGAACAAGAAAGCACAGATGTCGATGAAGAACTTGGACCTCCTCAGTAGCCCGAGTCCGAGAGCAGTGGCTGCGAAAGCTCAAGATCAAGATGAAGATGATGAAGCTGAAGGCGAAGAGAGAGGTAAAAACAAGCTTACAGTGCTTTTCTCCAAGAAAAACCTGGCTAAATTAGATGCCTTGTCTCCTCGCTCGGCTGCAGCCGCAACCGAAGATGAAACTTCTAAAAAAGTAGACCAAGAGCAGGCTCTTCAGGGCGCTGGTGCGAAGCCTAGTATCACATCATTTGGTGGGCATTTTGGAACTGATGGTGCGAAAACACAACTAAAAGTTGAGGAGTCAGATGATAGTTGGAGTTCTACAACCAGTAAAGAAGACGGAGACGGAGTAGAGAGGCTGAAGATACTAGACGGATCTGCTCATGTAGATGTTGGTGCCCAGCTGCCCCAAGTGGACAACGTAGTCGACGGGAATACAGAAATTAAGGCGTACCGTAATTCATCCTAAGAAGCAGCTTTGACCCCTTTACTAAGGAGGAAATGCGTCAAAGATGCTTTTCAAGATGAATATAAGTCTAAGGTCTAAAGAAAGTGGTCACGTTGGCGGGGTCGATGCCACAGTCGACGCTCGCAGCAACAAGAACCTCATTTTTGCCGATGAGCAAGCAGAAGCATTGGGCTTTGCGGTGGCGTCAGCCGTGGCAGAAGCCGTTGCCGAGGAGCGCCGAGTAACGCGCGCTATGCTGGCAGAAACGTATGATGTGCTGCAGGAGGACATCAGTCGCGTAGGTGCCGAAGTAGTTGTGCAGGACCAAGGGAGAAGGACGCAAGGGACAAGCACGTTGATGAAGACGAGCCTCGTCAGCCTCGGAGGTGATCTGCGAGATCCGGACTATCTAGTGGAACGCATATCGCAGTTTTCGCGTGAGGTGGAAGAAGAAGATTACGGTCTTATTATAAATCTAGATGTTCTATGGTCTTACTTCTATCTCCGAGGTCTTATTATAAATCTAGATCTTCTACTATCTCCTAGTACTAGAGTGGTCTAGATGCGACTTAAATCATGCACACCCTCATGATTAAAGCCGGCTTTGATTTGAGTTTGTCTTTGACGGCTTCGTGGTGAAAGTTGCGTTTGATTTGATTTGTGCTCGTCTTCGTAAAGGTTGCGTGATAGTGAACAGTCATCTTGCTAATGCTACTTAGAAGTTTCCCTCATGCTGAGGCCACCAAATTGAAACTCTTCTAAGCGAAACGAGGAGACATGGAAAACAGCCTCTCTCCCGCACACCGAGGCAGTGCTGCTGCCGCAGGCATGTATTTGTCATACGGTGGTGGTAATAGCATGCAGCAACTTAATAGTTATGGAGCCTCCGTGGATCATGACATTGTCAATGCATTGCGGAACGAAATGAAGGAGATCCGTGAAGACCGTGTCGCTTTGAGACAGAGGATGTACCAACTAGAGGCGCGGGTCGAGATCATACAGGAAACGACTTCTGCGCCGAACAAGGATTCGGTTGGAGCTGCTGCTCTTGCTGCTGCTAGTGCACTAAAACCGACTCTCGAAGAAGACGCTGACGGCAAAGTGGACGAGTCCAACGAGCTCCAAGTCTCCTCGAAAGAACAAGAAAGGCCAGTTGTTGAACAACAACTACGGCAAGAAGAAGAAGAAGAACTTCACACACCTAAAAAACAAGTTCAAGTTGGTGAAGATCAAGAGGAACAAGCAGAAGAGAATGCTTCCGAGTCTGAGGAGGGTGGGATAGCTGCTTTGCCGTTTGCTGGGGGGACGAAAGTTACGGGTAACTTCAACCCACCTCCACGAGCATCTTTATTTGGTCGTTTATTTCTACTTGAAAATATAAATTTGATCCTAAGGGTTCTCTTCTTGTTTTTCCTTAGGATCAAATTCAGGTTACCAAATACCGGAACCATTCAAGATGATGATGTTCTAAGAGACGCTGGGTTGTCGGTACCTCTAACACGGTAAAAGCCTATCTAGATCATTTGAATGAGAAGCAGCAGGTCAGCGAAAGTCCTGTAGACCAGGTCAATACCATCAAGAGAAAAACGGCCACAGCAGAATTAGCCTTCTTACCGAATGAGACTACAATAGTAAAACTAGCCAATGTAGAGCGGGAACTTCGTCAAATGATTGGGTCCATTTCTGCGAAGATTGAGGCCTGTGAGGTAAAACTACGTGCACGAGATCTAGTTGACCAAGACAGCGTGGAGCAACAGAGGGCAGCGGCAAGACGCTTGAGCAAGATCGAGCGACTTGCTGAGCAGCTGGAGTCGAAAGCTTTTGCGTCTGAGGCCAGGCTTCGCTCAACAGAAGCCGAGAATCGCCGTAAAAGCGAAGCAGGTGCAAGAAAGACATCTTCATCAAGGATCTCTACTTTGTTGAAAACGTTGGACCACAGTACAAGTGATGCCTCGAGAAAAAGCTACAACTACAGGGGCAAAAACTACGTAGGCGCAGCTGCAGACAACTATGTTGAAACCGGAGTAGGAGTTCCACTAGATGACGAGCAGGAGCAGCTCGTTGAGCGGTCTCCTACAAGTATTGCACACCATAGGCGTCCGGAAGGGATAACTCCATTAGAGCGCGTGACGGAGAGGGTTGACACTCTCGAGACGCAAGTTGAAAAGCGGCTATCGGCGCTCGACCACATGATCGAAGATATGCGGACGAGGAGGAACAACAGCAATATTTTTAGCAGGCCAGAGTCTCTGAGCTTTCCCTCTGGTGCTTTACAGAATAGCAGAGAATCTGCGTCAATTGGACAGCTACAAGAGCGTGGCAAAGCAGGCGCCGCATCAGTTGTGATGGGAAGCAACCTAGCGGCGGAGGAAAGGGTGACAAGGATGACTACAGCACAACTTCAACAGCGTGGTGCGGGTGCTGCTTCAGTTATCGCGGTTGAGAGCAATCTTGCAGGTGGCACCGACACCGTCGAAACTACCACCACGCGGGCTACTGCAGCACAGCTGGAAGAGCGTGGTGCGGGTGCTGCTTCAGTTGTCGTGATGGAGACAAATCTTGCAGGTGGCACCGACACCGTCGATACTACCACCACGCGGGCTACTGCAGCACAGCTGGAAGAGCGGGGGGCGGGTGCTGCTTCAGTTGTCGTGATGGAGACAAATCTTGCAGGTGGCACCGACACCAACGAAACGACCACGCGGGCTACTGCAGCACAGCTGGAAGAGCGTGGTGCGGGTGCTGCTTCAGTAATAGAGGAAAGAACAACGGATGAAGAGACGAAAAATATTGACGGCGATGAGGCCCCAGAGGAAAACGAAAAAGCAAATTCTCTTAACGGAGACGCTGGTGCTGATACTCCTCCTTTGCAACAGACAGAGAACATGCTTTCACCCAGAAACCCAGAGAGTGACAAAAGCGCTGGTGCTCCTGATCAAGATCAAGAATCGGCTATAATGAGGAGTCCTAGAACTCTCGTGCGGTCACCTAGAATTCTGCAGGCTCAGCCTACCGGACACGGCCATGACGATGATGACCCTACGTTTTCTTCGTCCAATTCAGAGACAGAAAAAAACTTTCTTGCACGACCTTCAGGAGAAGGAGGAGAGGGCGGCAAAAACGAGAACCCGCGACCACGTCAGGAGTCGAGCTTTTTCGTGAAGCAAGCCGACGCGGAGGCGCTAGAAAAGCGTATCATGCAGCATTTCTACGATCTGCAGGCTCACGTTGAGACGCAACAAATGTTACAGATGAAAATCGTCCAACGTCAAACAGAAGAAGGCAACAAACTTGATGAAGCGACAACGAGACTGGCTGAGTATGAAGCCCAGTGGGAAGAACGTGGGTTCGATCGTGAAGCTATAACTCGCACGGAGTTCCTAGAGCACGTTGATTCGATCGTGAAGCCTCAAATTGCTGCTGTGATTCAGGATTGCAGCAATATGGAGGAAAAGATAGCTCTCGTGCAAGCAGACGTTGCGACTGAAGTGATGCCGCTCTGCAAACTGAACAAAGGCGACATCGAGGCAATGGGAATTCGCGTAGATGCGAATGCCAAGCAAGTTGGCGACACAGCTGCAGAGGTGGTGGGAACACGACAGGAAATACGCGCATTATTAAGGCCGCTAGGTTTTCACTATCGTCCCATGTGGACTGTGTTGAGACTGAGAGAGGTCCCGTTGGATTTAACGGGGAACCCAAGAAGGGGGAAAGCAAGAGGGGGACTCACCGCAACAGGGGAATCATCGTGAAAAAAATGACTAGCGCTAACATTGGGAAAAAGTTGCGCGGCTACGGCGGCGAGAGAAGCGATTAACCGTGCTACCGCTAATGCGACCGTAGCGATGCTGCAGCAGTGGCAGGTGACCGCAGAACAAAGACTAGCTGCCGTAGAGTCAACATCCAGTAAGTCTTCATCTGTACGACCAGGTGCTACAACAGCTTTGAGTGAAGAAGTCCAGAACATGTTGCAAGAAAAAGACCAGCTTGAAGGCGGTTTGCAACTAGAAGGTGCATCTACGTCAACTAGCGAGATTCTTGTCGCACGAGAATGTACGAGGAAAAGCAGGGCGTCTGTTTTTGGTCCGAAAAAGAGTCGAAGGTCCTCTGCTGCAGCTATGGCTGCTCACCGTGACGAGAGCACGACTGCCGCCCTTGTCGATATTGCTCAAGACCGTCGCAGCGCAAGGTTCAAAGCAGACGGACAAGGAGAGGCTTTTCGCGACGATGTAGGAGACGCTGTTGCATCGTCGTTGACAGAAACAGGAGCCGCACCAGGAGCAGCCGGTGAAGTGATCAACACTGGAGGAACGTTAAAAAACGACGCATCATCACCAAGAACAACAGCCATCTTCTCATCTGAAGAAATGAAGAGCAGAAGGTCCTCAATGGCAGAGGCCAGAGCAACAGGAGCTTCATCCACTGGTGCAGCAAATGTTGTCAGTACAGATAATTATATGCTACCACCACAACAACCATTTTTAGATGCCAAACAGCTTGAGGCTTTCACCTTGCCTCTCCTAGAAGATCTAGAATCACGCTTACGCCTGGAATTCGCAGAACAAGTACGGGAAAACGCCTCAGCGTCCGTGGAGGAGGTTTTTCGGGCCAAACTAGATGCCGAAGTATGTCCGAATCAAGAAGCTCTACGTCAGCAACTTGAGGAAGCTGTGACGTCGGCATCGCGCGATCGCCGCGAAATCGAGCGCCGACTAACCGAAGAAACACAAGCTTCTCAAACGAGGTCTCAAGCTTTCAAGGACGACTTGGCGAATGTGGTGGAACGTGTCAATAACAGCGAGACACAAATACTAGCATTGGTCGAAAAAGTTTCTAAGATTGTTGATCATGATGATGTTGGTGTTGCCGACGGCGGAGGTGCTCACGCTCATGCTGTAGCTAGACGAACAACTACCGATCGACATACTCACACTGAACATACTGGACTTTTGGGGGCGGTCGACGAAGCAGTACCTGAGTACCCGACCACATCTGTCGACAGCTTTGTAGTCGATCAAAAAGATGAGCACGGCGGTGCAAACAAGAAGAACAGCACAATCTCGACACTGGGAGAATCCAGAGTATCGTCCTCGTCTACTTCGGGACCGGCGGCGACTCTGCAAGACGAAGAACAAGTGAAAGATGGCAGCACTTCTCGAAGAACGCAGAGTGTTCAGAGAGACGAGGTGTCTAGAAGTGCCTCTATGTCCTTATCATCCTCTTCTCATGAGCCAACATCAGAACCACGGAAAGTAGAACGCGCGTCTCGACGCCCCTCAGGAGCTGCCGAATCGATGTCCCGAGAACTGCATCAGGCAAGGCAAGACCTCCAGGATCTACGAAGTCGTGCGAGTTCGCGAGAGACGAAGAAGCAGAATGCCGCTAGCACAGTTGACGACGAAACCGAGGTCCTCCTCGAAGAAGGTCCCCCTGTTCGCGGAGGAACTGCGGTCATGGCTCCAGTGCCAGAACAGGATGCTCAAGGGATCTCTATAGAGACCACTAGGGGGGCATCGATTCGCGCAAGTGCAGCTCAGAGTAGTCTAGGTATTTTGCGTCTAAACGATCGCTATCCGACTAGAATGTCGACTGGGGGAGATGGCGGAGTGGATAGTAGTACAAAGAAATCTGTGCAGTTTTCTGGTGCATCTAATTCCCTACTGCAAGCCTTTCCACATGACGAAAATGCAAATGGACACATTGACTTCCTGAATAGCAATAACGTCAACAACAGAAGCAGCGTGCAGGTTTGTTCTAAGGACGACCTAGCACTAGTGGAAAAGCATCTCGAGTCCGACCTTGTCAATTGTGAGAAGGATATGCACGCTCTTCGCACGCGTGTGCTGGCCTTGGAAATGACGACGCGGGACTCTCTAGCCGTGAAAGTCCAGCAACTCGAAACGCAGTTGGGGGAGCAGAAGCGACGAAACAACACGATTGTGCAGGACTTAGCAGCAATCAGGCTCAGCGTTGATGCCACGTCGAATGCTCCTGCGTTGGGTGTAGGAGAGATAGAAACTTCTAGAACTACACTTCAATCGCGAGCAACATCCTTAGCTCCGCCAGTCCTCTTGGAAACTACAGCACTAGTACAACAAGGTCAAGTTAGTAGGACAAGGGTTAGTGGTGAGAACAGTGGTCTAGAACAAGTAGGTCGAGTACCACAATCGCTAGCATCTTCTATCGAGCGACACAAAACTTCTGTAATCGCAACTTCTGGCCCCACTCCTAGAAGTGCATTAGAAGAAAGTGCTGCAGTTCTTCCACTGGAGGCTCTTGCTGACGTCGCTGCAAATAGAAGTACCGCAGTACTAGAGAAAGTACGAGGAGCGGAGCTGCTTGGAGCACCAGCTAGTTGTAATTCCGACGATCTGCTTCGTGCCAAAGCAAGCGGCAAACAAACACCCAGTTTCGTCGACTCCCGACAATTTCTCTTATTACGTTCTGCCGTATTGGGTCTTGCGGCGACTGTCGAGAAGAATGGGGAGAAACTGCGAACGCTTTCCGCCAACCCACGACTACAACTTGGAACAGCGCCTACAACTGCAGAACCGTCAGAAGATGGAGACTCTTCGGTTTCTTCATCTTCTGAGAAAGGTTCTTTTCACGCCTCTCACGATGACATCGGCGATTTGTCGAGGTTCGACGATGTTGCTTCAGACGAGCAAGATGCTCTCGTCGAGGACAAGAATGACGCCATCACTGGCACCAGTGCATCATCAGTATCATCATTCTTGTTGCAAGAATCAAAGTACAACAAAGCAAGCACCAGTCTCCACAAGCTTAGAACTAAAGACGAAAGTACCGAAGAATTTGACGCTTTCCTAAAAGCTACTGAAGAGATGCACAAGAGTTTGGCGGAGCGATTGCAGCATCTCGAACGTGCCCAAGAGGAATTTGCTGAAAGAGAAAGAGAAGTGTCTAGAAAAATCTCATTGATTCCAGCTCATCTGACAACCTCTACACGAGGAGCAGGAGGATCTTCTTTGTCCTTACCACCTGCGGCCGGTGGTAGTCAGCAGCAACTTCTAACTTAAGGGTTTTGGAATTGCATTCCTCACTGCCATCCTTTTCCCTGACTCTTTTCCTAGTAGAAAAGAGACCAGGTGGGACGAGGCCAGGGATGTTCTGAAGAGTGTGAGGCCAGGTGGGATGTTCTGAAGAGTGTAATTTTTCCGTAACCTCTAACTAAGACAAACACAAGAACCGTCCTCAATATCCTCTCCAGACCCACTTGGGAGAGCAGTCGAAATGAGCCTCCGCGAGGCAGGTACGATGAGCACTTCCTCAACAACTTCTGTCATTAACTACGTTGAGGAGGTTAGCACGGTAGCGGCTGTGCTGGTAGACGACAAAGTAGAGAAAATGAGCAAGAGTATTCGCCTCGACTTGTGGAACACCTTGCAAGAGATGAACCTGGCGATGAACGAGAAGTTGCAAGCTATGCTCAGTGAGGGTGCTGATTTGCGGTCAAGTGAGGCTTCGACGGTGTCGAGAAACACATCTTCTAGAGAACAAGGTAGGGATGATATAATTGGTCAAGCTCCTGCTGAAGGAAAGAGATCAGTGCGGTTTTCGGAAGCAGATCATGCAGTTAGTCTTGAAAATGCTGAGACTCTTGCAGCTGGTGAAATGTCATCTAAGGATGGAGATGGTGCTACATCTTCTTCTTTGAGAGTTGTTGCATCCTCTACTTCCTCTCCAGCAGGTCTTACAACAACGGAAGAACCCAGAGATAGCGCCACTCGCGAAAGAGGAAAAAATAAGAAATTGTCCAAGAAATTATCGATGCAATTGAGTCCTCGAGCATTGAGTCGAGCAAAAACGGGAATAAGTTCTGATCGGATATTGCGGGATACGCGTACAGTACTATCGACCGACGTGGAAGAGCAAGTGGCAGCCTTAACAACAAGACTTGCAGAACTAGAAAAGCAGTTAATGGCAGCTTCCTCGTCAATGCAGCGGTCATCATCTCAACAAAGAGAGAAGGATATTGAGTATACCAGAGGTTCTACCACATCTGCTTCGGCTTCAATAGGTGGAGATGCTCTTGGTGGATGTCTTACCATTACGAACAAGAAAGACGACAACGATAAACTGCTGAAGAAGATGTACACTGGTACTCTACAATCTACCTCACCACGCGAATCGAGTCGCGTCTTTGCTTCTTCGGTGGCTGCAGATGTTACGAAAAGTGAAAGTCTTTGTCGTTCTTCATTCATCTGATTCATTGCATCTTGCAATTTTTCCTTCTTGTAAGTAGATCCGCATCCTCGTCCTTCGCAACCGCAAGTACTAAGTAAGGTAGAAGTGTCAAAATTTGTTCTCTTCTCATTCTCTAATGGTAAGCACGATCCTGATGGAGTCGAGTGGTCACCGAAGTTGACGATGATTGCCAACGAAAGTACTAGAACTTCGTCGACGAGCACCAAACAAGACGACAACAATGCCGCTGTCGAAGATGATGCACCAAATTCTGCTGATGCAGGAGATACTCCCGATCTTGCTGCAGTTCTAACTAGTATCGAGCTTCAGCAGCGAAGAGCAGACGAAGCTCTTCTTCGGCTGCAGAGCGAACTGGCTTCGATAGTACGAAGACAAGAGTCTAGTGCTGATGAGATTGAGGAGAAATTGCAGAATCGGATAGATACTCTTCACGGAGATTTGCAAGCGGCAGAATTGAGGCTGTTAGACCGAATCTCGGAGAACACAAGTGGAGTAGCCTTGTTGTCTTCTGAAAGCAAAGCAGCTCGTCGTGAGCAGATGAAGGAGAACGATGTTCTTGTCCTCGGTGGAGAAGAACGAGTGAAGGACATACTAGCCGCAGAGCTAGAAAGGTCTCTTGTGGATGTGCGTGCGCAACTCGATGCACGTCTTGCGAGCGAGGTGGCGAAGTTGGATGCCAAGAAAACACAAACCTTCTTGAAAGCAGTGGATGAGAAAATTGCTATTGCCGGACAAAAGTTGGGAGACCAACTACCTGTTGTAGTATCTACTCCACCGATTTCTTCATCCGAAACAAACGAGGCACCGATGAGGCCCTCTTCGAGTACAGCCAATCTCTCAGCGTCAGCTGCCAAGGAAAACCAAATATCAACTCGACTCGAACTCCTGCAGAACCAGACTTCCTCTCTAGAGACACGACTCGCTGCCCAGGAGGAACAACATCGAGCCCTCGATGCCAAGCACTCAGTGCAACTGGAGACCATTAGCCAACTCTTAGAGGCCCAACAGACTGTACAACAAGAGCAAGTGGGATTGATGCAAAGGAACCTACAACAGTTAACAAGTTTGGAGCCAAGAGAAGGGCAAAGAGAGACTTCCTTATTTGAGCAATTGTCGAGGAGTCAGGGATCCGCGTTTGATTAAGGGTTGCCACATTACATCTCCCACTAGCAACATCGTTGACCTCTTTTCAAGTACAGAGAATAGGTCAATAAGGGCTTTATCTGAAGAATGTTGTAATCTGGCAACCTCTAACTTGATCCGTCGTCAGGAACTCAAGGGTCCGTATTTGACCCTTTGTCGAGGACTCAGGGTTCCGCTTTTGTGCCCACAGCCGAACAAGCAGAGCCAGTGAAGATCACCACACCTGCCGTTCTTGCTACTAGTGGAATCACAGCAGGAACCGCTGCTTCTAGTGGCTCCTCAGCCTCCAAAGCAACAGCAACAGGCAAAAATGACAACAAGACCCCTGAAGAACCTGATGCTGATGCACAGAATGATCAGAATACCCCTTTGATCTCTTCTTCTCCTTCAAACAGGCCACCTTCAGTTCGATTTAGAAAGAGCCGTGAAGAATTGATGGCGGCTGCAGGACTCAGCCCTACTGTGCCGAAGAGATCATCTACGAGTTCAACGACAAGGACTAGAAGCCAGTCTGAGCTGCCAGTGAACAAACGGAGCAGTGGATCTGCTTCACGAGCATCGATTACAACACTTCTGAATTCGTCTGCTAGAAGTAAGAGCATTAGCCTCAATGCTGGTTCTGCTGTTGAAGAACAAACATTAAAAACATCAGCAGTTCATCTTGTGAATGCCGATCGTGCTGAAACTTCATCAACAACGACGGAAATGAGTGGGAACAAAACTGAAAGCATTTTCGCGCAAGCCAAGGCCTCTGTTGCGAACGAGCTACAGGATGTGCAACGGCGAATCGACTCGAAGACTGCTCCGCTGGAGGACGGAGATGCTCTACGTGGTCCCTCTGGAGGTGGTCCAGATCTGGTTCTCGCACAACGCGAAGAAGTGGAGAAGCTTGTAGAGGACAGGTTTTTGACATTGTCCGCAGACTTAACGAGCAATGTTGCACGTATCGTTGACGATTTGCTGGTAGCATTTAGTGCAAACATTGGAGAAACGATGACGACCGATGATTATCAACGCTCGAGTGGTACTGGTGTGGTATCTTTTGCGCCAACGGCGGAGATCCGTCAGCTTAATGCTGATAGTGGAGACTCTGGGTCTGGCGAAGATCTTTCTTCGCCTTCACAACCTCCTCGTCCTGGCAGTGGGAACATGATTCCCCCACAAGTGTCAGAAGATGCTCAAGTTCTTGGACGTACTACACCAGATCCAGACTTCTCCGCGAGAACGAGCTCGAGTACTAACAGGGTAGTTTCAGTTTCTAAAAATCGCCGCAGTAACTCTGCAGATTTCTTAGGTCGTCGGACTCGGCAATCTTCCTTGCATCTACCAAGTGCACCAGCACTCTCGGATTTCGACCTTGAAGACATTATGGATGAATTGGAAGGCTCCCTAAGGCTGCAGTCACTGGTGGATCACAAAGTTGGCCAAATAGTGCGGAACATTCTGCCACCGCTGGTCCGAGATCTGGTCATGATCGGTCTCACATCAGCGGCGGTGGATGAAGAGCGCCGGAAGGAAGGACAAGGAGAAGGAGAAGGAGAACAACAGAATCAGACGAGTACGAGCAGGACTTCTAGGTCAACAGGAACTAGTAAGATTACCTCTACTAGTCCGATTCCGATCAATGATCTTCGTGAACCGACGAAAAATGAACGTGAACCTACAACAGTGCTCTCTACTTCGCCAACATCTCAACATTTTTTACCCGCCACTTCTGCTGGGGTGCCCAACGGGACTGTCATTCGCGAGGTAGTCGTGCGAGAAGTGGAGGCTGCTTTGAATGCAAGAAAGGAACAGATCTTGTTCTCTAAAGAACAACAGCAACGAGGCTCATCTTCTCTGTTTCTTTCGCAACCAACAAGACAAGCACCAAAAGAGCTTGAACTACACACAGATCAAGTTGTAGGAACTTCTTCACCTAGTACAACTGCACCTTCAGGGGCTCTTGGTCCTGCTCCTAACGGAGTTGTAGACCAAAGAAGGCTCGCAGAGGACCTGAGGCTGGAACTCGGTGCTGAACTGAAGGAATTGCGTCAGGATTTGAAGTCACAGATTGCGAAAGATCTACAACAACGCTTTCATCAGATGGAGCTGGAAATAAAGACAGCTACAAGTCTGAGGAATAATGCCTCTTCTCCATCAAATACAAATTTTGTGGCTGACGCTGACATAATTGGAAATGCAACCTCAAAGCTTTCAGGGGCTGACAACGCTGATATGATTGGAAATAAAGTAGATCACATCCACAAGGAGCATCAGCAGCTGCGTCAAAGGGTAGACTTTCTCGATTCGAGTCGGGGGATGCTGCGAGAAGAAGTCGGGCAACTGCGAAAAGAAGTACTGGGACTCCAGGGCAGGGTAGGCGAGATACTGGCGTCTTCTGTGTTGGGTTCTTTGGGTGGCGGTACTAAAAACAGCAATACAAGTAGCGCTCCTTTCGCGGGAGCCGCAGGTACATCAAGAAGTGGAAGTAGGAGTATTAAGGCGTACCGTAATTCATCTTAAAAAGCATATTTGGCCATGGGCATGACCCCTTTATAATTAGAGGAAAAACGACTGCTAAGATGTGGATCCGTACTAGCTTGTAGGATTTTAGTCCTTCATAGAGTCTTTTTCTGCTTCAAACAATCAACAACGCCGCAAAGATGCTTTTCAAGATGAATATGGCAAAGGTCTAAGAGTAGCAGCAAGAAAAATGTAGCTTTTAGTCCTGAAGATGGCACTAGTGGTGGAGCAGAAGGAGCGACAACAGGAGTTGATTCTGTAATTTTTGATGGAGGAGAGGGGAGCTCCTCTTCCATGACAAGCATGGCGCAGCAGATGGAGGAGATCCGCAACCTGCGGGAACGGGAGCAGCACGCGGCAAAAATGATAGAACAACCTCTGTCGCTGATGGACAAAGATAATGCAATAAGTAGGACTAACATCAATGAACCACAGCAGGGCGTTAGAAGCACGACTACTGCTCCTGCCGAGAAGAAATCTACTCCAGTAGGAGCACTGCATGTACATCACACAAGTTCTAGTTCTCTGGAACAAGCACCACGTGGAGAAAACGAGCCTGGTATTTATACAACGTGGACGTAGTCACAAACATTTTTACTTAGACGGCTTCTATTTGTTGTTGCATGGGATAAACCTAATTTAGTCGAGGTGAAAGCTAACCGGTTGTCTTACTTAGTGCTTTGAGCGCCGCAGGGCCTAAACCTTCTATTTGTCTGAAAAACGTCTCTTATTTCTATTTAACTGATTCACTTTTCTTCCACTTTCACCAAAAAAACACCAGCCCGCAGCTCATCGTCCAGCAAAAAACCGCATGGGCCTCTAAATGTCCATCATGAAGGAACACACCTTGAGGAAAATGCAGAAACATCATCTTCTGCCGAAGAGACACACTACTTCTGGGAACTGTTGCCCGCCTCTACAACAACGGGTGTAGTTGAGCAAATTCCTGCTGAAACGATGGACTGGATCCATGAGCAAACGCGTGCAACAAGTACTCAACAGTCCTCCAAAAAGACGAAACCTGTGGTGCAGCATCATTTTCTGAAAGCCGACGCAAGCGCCCGACTGGGTGAAATGCTAGATCGTGCGGCTTCAATGAAGGAGTTGGAAAATGAACCGCTATTAAACGGTAGTGCTGGCGCACAGCCAGGAGATACTCGGAGCCGGTACATGTTCTTTAACGACATGCAGCAACGACTGTACAAGGAGGAGGACGATGACGAACAACCTGCAGGAACAAGGGTCGTAAATTCTCTTGAAGATGTTGATCAGCAGGCTGAGGTGCAGGTACAGAAGAAGCAAAAGGGTGGTATAGACGAGATGAGTGCCAGTTCTATGTCATCCAGGGGAGGCGATACTAATACTTGTGAAGAAAGCAAGAACGAGATAAACACCATCAAGACCGAAAGCGGAGAACGAGGCGAAAAGAAAGAACACACCTATCGTTCGAGCGAAAAGAAAGAACATACCTACCATCTTCGTAACGATGAAGCTCCAGAGAACATATATCAGCGTGTGCCTGTGGAGCTTCATCGTGACGAAGTAGAGAACAAGAAGATAGTGGCGCCACTACAACTTGCTGACATGGTAACTTCGGATCATCATCCCCTCCCAGTGCGTCCGCCAGAAGAAGATACCAGAACTAGAGACCCCCATAATGCAGACTCCTCCAATAATGGAGACTCCCATAATGTTGTAGTGGGAACCCCCAGTCCTCCAAAAAAGCGCAGGCATAGATTTTTCACGGCGCTTTGAAGTAACACGACCTGATGGAACGCACAATCCAATGATCTCAATCCAATAGATAATCCAACGAACTAGAACTAGTACTTGAACTACTTTTCATGAAATGTTGATTATAGCCTAGGCATAGATTTCTCTCTCGTCTCAATCCATTACACTTCGAAGAAACAGCGAAAACTGCAAAGCATTGAACAGAGATGAATTACGACAACAACAAAAATGAAAACCCGAAAGCAAAGCTTGAGTTTGATACTATTAATAAGATAACGCGACCTTATGGCCGTCTCTGGTCTGTCTTCCCAAGTGAAACTGAAAATGACGTGAACGCAGCGAAAATGATGATTCAAAATGAACTTGAAGTTTGTTGAACACCCCACTAAGATGGCTGCAAATGTTCGCTCGATGATGCAGGTCACACTGTGGACGGCGAGCCACCTCCTATCCTATCCTAAGATAAAAGCCAAAGGGCGTATCGTTTGATGTGCACCACGGGAGCGGCGTCTATGAATTCTAAGTATGAGCCACTGTTCTTGCTCAAGAACGAGAAACGATTACTTAAAAGATTTAAAGGATTCTTTCTGCTTGTTGGTTCTACTGGCCATACCGTCAGCATCTCCTTCCAGCATCGTGGTCGTGTGTTGAATCATTGATGTGAACGAACTCCTGTCCATAGGCAAACTTGCATCTATGATGGATTGACTACAACAAGTCATCTTTTTCAAGTACTTACATGGGTCTTTATCTTTTATGTTTATCCCCTTCCCTCGTCTAGTAGACTAGTACTAGTAGTCTACAAAAACTATATTAAACAACTACAACAACTACTGCTTCTACTCTCTCGTTTTAGTTTTCGTCCTACAAGAACTACAACTACTATGGTCCTCTAACTAACTTGCAATCGTTGGAGCTCTCATTTCCAACTTCTACGAACAAGAGCATCAAAAAAAATGGGCCGTTCTCGTTCGCGCAGTCGTGGTAGGAGACGGGAGAAAGAGGATAAGCCTGCCGATGGTAAGCGCAGTCGGTCAGAGGAGTCAGCGGAGAGGTCAAGGGAGCGAGAAAAACGCCGCAGGAAGAAGCAGAGGGGGTTCATGCAACAGCAGTCAAATAAAGGATCCTCAAAAGGAGGCATGAATCCAAGTACTGCTCAAAGAAATTCATTCATCCTTTAGGACGTACCAGGATCTGCTTCATCTCGCTGATAGTCGAGAATGACTATTTGAGATGCACACATGACATTAGGAGTCATTTTCATTTTTGTTTAGAAGCACGGTCTTGATCATGTGATACTTCAACGTTTCCGCATACTTAATCAAATGCTGGCAGAAGTTGGGTCAAAAATGCAAATACAGCGAAATGTTCATCGATCTCGATGCGAAGTTTAAGGAATCCATTTTATTTACAGTTACTCGAACATGTCCATTTCTCTCCACATTTACTTTCAGCAAAAATTACCTTGCACAGGCACACGCGCAGGGATGTTTTGGGATGGATTTCAATGGATTCCGTCTGAATCAAGTACCAACAACGCAGCCGCAGCAGCACAGCGGAAACTAAAGCGGCTGTACATTTATGTATATGACTTATATAATAAGTAGCATCTGGCAAGCTGATCAAAAATCACGCTCTTGCTCCGTCTATGGTACAACCATTATGACTCCAGTAGTTTTTTCAGTATACATGGCAGAAGTGTTCTTCATGAGTTGTCCGTAGACGTAGACGGTAGAAGTACTACACCTTACTAGATTCAAATAGCAACTGACTCTCTGGTAGATGAAGTACTACAACTTACTAGATTTTAATAATAACTGACTCCGTTCTAATCTCTCGGAAATGTCCCTGTAGGATGCAGTGAGGAGCTTTTTAAGATATCGCTCATCGAAAAAATGCGGGAATCAGAAATTATTCCGCCAGATCGCGAATCGCAGTCCATGCAGCTGCTCATATGGTAACTTTGATTTTTGTAGTGGTAGTATAAAAAAAAGTAAAAAATGTATCAAAAAAAAGTATGCAAGTCTGTACTTGTTGATGATGAAAATTCGCTCGAGCACCTATAGATATCTATGGTTATGATCTTTTTGAATTGCACTTGGTGACGATAGTTACTTAATCAAGAATGCATGCAACGAGCACCCAACCACCTCTACTAAGGTTGCATCAAGAGCACCAGTATGGTTTTGTCGAACTTGAGAGTGTAGAGATGGCAGAGAAAGTACTGGCAAGACTAGACGGAATGCTTGTGAACGGAAATCCAGTACAGATAAAACGCCCAAACGATAGCTCTGTTGCAGCCAGAAATATTCCGGGAGTTGCGCCTGGAGCAGGTAAAAGTAGAATGTAAAGATTAACTTGATCCAAATGACGCCACTGATTGAGAATGTCAACAAAGGGGAAGCACATCAGGACTTGGTAGTGATATTGAAGATATGACTACTTTTATATCTGTGATCATGAAGAAGAAAATAACATCATAACTTTGGCAGTATTGCACTCAAATTTATCCATAGTCGCCGGCGCTCCACTCGCGATTGCGGCGCCACCAGTATGCACATCACGCATAGTGCAAATTAGTGACGCGCTCCAGTATGACCCCTACAGCACAGTGCACGAAGACTTCATTGATACAGTGGAGGATATGGTAGAGGGCTGTTCGCAACACGGCAAGATCAATGCCGCCAACACGCGCATTATCAAGCAGGAACACTTGCAACTGCTGCTGGACGCGGCACTCGCAGATCATGTCCAGGTACAACAAGTGTGCTTTAGTCAACAGTTTTCTACCCACCCTTGTTCTTGTTCGTCTGATATTTTATCTCTGTAAAGATGAACGCATGATCGTCCCTTGTTGTTCGTCTGATATTTTATCTCTGTAAAGATGAACGCACTACCATTATCTTCTGCAGCTTGCTAGAAATAGATACGAAGATCAATTACAGTTACGCGACCATTTACATTTTTAGATTCCTTAGAATAACTCAAAACCCTAGATCGGCCATGTCTTTCTGGAATTTTTATCGATGGGTGACGCAAGCCAAGTGATGATGAAGATGCAGAACCGGAAATATGATGGGCGATTCTTGCGATACCAGAGTTTTCCCGAGGACAAGTTCTACGCGCATATTGTCCCTCTCTCACCGCCGCAATAGAGATAGACATAGTAGAGCAGGATGATTCAAGTGAACAATTTCAATTATACAAGAAGTTGAAGTGAATATCGCGTGAACGCCTTCACCGACCACGTGTCGTTGACAACGGTACAACCTCAGGGAAGGAGATCATGAATGCCTCTTCTGTTTCAACATCAGAGCCAGATTTAGTATTTGATCCTCTGAATGTTCAAGATCAGAGCCTCGTTCATGGTCCGGCGACGAGGAGGACACTCGCACGAACATCCTCGACATGTTCATGTTGTGTGCCCACATAAGGGTTCTCAAGGGTTCTCAAGAACAAGAACCACGATCGCGCGAAAAAGATGTTGCTGTTGAGGGCATTGTCAACGTCATCTTACTCAACAGCAGTTCGAGTTTAACGAAGACGAGAAAGAGGAGCTTCATGAAGAGACAAAACAGGCGTAGCTGATCCTCGTCTACGCGCAGGTACGACAGTGACATCTGTATTTGAGTGAAAAGGACGACATCAACGCATGACATCTGTATTTGAGTGAAAAGGACAATACTCGGTCGGAGAGCTATTTAATCTTTTTTTCTCGAGTGCCTGCCATAAGCATAAGGATAATGAATCTTGAGGATTCTGTTGAAGGACACTAAGCTTGCTTGTAATGTTCCTTCCCCTTCACTACAGCCCGATGAACATTTTGAACAAGATGGTGAAAAAAGAGCACAGCTGCTTTTCGGTTTTTTACTCTAGTTTTTTCACATTTACAACGAAAGTCAAAAACTGTTTTCAGTGAATGAAATGTTGACAGTAACGAGTTGATTCTGTTCGCAGAAACTATGTATATGTAACTCCTACTGCTCCAAGTCCAATGAGGACTAATATGACCCTTGAAGTAGACGAAGAGAGAACGCCATTGTGCCTATAATCGCGAGCACGGTGGACGGAGAAACATATAAGGACAACATGAGGAACTACGGGTTGTTCTAGTCATCGAGCAAGCGGTGAGTTCATTTACACTAACCGGAGCCGCCAGGCTTCGTCCTCCTCCGGTCTAACAAGAATGTCTAACAAGAATGTCTAACAAGAATGTCTAACAAGAATGTCTGTTTTTGCTCGCGCCACTGCCTACGTTGACATTCGAAACTTCAAAAAAATAAATCCAAGAGACAAGTACTAGAAGTAGGACGCTCACGCTGCACAACGAGCGGGGGAGACCCTCCCCTGGTATTGCGGTAGTAGTCACAACGAACAAAGCGGCAAGTAGTCTACTAGGAACTCGTCTTCGACAGACTCCTCTTCTTCGGATTAGTAAAAATAGTAGCAGTTGTAAGTACCTGTAGAGCGGATCAACAGCATCACGACGATGAGTTCACCAATGGAGCAAGGACCGGGAGCAAGGACAAGGTTTTCCCTGTCGCAACCTCGTATGCGGCCACGACATCAGAAAACAGATCGAGAAAAAAAGGACGATGAAGATGGCCAACTGCTTATTGAGCGCCTCTGCTCTCGCATGTCGGTCGTTCATGCTCCAACCTTATGGCTTTGTTGTAGCCAACCCATGTGCATCCTGACCATCTGCAAAGGGCTTTTGAAATTCCCCTTGAAGAAAGTGTATATTAATTCCTTGAAGTTGAAGGGGAGCCTCTGCGGTCATCCGCTGATATCGGTATTGTTTGTTATTGTATAGTCTCCGTCATAGTACAAGCAGATAATACACGCCATTCTTCATAGACGGGCCTACTCGAAGACTATCACAGAAAAAGGACTTGCTTGGAGTCGCCATTTCTGAAATTGGTATTACATTTTTTTTGGTACTGCTTTGTAGTTTGGAAGAAGATAGGAGCTCTTCTTGACCCTCTACTTCATGAACTATGTTGGGATGATCGATTAGTACGTAGTGAAGAATGCTTCCGGTATTTGGTATAGCCTGATTTTGATCATAATGGGAAACAGGATGAGAATCCTTGTGATCAAATTCAGGTTACCAAATAGATACCGGAACCATTCAAGTCGGATCTCTTCATTGTGTTTTGGTACTGCTTTGCACTTCTACTGTCATAACCTTCAACACTTCGCTTTCGCCCACCTCATACTTATGTAAAACTCTCTCTTATTTGCCAGCGTGTCTTGAACTTGAAAAACTAGGTACGCAAGGAACGCTGGTTGGAGTATACAACGTGTCTTGAACTTGAAAAACTAGGTACGCAAGGAACGCTGGTTGGACTATGCGACCGGACGCTTCGAAAAATGCGCCCGACTTGAACTGAACCCCTCGTTGTCGGAGCCCCTCTTCATCGAGAAAGTGAATTAAGAAAATGAGCATATGATCTGTTGACAAGAAAGTCAACAAAGTGCAACAAGTGGTAGTTGTGGTTCAATGTGACTGTGGTTTACAACCTTCTAGATGTATGAGGATTAGGCAGTGACCTCTACTACGTTGCACTGATTAGTCGCCTTTTGCTCCTGCTCTACTGTCTTCTCATCATCATCATTCTATCTACTATAAGTAAAGGAGGCCAAAGCCGGTCAGCGTGTGAGGAAGATTAAGGGCGTCTACGAACTCGACAGCTCGTCTGCCTACCTGGTATTCGAAGAAGGGGCTGCCCTAGTCGAAACGACAACCGATGACGCTGATACATTATGTCATACACCTGAAGCAGAAATGCTAGTTCTGACTGGACCACTATTGGTCAAAAGAGTAAGTAAGAGTGACTAGATGAAGAGCGAAGATAACGCATGAGTAAAAAGTAGGAGAGTTTGCCCTCTCCTACTGGGCTGGCGAATGATAGTTGCCAACTTTCCCCTTTTTTGAGTTTGTGAGATGGCGCATCGATCATGAAAGCCACCCGCTTGTACTCACTTAAGAAGCTTGGCTGAAACGCCTCTAACTACGGTTGAGGAACAGTTAACAAGAGCGATTCGCGACCTGCAGGATTCCTCAGAGGTGAAGACGCTCGACGGAAAAACGAAGACACGAACAGCCCAAGCGCCACCAGGAGGACAAGGCGGATCAGGTGTGGACGCGTCTTCATCTGGGAATAATGGTGAGAAACTATATTCCCACTCGAAATAACGCAATAAATGCTGAGAAATTAATGGTGTTGATCCTTCTACCTGATCACGATCAAGATGAACCAAGAAAAAGATAGTTCTTTAACAAGTATATCTCTATTAACATATCTCTACTAACACTAGTAGTGGCTAAATTGGCTTGGTACAAGAAAAGCCAATGATGACGGCTGCCATTTGTACAACATGCACCTCATCTTCTCCTTCATTCATAATCAGGAGGAGCCGGTCAAGAGAACCCCGCAAGCCCTCGAAGTGAGGAGGAGGAAGATGACAGTTCTTTTGGTGAACATGTAAGACCACATTTATTTTGTAGACGTGGACCACAAAACACTGTTTCCTGCCTCGTAGGGCGAGCTCTTGGGAGTAGTTGGCGCAAGAACAACTTACTACTCTGATTTTTATTGCTCTCTTCTTTCTTCTTGTCTCGAAGTGACAAGGAGGAAGATGACAGTTCTTTTGGTGATGTAAGAGCACATTTATTTTTGTAGACTCTGGCTTTTATTGCTCTCTTCTTTCTTCTTGTCGTCACAGGAGGAGGAGGAGGAAGATGACAGCTCTTTTGGTGAACAAATTATTTATTTTTTTAATAGTGTTGGACCACAAGAACACAGGCCTCCGCGCCTTGGTTCGTTTCTCAGTGGAAAAACAAAGTCAGAATCTTGAATGCAAGCAAATCTTGATACTCCTGCCTGAGACTTGCGATCTCTGGATGGTGTAGCCCCTGTTTGGTTCATTGGGTGAGATGAATCATACATCAGCAGTATAAGCATGTCAGAAGGGATCGGACTGAAAATGCATCATATGACTAGGATCAGTACAACCGTGCCTAGTCTACACCTTGATCATTATGATTATGCATTGAATGTGCATTGGAAGTAGCATTCATGATCATCGACATTCATGTCTTGTGAGATCATCCCGATGACAGTCGAGCGCGAGGCTTTGTGTGAGCCACTGAGAACAGAACGCCACGACATCCGAGAGGCTTGAGCCATGCATGACCAACACCCCTCCTCAATCGATGCGGGTTGAAGTCCGTCTCACGTGACCGCCTCACTGTGTGTTGAGTCACGGCAATCACATCTCTTGTTTATAGTGTATGTGACCTGGCTACGGTGGTTTAGAAACCAAAATAAACCGAATATATTACGCTATAGTAAGCTAAATCGTCCTCATCTGGTTCATCATCAGAGGAATCGCAGTCATCTTCTCTACTTGTAGTTATCGGGTTATCTACGTGGTGTAGGATAAGTCTACGCTGAGTGGCACTGCAGGTTAGTTTCGAAAGTGGGTCTGCCTTCATCAGGTTGGTAGGACAGAGCACGATCTTACTAGCAGCGTCGCGCACTCTTAGATAACGTAAAGCATAGTGTCTACTTTTAGGGCGAGCGTCTGTTGCTTTGGCTGTTGTGATCGCAGACTGGTTGGCTATCCACAGTGCAGCACTGTCTAAGGAGGGAGACAAGCCGTTCTGTGTGTGTACCAACTGGGTTGGAAGAGGCTTATAGAAGTCTGTGAAGTCATGCATCTCACTGAGCACTATCGTGTCAGAAGCTGCAATATACTCACTTTCAGCCGTTGAGTAGGCTCTAAACGTTTGTCGGTTACTCCTCCCCGCTATGGGTGTACCTTTGTGATACATTATGGAGCCACTTGTGCTTCTCATTGTTTTGATGCAGTTGGCGAAACCAGCATCACTGAATATGTTTACTTCTGGCATGTCTCTGCCTTCTGGTAGAAGTTTCTCGTATATTTTGTTGAATTCTTCTTCCTTTTCTGGTGAGTATTCTACTCCTTGGTCTTTTGTTGACGCCAGGCATTTTAGGACTTTCTTGGCTGCTTTGGCCATTCTTGTTGACGTGGGTTTACTGACATGTCTAGCCAACGCAGCTACCGGAACAGAGATATCCGGGCGCGCGGTTACAGCTACCCATAGTAAGGCACCAACTACCTCACGAAAGGGATACCCGTCAACTATCTTGATCCCGTCTTCAAGAAAAGTTGTTTCGTCAAAATTGGGCGAGTAAGCCGGTTTCTCTAGTTGAACTTCATACTTCTTAGCAATTTTATCGATGTACTGCTCCATGCACAGTCTGAACGACTTAGCTTCACGGCCATAGTACACGATCGCACCTAAGAAGTCGAACTTTAGCCATTCGAGACCCCAGGGGGTTAGAATTGGCTCGACTTCAATCGCACGGCTTGGAGCACGTGTGAAAATGAGGTCTAGTTCGGTCTTGAGCTCATCTTGGTCAGGACCTGTAGCAAGAT